TAAATTAATCGTAAATATCGAATTTATATTTATATTAAAAAAAAATGTATTTTTTAATTTAAACGTTTTTAAAAATTATTAATTCGAAAAATGCATTAAAAATCTTAGTTTTTTTTAATTAATTCGGCGTTTTAAAAAAAAAACGAAATATATAAAATATAATAATTTTAATTTTTCGTTTAAGTTTAATAATTAATATTATATTAATCGCCGTGTATTTAATTATATAATAAAAAAAAACGAAAATAATAAAAAAATAAAACGTATTAATCGATTTATCGATTTATATTATATTTATATTATTCGCGTTAAACTTAAAATCGAATATTATAAACATAATATATTCGAAAATATATAAAATTAATAAAAAAATAAAATATTAATTATAAATATATTAATATTAATTTTTATTAATAATTTTAACGTTTTTAAAAACTCGTATTAATCGTTAATAAAATATTATATAATTTTTTACGTTTTATATGTAAATAATTATTTTAATTTAAAAAATATTATTTTTTTAATATTTAACTTTTATAAATTCGATTTTAAAAACGTCGTAAAAAGTTTTAAAATATTAACGAAATTAAACCGAAATATTATAATAAATATTAACGACGTAAAAATAATTATTTATTATTAAATAATAATTTTTATTAAAAATATATTTTAATAAGTCGAAAATTACGAATTTAAAAATTTATAAACGTATAAGTTTTATTAAAATTATTATATTAAAACCGGTTAAAAATCGTTTATCGATTTTTTATTAATTAATAAGTTTAATTTTATTACGTATAACCGTTTTTATTAATAAATAAAAAAAATGTAAAAAATAATAATAAACTTAAAAAAAATTAAAAAAAATATTTATAAAAATTAATAAAAAATAATTATTTTATATTTAATTTTAAAAATTATTATATCGGCGTTAAATTTTATATTTATACGTTCGTTCGACTTATACTATTCGAAATATAATAATTTATTTTATTTATTACATTTTTTTTTTTAAAATATAATATTTATTATACCGATAATAAATAAATATATATTAATTTTCCGAATATTTTAATTTTTTTTTAAAACTCGACGTTTATAATTATCGAAACATTATTTTTTAAATTATAAAATATCGTTTTATATCGTATAAAATATAAGTATTTTAATATTTTTAAAATAATAATTATAATTTAAATATATAAAATTACGTTTTTTCGAAATTATAAGTAAATTTAATAAACTTATTAAAATTATTATTAAAATATTTAAAAATATAATTAATAACGTAAATGTATTTATAAAATATTTTATTACGAAAGAAACTTATAATAAATTAAATTTAATAATTAAAAATAATCGAAAAATTTTTAATATGTTATATTATTACGTATCGATATTAGTTAATTTTTAAGTTAATTTACGGGTTATTAACGTTATAAATAATAATGAAAATAAACTTATTATAATAAATTTTATTAAATTTATTAATTTTTAATATATATAAAACACGTAAAAGTTAAATATATATATCGTAATTTATTTAAAAAAATTTTTTATTAAATATATTATAATAATAAATTATAATATATTAATTAAAGAAAATTTATATCGATACGTTTACATTTATTTTATTATAATATATATTAATATTACGTATTAATATAAATAATTTAAACGACGAATTTACGAAATAAATTATTCGAATATAAAAAAAGTTTTATTAATAAAATTTAATATTTAATTAACATTTTAGTTAATTTTTAAAAATGTTTTTAAACATAATAACTTTATTTTTATTAAAAAAATATAAAATTTTTATAAAGAATATTTAAATTTATTTCGTTATATATTAACACGTATTAATAAAAATAAATTAAAAATATTATAAAATTAAAATAAATTTATATTTAATATATTATTATTATTCGATAAATTATATATAAATTTTTATATAATTAACGGAATTCGTTTTAAAAACGTAGTAAAATATTTTTACGTAATGTAAAATAATAAACCGTTATTAATTTAAATTCGTTAAATATTTATTAATTTTATTAAACTTTTACGTATCGTATATTATAAAAATTATAATTACTTAATATATTATTTAATTATATATAATTTAAACGCGTTAATAACTTAAATTTAAAAATTATCGTTTAATATTAATTAATAAATTTATTTTTTTTTTATTATAATATAACGTTATTTTTATTAAATATTTTAATATGTTTTATTTTTAATTATTAATATTTTACGCATTTAATGTAAAATATTTATTATTTTTAATTAACTTTTCCACGTATTAACGTAAATATATATTATTAAAAAATATAAATAACATTTCGTTTTTAATTAAAAAAACTTTATATAACTTTAAAAAAACACGTTTTCCCGTATTAATTATATTTTATTTTTTAACGTTTAAAATATATATTATATATTTATTATAATAACTTTATTAACTTTTACGGGAAAAAATAATAAAATTTTTAATTTTTATATATTAATAAAAAAAAACTTTATTATTATAAAAATTATAACTATTAAATTATGTAAATTTTATATCGTTTTAATAAATAACCGATATATTTTTATAAGTTAAAATGTTAAATAAATGTAATAAAATAATAAATATTTAATTATTATAAAATAAATTATATTAATATTTTAATAATTTCGTATTATTTTAAAATATAATAAAAAATATAATAAAAAATAAATTATTAAATACGTTTTTAAATTAAATAAAATATATTAATATTTTATTATTTTTATAAGTTTTTATACGTATGGAAATTATATCGTAAAATACGTATTAACTTTTAAATTAATAAATGCATTATAAATTAAATATTAATAATTTATTATTATTATAAAATAACGTTTTATAATTATTATATTAATATATTATTACTTTTAATTTATATTATTTTTATTAATATTAATAATATTAAATATAATTTCGCGGATTTTTTTATAAATTTTTTTTATAATTTAATAAATTTATTAAATATTTAATAATATATTATATATATTATTAATATTTTATATACGTTAATTTTATATAAAAATAATAATATATTATATTAATAAAAATAAGAAAAATATTAAACTTTTAAAAATTTTTATATAATTTTTATATTATTATAATTAATTATATTTTTAATCGAAATTAAAAAATTTTTTAAATAAACGAATAATAAAATTACGATTATTAAAAATTAATAATTAATAATTAATAATTAAATATTAATAATTAAATATTAATAATTAAATATTAATAATTAAATATTAATAATTAAATATTAATAATTAAAATTTCGTGGTTAAAAAAAAAATAAAAACTAATAATTATAATAAATTAATTAATATTTAATTTAATATATAATAATTATTATTTTATAATAATTTTAAATTTTAAATAATTATTAAAAATTTTAATAATTAATTAAAATTTTTAAACATTAAATAAAATTTTTAACCATTTAAAAATTTTTTTAATTATTTAAAAAATTTTTTAATTATTTAAAAAATTTTTTAATTATTATATAATTTTTTTAATTATTATATAATTTTTTTAATTATTATATAACTTTTTTAATTATTATACGAACTTTTTAAATAATTTTAAAATTTACAATAATTATATATATTTTAATTATTTAATAATAAAAATATAATTATTATAATGTTAAACGATTTAAAATAATTTCAATTATTATTAGCCTCCGGTATTTCCCGGTACGGTAGGTAACGGACTTTACTCGTATATACGACCGTTTAATTCCATCTTTAAGCTTTTAGGCGATTATAGGCTTGAGATCCACAGTGCTAGTCCATCCGTAGTTAGGAAAGCTGTCCTTTTTCGATCCTTAAGCGAATGCGGTACACCGGGGAGAGGGATTATAATAGGATGTCATTATGGCAACATGGCTTTTGGTGGACTGGCGAAGCTGATGGCTGATGATTCTATCAAGTTATTAGGTAAATTGTTGGCTGATGAACGGATAAAAAATAAAAGTGGTGAGAGGCGTGGTGGCTATGGGAGAAATCAGAAAACCGGTTATCCGATCCGAGTTAAATAACTAACCTTAATTAATTCTACCTAACCGCCCGATTAATTCAATCCGACCTCCTTATAATTAAGTTTGCTACTTTAATAAGTACTTATACTGTACCTGCTTGATTACGACATAATTTCAAGAAAAAATATATTTAAATCGATATCTTACTTACAGCGTACAGAATACTAAATATTTACATCCACAATTACTGTCATAAATTATTATATTATCCATAAGAAATATATTCAGCGTATGAGTCTTATTAGTTACATTATCGGCCTGTGCGAGACTTAGACCAACGAGAGAGTCCCTCTTTAGAAGCCACGCCGCTTCTGTAAATTCCCATGCTCACTTTGAAACAAACACATATTGGACCAATGAACCCAACTGCCAAAGCGATCGACCACTAATCCTTCGGGGGCTAGCAGTCGTTCGAGTCCTTCTTATTCAGGACTATCCTTTATATTGTTCGGTATATTTTTACTTTTTTACAGTATTCCTGTAATTACCTGCGCATCATCCTTTAAACTCACAGTTTTTCGATTTTGACTTCCCACCGGCCACCACTTCCCATTAACCACCCCTTGTCGCTTGTCGAGGAGAAGGTTGAAGCCGAGCTGGGCTGTGTGCACCTGAGAAGGGGGCCGTTCCAACTGGAAGCAGCCAGGCAGCCAGGGTCTGAAGGCCTGGGAGTTACAACACCCGCTAAGACTCTTAGCTCCAGTGTTCCAGATTTCCAGGTTCAGGGGAGGAACTCTCTGACCCTCCAACTCTCCAAGACCCTCCTGGGTAACCCCTGTCACACTGTCACCCTGTCTTGGGAGGTACCAAGGTACGTAGCTACGTTCCCCCACCGTCGACTTACACCCATTTGAAGAGGGAAAGAATATCCATATGTAATGCCACCCACTGCCCAACTTCTTTTCTTATGAAAACGTCTTCATACCTACAATTCACTCGACCAACGATGTGCTTCACCTAAAAACCATAAAAAGAAAAGAGCTGGACTCAGCTTACATTCTTGTGGATCGAACAGGTTCAGTTCAACATCCGGTTCTTATCATCCCACTTATATACACGTATAACTGCAGTATACGACGTATAAAGGGTCCACACGAGCGGGCCAATACGAAGAACGACATGTCTCTAGAACAATCTCGATTATTAAATGGGGTGGAAGAGACTCGAAAATCTGCGGCTTCTAGAATAGCCAGCAAGGAATCGAGAGAGAAGGCCAGGCACAGCTTCGCTTCATATTCGACACAAGAAGAAGACCTGACCGACGTATATACCGATATGGACGAACCGTGCGTGATCGAAGAAGCCACAGTGATGGATGCCAAAGAGGTTACTATCGAGACGCCGAAACTACCAGAGAAGAGTGCTCTCAGGATGTCGAGGTTCTTGGACAGCTTAAAGCGCAACTCCATCACCGAATCGCTTAGCGACCCGCACGATGTTTACCTTTCTTCGGAAGAGGATGCCTCGTCCTCTGCCGACGACTTTTCCGACTATGACTCCGACTCCGACCTAAACAGCAACGGATCCGAGAAGTCGCACCAACGCCGAGTGAGTCATGAAGAAAGTGCAAGAGCAGTTTCAGTGATATTTGTCGGGAGACCTTGCGTTGTGGACTTGGCAAGTGGTAGGAGATCAGTTTCTCCGATACGAAGACCTCAATCGATGATCCCCTCCTCGCTCCGACAAGACCTATTTGCGGACCGACCAGAACACCCCCCTCGAAAGAGCAGCCTTGCATCCACGATAGACATAACTAAGGAGAACCCGTCGTTCCTTAGCCAGGATCCTTTCGCTACGAACAATTACAGGATGGAGTCGCTATCAAGAGGACCGCCACCAGCTAGTATCAGTCCCCGCCCAAAGACACCTACAGCAGCCTTTCACCGGTTCCAGAAGTCATTAAGTCTGGTCCGAAAACGAAGCCGTCCTAACTTGAAGGATGCCGCCTCCAGGGATAGTCTTAGTTGGCCACTCGGATCAGGATCAGGATCAGCCTCAACTACCGATCTACTTAGCTTAAACTCATCTCGAACTTCCGAGGAAGAACAACAACTACCTAGGAGACCTCGAGTAGTGTCTGCCGCTACGATGCCGCCTGAGGTATCGGTAATTACCAGAGACTCCATCAGGTCTAGCCGGAGGGATTCATTGCCGAGACTACTCACCAAGCAACCACCACAACCCGCATCACCGAGTCCTCCTTCGGCGAAAAGGGGCTTACTAAGTGGTTTAAATATGAACCGGCGGCGAAGCTTACGGATCAAGCCATAAACAATTACACTTCGCATCCTTCACTATTTCCCATTCTTATTAATCAAGGGGCACGGCATGATATCTTAAGAGAGGCGTTACAAACACATTACGGAGTTGGGGGTCTACGGCGCATAGGTAGTCACTACTGCACACACGGGAAACATGGTTTGATTTTTTGGTGGGCGAAGAGATTAATGATACCTTGGGCAAAAAGCTGCTAACGAATCACGGCTGCTGGGTATAGGTTATAGGGGGCTGGGAGGCTAGCATCAATTAGCTGACGTCTATTAAGACTACTACCATAGCGAGCATCGCTCAGCATGAATGATACCACGAAATGATTTTTCCTGATTTAACTTATTAAGTTCTAAGGTTTTTTCTCTCATCGCATCCTCCAAAAGTGAAAAGTGTGCTGAAAAAATATTCAAACTTCTAAATGTGACAAGGGCGTTTCTAATTCTGGCTTGGTAAGAAGATCGTTTCGTCTGAAGTTGGGCTTGGGAGTTGATAAATGTTTCACTATAACATGCATCCCATGTCTATGATTGGCGAAACGAAACTTCAGCGATACCGTTGTATCTTGATTCTTTTTTTCCTCAACACAGCGAGTTTCACACAAACCTAGATTGGCTCACCGCATCTCCAATCGCGATTATCGCCCATTTTCCACAATAGCGGTTCGCCGATCTTCTAGATTTTTTTTTCTCTTTACCACTACCGATAGCGGGCGGTCCCAAACAGGAGTAAAGCGCAGCGCGATACCATTCCCGCCGCAAGATTTCGTTTTATTCTGCACGTACTGGCTGGACATACATGCAAGGAACGAGACTAAAATGGTCATGCAACCTATCACAGCTCGTGCGTCCCACACCCCAGCCAGCGCAGAACTTGGACTTGCGCAGGCTATCAGTCAATCGTATTCAGAACCTTGGTTTTTTCGCTACTTTGCCCTAGTTGCATAGTAGGGGTCTTTTTAATCCAGGGAGAGGAAGAAAAAAAATGTAGAAAAATGTCAAGAAGCAAGTATACTCACATATTCAGTCCATATTCACGTCAGCGATCTACTGCCGAGCGTGGCAAGAAATCGTCACTACCTAGTAATCAACACTAATACATACCAACTCCTACTGCCGACTTACAAGCTGCTATGTAATGTCTATACGCTACGCAATCCTCTACCATCCCGCACAGGCGAATGCACACCTACGTTGTCTTACCGGGCAGACGCGCCACCATCGGAATATAGCCACCGAACGGGGTGTTTTCTAAGGCAAGGCTTTTTCTGTATCTAAGAGCGTATATTAATGAGGGCGCAAGCCAAGTAACCAATCCGCGGGCGCGACGGCCTCCCACCTCGACGTTCGCGGGGTGGGGGGCAAGCGCTGATTCGACGGGCGCGCGCATCACGACGTACGTAGAGTATAGAAGTGTGTGGGTGGGCTCGACTCGAACTCGACTTATTCTCGGATGCGTCCTTGGCTATGCTATATCGAGATGTGTCGCCCGCGAGAGGTAACCAACTATAATAGTCTGTTCGTTTCTATGCGTCGGAGCTTGACCGCCAGGTCGTCGGAGACTTATTGCATGCGAACTTAGCAGTAGTAGCAGTATACTAGGTAGGCACGTAATGCCTCTCTCTTCCTATTCCAATCTAGATAGCGAGAAACCAAGTTGTAACCTCAGTCTTACGCACAGCTTACCTGGCTATCCGGTCGCTTAAACAGGTCGCGTTGACAAAAAAGCTGTCGAAAGACCCAACCAACCTAGTAACTGACGAACTGCAAAGTCGCACCGTTGCAACATCAGGGCATACGCCGCTAAAGACCGCTGTTCATACTGCCTTTCCACTTACTGCAGTGCTTCGTAAGTATGTAATGCGCGACCCTGACACGACATCTCGACAACGCAAGGGGCAGCAATTCTCCTGACGTAGCAAGAAAGAAAAAAAAAACGCTCCCCCCAATGTGGCTTGCCTTAGCGAACCACAAGCCCGAAAAAAGATTCGTCGAACCCTAACCGTTGTTGACGCCCGCGAAAGCGCATGCATGAAAGACTTTGGGGTCTAGTTCGTTCGGGACCTTAACTCGATTCACGTAAAACACACATACATACATAGTACATACCAAGTGTAGATACTAAGGACTATGCTGTTAGTACGCCTATCCGGAATCAGTGCTCGGTTTAGGTGCTTTAACCCAGGCCCCCAAATCGAGTCTAGGCGATCAGGTATCGCCAATGCGCTCGTCGCCCTGGATCCTGGTCCTGGCCCTTCCCGAGATCTTAAGACGCGGCTTTAAGGGTGAATCAGGAGTAGCAGTGCTTGGTACGGTTATGCGAGGAACGGTGGATGGAGGAAACAGTCCGATCCATATCGATACTAGTCACCTAGCGTCATTGCCTGTATCTGTACCTAGAGATAGCGGATAACGATGAACTAATAAGGTACCTATCTAGGGGCTTAATTGATAAATTAAGCTTTGCAACGCCTACGCCCGAGCTTCTGGGCTATAGGTAGCGCGGACGGCGGGGCATCCTTGATGAAACGAAGGACGGACTGGCTATCAAACGACTGCGCGAGAGCTTAATTCCTGGTAACGACGAACCGCCTGGGATCGAGCTGAACGTAGCACACAATTCTCAATTAAAGTTCGGTGCAGTTGCACTGAGGTAATAGGTATTAATTGGTGTAGTCAGCGCAGTGCTCCTTACCTGCACACTGCAGCGTGTTACGAACCGAAACGGATCTTGACGTCGACGTCGATTCACATGCGATCCTTTAGCGCCTGCCTCGTCTTGTCATACACAACGAAGCTCTGTAATTAATTTCATACGCTTTGGTCACCTGCCATCTCGTTGCTAATGTGGTTAGAATTCGAGAGCAGATATCCTACCTCTAAAGCCAAGAAGCGAGCTCAAGCACGTTGCATATCTAGACAAACTCCAACCTGACCCGCGAAGATCGCAGTCTCGAAAACCAAACCGTGCGTTACGACGTCGCATCACAGCGTATATTTCATTACTCACATATGCTCATGTACCTATATACCTACATACAAGACACACATATACATACACATACAGACAAGACCTACATACCTATCCGCCGCCCAGCCGGGACGGATAACGTACATACATGGATAGGGCAAGGTGAAACGGGTCTTGCGAACAGACTCAATGCAACATAACCTCTCGCGCACGAGGCCGCCACTACTACTGCGGAAGAGGAGGAGGAGACCCCACCCGAAACTCGGGACGAACAGACGTCGTCGACGCACTGATGCGAGCCCGGGTTTACGTATGTATGTATGTACTTACTTACTTACTTAGCACGGCATACGTAAATATTCCTTGTCGCTTTCATGCCTTTGTTTTCTCCCCTGTCTGTTTCACCTTCTTGGGTTCGGCTTAGCTGCTCTTAATACGATGCCACTATCACGAGGGATCTTGGCTAGGTAGGTAGTCGTGCGGGATGCTGCGCACGTGGCTATGGGGAGAGATTGCAGGGTCGATCTAGAGATGTCAGGTCTTGGGCCAAGAGAAGGCCCGAGTTGGCATCTTGGGACGTCGTGCCGGGCGGAAGATGCCGGGGTGCTGGGAGGTGTCGTGCTCCGAGTCGAGCTGCGGCCGCTCCGGTGAGGTGCGGACCCGGATGGATGGGCTTGGGTGTGTTGTTGGTAGGCTCATGGGGTACGTGTGTGCTGGGTGAGGGATTTGTGCTATTTCTTGGGCTTTGGGGTACGAGCTGTAAGAGCTGGTGTGTCTCTTGTCTATGGAACTGATATTATCACTTACTTAGAACTGTCACCTTCTCGCAGCTCTTTACTTCGCTGATTGCAGAATAGTCTCGTATATCACCAGACATATCGATTTCCAAATAGGAGGACGTATCGAGAATCAAAATATCATCTAGCACAAGTCACCTAATCCATTTACCCCTTGTAAGTGGAATCATGTCGTTCACCACGAAGATTTCGAGATGATAAATAAGCATCTTCTGGGTTTACCTCGCCGTCTTATAAACATACTCCGGTCTAAAAACGCCACATCTCTACCTACCTATCCCCGATATTCAACCTACTTTTCTCCTCGACCTCTTACCCACACATCCAATTAGGAGGGACCGTAACGAAGGCATATATATCTAGATAAGTTTGGGGGTCCTAGGAATGACCACAAATGCCGTGTTGGTGCGGTTTGGCGATGGTATCCGGGCGGTCCGTAGTATGCTAGTGGTATTACCACTAACATCGTCACGGCGCCTCGCCAGACTCTGAGGTTCGATTCCTCGGACGGCTATCTCATTTTTTTCACTTTTTTTCTTTTTTACTTATGGGTTATTTCTCATTACTTTTCCATCATAAGAGCATTCGTACCTACTATTCACCTCCTTATGCATTATTATTCTCCTCTACATATTACTTCGTATAATAAGTGCATTTCTAGGCACGTAACGGAGAGCCGTGTCTTCTGGAGGTTTGGTGATGTAAGTAATTTGGACGGCTCGAAGGACTACAATAAATCGCAGTTTGTTTTCGCTTCCACGTAGCATTATGCATTGAATATCCATTCGTTTCGACGTGATAACTGCGATTCGTCAATGATGCTTTCCCCTGGTACGGCGTCTCGGTGTTGAGGCCTTAGAAGTGCGATTATTTACTATCGTGCGAATTGAGTTTTTAGGCTGACATAGCGGAAGTTTAATATGAAGCTATCGCCCTATCCTGGTTAACCGTCGCCTTATCTGATTGATTTTACCCCTTTCCATGAGTACCATCACCATTTAGACGCCAAAGCCGCTTATCAAGGTTGGCCGTCATTATCAAGACCATATATATATATATATAGGTATATATATCGCCCGTGGCTCGCCTAGATAAATCCATACGCACGATTTATAAAGTATTTCGAGCCATCATGTCTCACTGGAAAGGGTTGGCTAGTTCTAGCATGTTGGTAACACGGTGACCTGATATTCAGCATTTGTAGGTGGATTTTAGCGAACGAAGGGTTATTTACCATAATCAAAGACTTTATGTGTGAATAAACATAGATGTTTTTGTTTACAAAGTGGCAAAAGGTCTGCGTCGTCATGATATGGTGTCCTTTTTGGACGCAATATCCCTACAGTTGAGTTGCGGACCGTAGCCCTTTAGTTTGCACCCTTGCCAAGCAGCAAGCAACGATATTGATAAGAGTGGATAGTTTGTTTTGATGATTTCCAGTATAGGTATCATAGCTAAGAGGCAAAATTATCATGAAAACGCTTGTTAAGTGGGAGTATAGTTGGGATGGGTTACACTTGATGAAGTTCGTGTAAGCGATCCGGTCAATATATTCATCCACGTTGAGAATGTATTCTAGCTAGCTGTTCACTTGAACCCACCCCGAGTTGCCAACTCCCGTCGACAACACCACCTGTATATTTTCTGCTTCCTTGGGAATGAACGGCAAATTCTATCTAGGGTTACAGCCTATGAGGTCGCCAATGTTCGGCCGTACGGATTCTGGTTGGCTCTGACACAAACCGCGTACAACACGACCATGGCTACCACAACGGACGGAAGTTCTTACGTATCTTGGCAACAACTTCAACTTATGGGCTCACAAAGTCAAACACCCGGCTACTTGGGACGATGAAGTCTACCAACTCACCCATTTAGGTGTATATAACCCAAGGTCTCCCAAGACGAGATCTCAATCTCCCCTCTAAGAAACATCCACACGAACCAAACCCACTCTATTTCTTTGACTTACCACCGATATCTTCATTTCACGGCTGTGCCTAAGTTTCCATACCCAAAACCATCACCTTCAAAATGCAGTTCTCCAACCTCTCCATCGCTGTCCTTTCAGCCCTCCTGAGCACCGCAGTCGCTCTCCCCGCCACCGAGACCTCATCTGTCGGAGCCCCTTCGCCTACTCCCAAACTACCAGCTTCCGGGTTCGAGTTTAAAGATGTCCAAGTCCACTGCCCCGACGCTGACCACCAGAAGTACTACATGCAATGCTATAACGATAACGCTCCTAAGCAGTGCGACCCCATGAAGGACGAGCCTAGCAGACATATGTGCAGGCAGCTCTGGGAGATCATGTGTGGTATGTACTTTACTGACTCATTACCCCTATCTTTCCTTGGCATTCTTTCTTGTGCATATCGAAGAAAATACTTCCAGAAACTAGCTAATCGCACCTAGCTCAACGTAACGAGTGCCCAGTCTCACAGAACTAAACAGCCCAGCAACTTTCACGGTAGTGTTCTGACGCCCAAGGTAGATCTCAGGGTGGAGTTAGGGTCTCTCATTATTTTCAATAGCGTTTTGACAACAGCAAAGCTGGTACTAGTCCAGCGGGCTTCACACACTTAGACGGGGATAGGTAGAGGGGGATTGATGATTTTCTAGAGCGTGCTTTACTCCTTTTCACTTCTTAGAACGGCTAGATGCCTCGCTTGGCTGTGTCAAGTACAGACTCCGGGAGTTTAGACGCGAGACGTTTTACATAAGGATGTTTAGAGGTTGGGGGTTTTTGATACCTATTAGGTAGTTCGCTCGTTATATCCAACAATCTACTATGTTGTCAGTCATATATCATTATGCGAAATAGAACCACAAGTAACCACCTGACATTAAAGTAAAGGGGATTAAAATTTGACATTACTAAGAGTCTAGACCAAAAGCCATACCTATCTAAACCTTGCGTTCACTATATACTCCTCCTAGAATCGAATCCCCTTCCCTTCCTCTCTTCCCCCCCACTCGCCCTTCTAACTATTCTTTACAACAACTTCGTAGCAAGCGCAGCAGGCTGCTCCAAAATAACACCCGGCCCCGCAACAACCGTCTCCTCGGTCGGCGCCCCCTCCGCATCCGCCACAACCGCCACAATAACCCCCTTCGTCTCGAACTGCTCCGGGATCGTAACATAGATCTCCTTCTCGGGCCAATCCTTCGTATCGATCGGGACACTCACATTATACACACCATGGAAAAAAACCGCGTAATAATCCTTCCCCTTCGCGAACGTCGGCTGGTTCTCCGGGTTCGTGAAGTTAAGCGCGATATTCGAGCCGGGCGTCAGCGACACGGTTCCCTTTGCCGCGCTAAGCGAGGGCAGGTTCTGTCGCGGGTTGGGGAAGGGCGGGTTTTCAAGCGGACAGCTTCCTGGCACGATGTACCCGTTGGTGGAGTCGAGGATCTGGTTGGCGTAGGGGAAGGTGGTGTCCGCGGGTCCGCCGAACGGGTTCTGCTTCCAGATCTCGATCAGACTCCATACTTCGTGGCGCGCTTCGGTTTCTGCGATCGCGAGCATGGCGCCTTGCGAGGAGGGCAGCTTGGCTTGTTGGACGAGTCCCGTGAGGAAGGCCATGCTGGAGATCTCGAGGACGGTGGCGAGCGCGAGGAAGGAGACCGCGTCGTAGAAGGGGTATTGGTATTCGCAGCCGCCGGGCTTGACGGAGGTGGGGGAGATTTGGTTTTGGAAGATGCGGAGGTGGCCGGCTTCGTTGTTGCGGATTTCTTGGATGCGTTGGTATGTGGTGTTGGGGTAGCCGGCGGCGACGAAGGATGTCGCGTTGAAGGATTCGACGGCTTTTTGGTAGAAGTCGAAGATTATCCACTCGGCTGCGAGAAGGTTCTGCCAGACCTGGTCGTCTTCGCCGGGCGGTCCGGTCTTGGTTGGCAGGACGGCATCTCTTAGGTTTCCGGGGAAGGGTGCTTCGACGCCGTAGTATGTGCTGAATAGCGGGTCTTGGCCCGGCTTAGGGCCGTAGTTGGGGTCGGAGAGCTTTTGCGTCTGCACGAATGAGCCGATCTTGCCGAGGGCAGGTCCCGCGGAAACAACAGAGACGAGAGGGCTCAAGAGACAAGCCTGGAAAAGAGATCGGACCGCCATTGTGAGGGATGATTTAGGGAGGATCTTGAGGAGAGAAGAAACGAGTGTACCGGATTCCTGTAGCCTTCTTTCTAATCAACTACGAAAGAGATCAAGGGCATGTTTATATTGTGCTGCCAAGTCATATATGCGACTTCCAATAGCGTACCTTTGCGGACGCCACAAACCTCCTAGTGGCCAATTGGCCGACCATCAGCATCTCGCTAGATGATATCACGATGAGAAACGACCGAGATACGGGTTAGACTTGCAGCAGCCACGCCCAAAAGAAAACATGATCGAGACCAGCTCGATAGGAGGAGATTCTAACCAATCACAACATTGGTCCTCCGGAACTAACGGCTTATGCATCTGATCGACAGGCCCGTCTGCCGGATTGGCTAAGACTAAAATGACGGAAGGGCTCCAGCTAATCGGACGGCACTCAGGCGAGCCGAAAGCGTAATGTCTAGGAAGGGAGTTCTAAGCTGGCAGCCTCCCACGTCGCAAACTAGGACGATAAGTGTGGGGAGCTGAAAAGGTTATTGTTACTACAGTACGTCCTTGAGCGAGTCTGACTGACTGCATAGAATCCACCGTGATAAGAACAAAGGTGTTGTCATCATCCAGACTTTGACGTGATGACAAAGTGATGTTCGCAGGAAACTAATGTACATAGGATATGCGGCCTGATGGTCTGGGTAGGTATAAACGAGATTATCGAGGGCTCTAGGCTTCAGGACCTAAGCCGGATATTGAGACAGTGTGGTGGTACCAAGATGTAAAGGGGGTGACAGGACGCAGATACGGTACGTTATGTCACCTCCTTTGTTTCCGCGCAGTCCCGATACGATGGAAACATATCCTGCCGTCGATTGTAATACCTACCCCAGACTGCTTAGATCATTTCATCTTCGAAGACATAAAAGCAATGACAGGTCGTACAAGTAACGAAAGAAGGGTTACTCCCTTGGTTCAGTAACGACCCGAACCCGACTGCCCGATCTCTCGATAAAGTACGTATGCCAAGGGCGGCTCTGCCGCTACACAGATCTAGCGTAACATGATATCTCAAACTAACGGGGACTAGCACAAGATGCCGGAGTTATTTTCGATACTGTCAGATTGTTAAACAGTTTACATCTTGGAAGTGGTGGCGGTAATCTCACGCCGAAATCTCAATACGAAGAAAACAATCGATCATGCAAGATAAACTTATTCGGAATAATGTTACATTGTGACTGCGTTTCGATTCCTCCAGTTTGTTATCCTATTAATTGCCTTCTATTCGTCGATGATTCAGCCCCCGGAGAATAACCCGCTGGCATTGGCTTGGCACGGCCCTGGTGTCTGACCTTTATCACAACCCCTTTCCGCAATGATCGGCGATGTCTAATTAGTCTATTTTACCAAAAAAGAAATACATTGATCCATCTATCGGCACCAAACGCCTTGCCGCTGAGACATGCATATGAAGAAATTTTAGGTGCATACGATGGCTTCTTCATAAAGACGCGTAAAATATAACGGTGCATCGCATTTTCTACGTCATGTTTAGAAAGGAATATAGGTCGTTGATAATGTGCACGTACCTACCTAGTAGGTAGGTAAGTATGAGTATGGTCGTTGTCACGATGAGCTTTTCAGTAAAGACAGCGCCTAGTTGAAGAATCCGTATCGTAAATCAGATTAATGATAATATCAACCACATCTCCTCCCTATTTACACTGCTCTAAGCCCTTAATCTATAGGAGACCTAAACTCCAGCATCTGGACACCATAAGCGCTGCTCGCCTCCCCTTAAAATGTCACGAACTATGTCATGGCCTTCGTTGGCTTCTCACTCAAGAGAGAAGACTTGTTTATGGCGCATTTAGTCAGTCTTTGGGTCTTTTCCCTCGTCAGACTTTTTTTCATCTTTCGGCGGCGTCTTAGGTCTCTCTTCCGACTCAACTTTCCCATCCTCGTCTTTCTCAGCTTCCCCACCCTCGTCTTTCCTAGCCTTCTCACCCTCACCTTTCTCAGCCTTCTTACCCTCCTTTCCCCCGCCCTTATCTCCCTGCTTTAGCGTCATAAACATTGCTAGGTCTTCATGATCGCTAAACGTGCTAAATGTGCTCACCATAGAAAACTTCTTTGACGTTTTGCTCGAGGAGGAGCCTTTGGGCTTCGGGGTTTTGTCGGTCATGTTGAGATGCAGTGTTGTGAGAGTAAGATTATGATGGTTCTGAGGATTGGGCTGTAGATGGATGGAGTAAGTAATGATAGGTTCCTGGTAGAAGAGAAAGACCAGTTATATAGGTATTGATCTCATTGCATGCTTGTAGTTTCTACCCCAACTGTTTATAGCGAAGTTTGGTAAGGGTGGATTGTATCACTCTGCTATGTGTCATGAAAATCTATATGTTGCGTGAATGAGCAATCTGTAGAGTGAGATGTTATATAGCCTCAAACCAACCAACTGGAATCTAACCCTGTCCTAAAAAACGATTGCCCATGTTTCCTTAAAGCATTCGTGCCTACATAGGTATATTACGGTGATGAGTACAATATCTTGGAATACGAGATACCCCCGATTGCAGCGGTGACTTCTAGATAACCCTTCATCCATAACATCTATACCTAGGTAATAGCAAATACACTGAAGTCCCTTTAAGATGGAGTGGGTATATGTTGAACTAGGTAGATATCTAGTACACAACAAGCCTACCGCCCCAAGCCAACCGCCATCAAAACCAGATAATGCAAAGACGTCAAGACAACCACGCCGGCGCTAAAAATCAACGTCCAAAAAACCAACCTGATAGATATCACGGATACACCCGTCCCACATACACGTAACTATAGATATCGTCCTCATCCGGCTCATACTGCAATATCTCATCATTTGAGAACCCATAAATCATCGCATCCTCAGTCGCCGCGATCGACGTAAAATTAACCTCCGGCCCGCCGCGGAAGTTAAAACTCGGTATAGGCCGAAAGTGACCATCCCACAGCAGCGCCGTGACGGTCCCATTCGGAAGCAGCGACATCGTCGTCTGCACAGTGAAATTCTTCTGCACCGTCATCGCGAACTGCAAGTTCGGCGACGGCGCCGGGAGCGACGTGATTAAGGATCTGTCTTTGCACCAGTTAGCTCTTCATCTCCACACAACCCCTATCCCACCCTATCATATCCCATAACAAGTGTACGAATAAATAAAAAACATACCAGAAACCCAACTCCCCTTCGTATACATCATCTTCTGCATATCCCCCACCTCCCCCGACCCCAAACTCTCACTCACAAGAATAACCCTACAAACCGCCGTACTCCCACCATTCTCGACCTGTGCCACAAGCCCCAAGCTCGAGTTACGCGCCACACTTCTCGCCTCAACCACAAGCTGCGTATCGCTCCACCGCGTGCCATTTGCAACCCGCACATTCCCTTCCCCATCCTGATACGCAAGCGTCCACGCGCCAAAACACCGCGCGCTAGGATCCGGCTTCCAGCACCGCTGCCACGTCGCCGCGAGCCGGGTCCCGGGCAGCGCAGCGAGCGTCGCGCCGTCGAGGTCGTCGTATTGCCAGGTCTCAGGCTCGGTATCCGGGTTTGGCAGGGCTAAAGAGCGGACCGTGCTTTCCACATCCCCACCCCCGGAGCTCACGAACCAGATATGCGTCTCGCTCACATTCCCGTACGAAAGCGATGCGCTGGCCAGACTGGCGCCAGGAGCCAAGCCGAGGTTTAGGGGGGTGGGGGAGGTGGAGAAGGAGCTCATGATGGAGGTGAGGTTCGCGGTTGTCCAGGATTGGTTTACGGAGTCCCAGTGCCGGGCTATGAGGGCGGAGGATGGGTCTTGGAAGAAGACTGTGCGGTGGATGTGGCCGTTTAGGTCGGTGCGGTTGGTTGCTGTTAGTTGGGATGTTGAGAGGATGTTGATGTTATTGTTATTATTGTCATTCGTGCTGTTATTGTTATTGTTGTTATTATTGTTGTTGCCGTTATTCCCATTTTGTGACCCGTCTGAGTTCGTGTCTTTGGAGGTTTGGTTCTGTTTAGCTGCGAGGCCGCCTCCGATTCCGCCGGCTAGGGCGCCGATTATTATTACTATTGCAACCACGAGAAGTATGCAAAATGTGCGCTTTGGTAGACCCCATATCCTGCTCGTCGATTGTTGTGGCTGTGGCTGTGGTTGTTGTGATTGTTCTTGGGTCGGCGGTAAATCGTTTGGAGGTTGAACTTTTTCGTGAGTAACGACCTCTGGAAGATATCCTCTGTCCGTTTCGAAAGCAGCCAGCTGCGGGTATACGCTATCATGTTGAATCGTCTCCTTATTCGTCTCGCCTGAGTAGTACGGGTAATAACCCTCGTTTCCCCTAACCTCTAGTGTACTGTACGGCGACATAGTGACAAACTTCGTCCAAGGTCCCTAGTGGCACGCCACAAAGGGTTTGTGTAAGAAGTCGAGGAGAGGAAGAAGCCATTATCATAATCTTGATAAACGGTCACCGTTCGGTCGAAACACATAACTGGGATCTATCTACCCGGCCGAAATGTGCGGATGTGGCGTACGACTATCATGCTCTTCATTCAACCTCGTTTAAGTATCGAGCCAATCACGGAAGCAATCTTTTCGCATATAGTCGCCTGTGTAACCATACCCCTAGTAAGTCTGTAAGGCAGATACCAACCCGAGAGTCCTAAGGATTCCAGAAGCATATATGTAACCTGACGAGCTCCATATGAAACCCTGGCAGCCCTAAATGATTGACAGCCTTCACGACAACGTGCCAGGTCCTTTTACCACGCGGACTCACGGCGCGGCATAATTGTCGAATGCAGTAATGGCCGCTCCGAAGCTTCAAAAGACGCGACTGGTTGAATCGATCTTTCATGGCCATCTCCTCGGGTGGCTGAGATGTCTGAGACATATAGTAAGACGAAAGGGGAAATAGAGAGACGTCGGGAGCGGGTAACACCTAAAACCGTTTAGAAGGATCGAAGATCCGGATCAATCTACAGAAACACCGAGAAGTTCGTATAATGCTACCTATAAAGGTATAAGCGTTTGGTATTCGAAACACACATCGAGAAAAATGATTTCTGATATTATCGAATTCGTCTAGTCGTAGTATTGATAGCCACCTCCGATTCCCATATTATAACCTATACTTCGCACCCAAGCCCGGAAATCTTCTTTCGCTTCATAAGTGCGCTATATTTCTAGCAAGTCAGTTAATTAGTTTTATTATTACCGGCGATTAGTCATGATCTTCCTTGTTGCTGATTCGAAGCACCAGTCCGGATTATGCGACATGAAGGGGAACAAATGTTGAGGTTGACATGGCAAACGTCCTCCATGCGACCCTAGATCCTCAGATGCTTTTGTCATCACCCGACCGTCCAGAACGCCTCTCTATGTAATCTCCCATCATACAGTATCTACTCATGTAGCCGGCTCCTAGCTTCTCCCACCCGTTACCCCGTCGTAGCCTCCCTTTTGTGAAATGTCATCATCGGTTCAGGGGCCAGTAATACAATGTTTGAATAGTTGTAAGGTAGTCCATAGAAATAGGCGCATCGCTTTCTCAGTACCGGAACCCAAAAATCCCCATGCTAAGCAATGATCCAACTTTTCTAAATAGTGGACGGGACAACCGGACTAGCTAACACTAGTTCAGGCATTTACGCCTTTCGGGAGCGTGTAGTAACACCGTTGGTCCTGACTCCGGTAGCCAGGACTGGCTTCTCAATAGCGCTCGCCACGGTGTGGTGGTCCGGAAGAGGAGCCTGCGACATGCGTCGAAGGGTCTTGCGCGTACTAGGCGCCTTGTGGTCCTTCTTGTACGTCGCGAAGTAAAAGGAGATGAAGAGAACCAAGTATGAGGTTAGAGTTCCGATACCAGCGAAGGCCGCGAACTCCTCTCCAGCACACTCGCCCGCGTTCGGCATCCATTGGAAGTAGGTAGAGGTGAAGTAAGTGTACGAAGCGTAGTAGACGAATCCTAGACAAATCGGTTAGTTCCTAGATGCTAATTGGGGTACTACTAGTCGAAGATCCCAACTTACCGAGATCGATGATGAACTGGGCGATTTGTAGACGGGTGATGTACTCCTTCCACCAGATTCGGATTCCACGAGCGCTCTGGAAGTAGTACCAGTACATAACCACGTGAACGGTCAAGTTGAGGGTAATTACGACCCACGAAACCGCAGTAGAACCAATTAACTGAGTGTAGCAGAGGAATGCCGTCGCACCATGGTGATAGCAATGGAGGAAAGCTATAAAATATTAGACTCCTGATTTCAGCTTAATTTTTCAGAAATTACATACTCAGAGGCTTCTTCTTGAGGAACAGGAACACAGTGTCAAGGAGTTCGAGGTATTTGGTGAGGTAGTTCAACTTGTTCGAGTTAGCATCACCAGGCTAGAAAATTAGGAATCTAGGTACGGCGTATACGTACGTAGTAGAGTACAACCAACGGCTGCGTCCAACCTCCTTGCTTGTCGCAAATGGAGTAGAAGATGCCATGTCTGACAACGGTAGGTAGTAGCTGCTCGATAAACAGCGCCAGAAGGAGACCGCTAATAGCGGTGAGGTAGAAGTTGTGGATCAAGAAGAGCGCCTTCAGCTTGAAGGGCTCGCGATTCCGCATATACTCTCTACCGCCAAAGATCACGCTGTAGTATACGACAATAAAGATCAACGTCTCTTTCAACGTTGACATAGGCGTCTGACCGGCCACGAATCGGAAATCATCGGCGGGATAGCCCACGACGGCCTCGAAGGCCTTGCTGAAGTAGGGCCATATCGGTACGCCGAACGGTCGATCGAGAGTTGGGATAGGGAGAGATTCCCAAATAGCAGGAGCAGCGGGAGTGGCCATGATGGAAGACGATTGATCGTACACGCCAGACACGATAAAGCCACGTAGACAAGTTTGCGCGAAAATGATGCGCTAGGACTACGTGGGAAAAAGAGACTGACGAGTCTTTTACAACAAGTAGTCTGAATGTGTAAAGGAAAACGTTCGAATGAAGGAGCGACGGGAAGAAAATATTAGAGACCCTGCGATTGACTCGCCAGGGTAGTTGTGTAAAAAGTGGTACAAGTGACAAGTGGAAAAGAGAAAAGGAAGATTGAGACTTATGAATATGAAAATCACGGGTTGACGCTCGTGAAGATGAAGAAAAAAAGTTGAGAGAACGGACGCTATTGGACTTTTGGACTTTTGGGTCTTCATTAAACTCCACGCCAACAAAAGGGGACGCGACCTACCTCAGCTCTAATTGGTCGGACGCTCCACCTAATCCCGTCTCTTCAGGGATCACCGATCGGTATTGGCGGGTTCCTCGGACGGCCGGTCTTTCCAGGACAGCCATAAACAAATCGATAAAATTGATAAAATTGATAACGCAGCCTTAAGGAGTACATAAACGTCTATCCGGTACCTGTTAGGCACGTGCCTCCTTTACGAGTATGAAAATAAGACATATTGCCTGGATCTGTCCGTACCTGCATATATCTGCCAAATCATTAATTGGGATTGGCCTTTGCGTAGAAATTATTTCTAATGGGAATTGACCGATTTGTCGACGTCTTTTCGCCATTCTTTTTCCTGTCTTCGATTCTCCCACAGTCTCGGACTTGAGGACATCACAATAGATTGATGAGATCTCGGATGTACCGGCAGGTAAGATAATGTACTACCTAGCAATAATACGCATGTAAGTAAACTTCTTAAGTTCTCACCTATCGCTAGTGTAATTATGCAATCCTTATGCGGCACGACCAATCGTACCTAGTACCTAGGCTCATTGAGTTGGACGTTAGCTTAGAAGCAGCTAAACCTCGGCCAATTTCAAAATATGGGGTCCTTCTGTATTCCATATACCGAGAGATCCCCATTTTCATCAGATGCCAATTTTCCCATGCATAACAGGATGCAGTTTGCAGTTTGGAAGGATGTGAAAAGTCGACGTAAGCTTTTCTTATAAACAAACTCGTGTCCTCAAGATGGCTTCAAGTTTGTGTCCTTCATCCTATTAAATCTAAAGTTGAAAGCCAATTAGAATTCATGCCAATATGATGTCTCGGTTTTAATTGGTGGATCCCCTGGTCTGGTAACCGGGATTTTTTTCAGCTAGTCGAAAGGACGAAATGAGCATCGATCTGCTTTAGCTAGAAAGTAAAAGCTTGATTGGTGAAGTAGCTCCTTTACTTCAATATTGCGAATGTCATATAATACCGGTAACTAGTTCAATACAGGTAAGGGAGAAAGAAGCATTTGCTAGGAAACCATCCAGATTGTCGTAAATTTCAATTGAGGCTTAATTGAGGCTGAAGCTATTGAAATGGTGGCTGGTACGTTGTCTTAGATTTCGAGGGGTAATGAGATTCGCTGCCATCGGGCTTTCGATAAGATAATCTGGATGATGTTCGGGGACTTCAGGCTGTGATAAATACCTATGGTCCTACAGCACCTGCCTACCTACCCACTAGTATGCATATACATATGTAGTTATACTTCAATATGTTAGTTCAATTTCGATCCTGTTCTTTGGATCCTGATGCAACTCGCATGCCGTAGTTGCAGATCTATAAGAAATGGGAAAATAACAACGTGATTCCTCGCCGAATCGCTATTCATGCCCGACCCATTGAACTAGAGTACCCCGGAAGGAATGGTTAGCGTGAGAGAACATAGGAGGTATTGCTCCGGCTCTTTTGAATATCTTTACTGTTTGATGCTTCTCTGCATCTAGGTCACGAGTCGTATAACAATCAAGTGAGATAGGTAGGATTAGTATAGTGATTTTTATAAGTCTATAGCTTCTGTGGTAGGTAGAGGTAACAGTAAGGTGAGGGGTTCGTGTGTAAATAAAGAGGTATCTAAACTGCGAGGTGCCAAGAGGGGTATGGGACTTATCGGGATCTGTTCGGGCTCAGGGTTGTATGGTCGGTTGTCAACTGTAGTTTAGGTTTTGTCTCGCTTGCTGTAAACTGTATATTCCAAAGTTTTGACATTTCGATACTCGGTATGATGAATTGTACGACGTCGAAATATATGGTAGGTTGACCCTTTAAATACTCTTTCCTTTCCTTGACAATGACGTAGAATGTCAACATCAAATCCAAAGGCAGCTACTGGTCCGTCCCCTCTCTTCAATAACAGCAAGGAGCTCTCCGATTCTTTGGCCAAAGCAGTAACAACTAATCCCGATTAGCAAGGAAAGTGAGCTCACTGCTGTTACCTAACTGCATTTCGCACCCCGAGATCCACTCGCCGACCACCGAGTAGCCAATCAGAATAATTCTTTTTGCGAGCCGGCCTTCCATTTCCCCTAGCCACCTTAGCCACGCATCATTCGATACGTGAGAAATTCTTCCTAATCAGCTAAGATTGACTGGAAACCGAGTCAACGGCCACCAAATCAGATCAATTCGAACTACCACAGCCTGCACAACCACCACCACCGCCCGCCAAACACCACACCACACACCCATACCCAATCTCGAAATAATTTCTTTTATTTCTTTTAACATAACAGGGACGAAGGATAGAAAAGGACTAAACGAACAAATACGACACTTATCTTTAATTCTCGTCGACTTACCCGATTAAACCGCACCTCTCCACTCGACTAATTTTCTTTTTTTTTCTTCCTTCAATCTCCCCTCACCTAATTAAAAAATATTATGTCCTCGATGTCGCTCCTCAGAATCGCCTCGCGCGGGCCTTCTAAGACCTTTTTCCGTGCCAACCGACCTGTCGCACCCACCCGATCCAGTGCATCTTTCGTTCCTGGCTTAATCGCTGGCTCTAGCCTTAACTTCAGCACAACCGTGTCCCGAAGTTCGGCTGCGCACCACGAAGAGACATTCGAGGAATTCACTGCTAGGTAAGGATACCTATTTACCTCAACAACCGGGATCAGATGGAATTATAAGCAAGAGATGGGACAGAAGAAGCTCTACGTACCAATTGATCGCGATTATTCATATTTAAAAAGTTCAATTGGGTGTTTGGTTGGATCATGGAAGCTTAAAATATCGCTCAATTGGTGTTCGGGTTTTGGGATAGTTGGAAAAATTCGCCAATTCGGATACGATGCTAATCCGAGCTTCTCCGAATAGGTACGAGAGTGAATTTGAGAAGGTGCAAGATGTTTTCGAGCTTCAGGTTCGTCGACTTTGTTATTCTATCCTATCTTCTGCAGGTCCTTCGGTCCTTTTACCAGCAAAATCGCTATCATTTACAACCGAGGACTACCTACGTCGACCCACTCTCTCCACACGTCCTGAATCATAATCCCCCATCACGACGTCAGACACTATGTCGCATACGACAAAAATAACTCACTGACCTATATCACAGCGTAACTTAAACAACGCATTCGCCTACGATCTCGTCCCCTCCCCCTCAGTCGTCGAGGCCGCCCTCCGCGCCGCCCGCCGCGTAAACGACTTCCCCACCGCCGTCCGCATCTTCGAAGGCATCAAGGCCAAGGTCGAAAACAAGGACCAGTACCAACAGTACCTCGACGAGCTCAAGCCCCTACGCGAAGAGCTTGGTGTCCTCCTGAAGGAAGACCTATACCCCGAAGGCCCCAAATAGAGTCCTCCCTCTCTCATTTCCACTACTCACTAGTCATTCATCATTCATCGTCATTTTCCGTCTAAAGCATTTAAGAACGAAGGGTTGAAAAGGAACGGCGCGAGGAAAGAGGTGTCGTGTCTGGTAGTTCAGGGGCGCGACGGCGAAGAGAACAAACAGGGAGAGGCCATGCGCGGATAAGGAAAAAATATAAACAGCAAAAATCCGACGTAGGCCTCGATCTTGGATGGATGGGTTTCTACCGTCGCGATGTGTATATGTCTACGAACCTCTACTACATCCCAATAAATAACAAATTAACAACTGAACAATTCTGAGGTGTGATGAGATATCAATCCGCGCTAAGGCCGTTGCGATATTGACTCGTTTTTAAAGGAAATGGGGGCTTGGAGATGGACAAGAAGTGGTTTTATACGCTTTCTCCCCTTTGCCTCCTGTTACCGTCGCAATAACTAACAACTCCATATTCCCCGGCTCCTTTCCCATGGTCCGGGAAACCCCATCTGCATATTTTATGAACTGTTGACGTAAGCTTTGCTGCACTATGGATATATGTAAATCCCACAGCTCAACGTGGATCTATCTATGCACGCTCAGACGCTCAGACATACCAACATGGATGGATAGACAGATATGCACATGTCTACATTGGTAGATACCCGTAAAAGGGGGGCAGAAAAGGGTACGTACGTACGTAATTAGGTAACAAAAACAAGACAAACATTCGAAAGAGCCTCTAATTACCATATTCATACCTCTCGATCAACCAATAGGTAGAGACAAATCAGTAGTAGCCGCTTTAAAAAAACACGACGAATCATCTACGATACGAAGCTATTCTCATTGTATTCATCGCGAGCCAATTCTTCGTGTACATATACACCTCCCCTTCGGTATCTTCCTCTACTCTCCCTTTCGATGTAATCTATCATCGCGCACCCCATCACCATCACCGTCACCGTCATCATCATGCATTCAGAAACCCCCTCTACCCCATACCTGCAGTCTAGAGGCTTTGTTAAAGCCTCAAGCAGTTAACTCCTCCCTGTAGAACTCGATATTCACCCCCTTCACCTCTTCTCCCCATCTCAAATCGAGAAAAAAAAAGCGTTACCGAAAAGAAGAAAAAAGTAAAAAGGGGGTACGGAAAAATCGTGAGGTCCGTCCCCGATGCAATCTCTCTACCTAGTACAGCAATAAAATGACGAAAAACACAAGGCGCAATGCAACCGCAAACCGCGACCATCCTCTTCGCGTCCATGACGCCGGGGAACCTGCCGTGCAAAGAAAAGAAAAGAAAAAAGAAGAGAGGAAACGTAAAGAAAACCGCGGATCCGAGGGGGTGAAAAGAGGTTCTATTCGGTTGTTCTGTCGTTCGGTTTTCTGTGACGTAAGCGATTCGTGATGGGGTGGTGCCGTGAGATGTCATCCTGACTCAGAATCTCGTCTCCCTCAAATGTGAGGCCCTGCCCGCAACCGGCGTCCCGCTGCCAGCCTCAAACACGCCCGTGGGCGGGGGCGCCGGACTAGTGCCCCTGCTACTCGAGCCGCCTTTGACTCTTCCGCCGCCGTTCCGAGGGCTATTGAACGCGCTCAGACGCGGACTACGCGGGACGCTGTTCTGGCGGGTTCCCCGCCTATTCTCCTTCAGTTGCCTGAGCTCATCCTTCACTTTGCCCAGTTCCGCATCGCGGTCGTGCACGATGCTCTTCTGCTCATTGAGAAGTCGCACTAGCTCCTCAATCTGTCGCGCGTTGTTGATCTGGTTGACCTTGACGATGTTCTCGTCCGCTTTGCGGCGGAGCAGTTCGATTTCTGCTTCGAGCGCTCGGTTCTCCACTCCTAGTTCCCCGGCTCTTTGAGACGCGTTTTGATATGCGTTCTTCGCGTATTCCATGTCGTTCTTAGCCATAGTGGCTCTCTTTTCGATCTTTTGAATCTCGGCTTTTGCCTCCTCGAGGCTCTTCTCTAGCTGGGCCATCTTGGCAAGCTCGGGATTTGCGGAGCTGAGAAGCGATTCGTTTGCTGAGGTTAGCTGCTTCTGAAGTTCTGTGTTTTTCTCCTTCAACTCAGAGGCTTCTTTCCTGCTAGACTCTAGACTAGTATTAACTACCCTTGTCTCTTCCTTAGCTTTGTTATAATCGTCCTCGAAGATACCCCGGTCCCTCAGAGCGTTCATGTAGTTAGCCTGTATGGTGTTGATCGTCGAAGCGTACCCATCGACCTCTTTTTTAGATCGGTCACTAAGCTGGCGAAGCTGCTGCTCTCGCTGCTTGCTCTCCTTCAGTTTAGTCTTGAGGGTTGCGATCTATAAGGTATCATATTAGTACAGGACGTCCATGGGTACTTAATAACGGAACTAAACTGACTTTGGTTGACAGTATCTCCAACTTGCCAACTGATACTGAGAGCATTGCTTTCGGAGAGTCGACCGCGTCGTCCCTTAAGAGGCCTTTCAGCGAATCGCTGATATGACTTACATTAGTAACAACGGTAGGTTGAGAAACTCGAGGACGCTTAGAAGAAGTCTCGTCATCTTCATCTACCTATAACCTAGGTTAGTTTATATAGGTCAATCGTAACAAGTAGACTTACATCATGAGATCTCTTGCGGTTACCGGAAGCCTGTTCGATCTCAAGACCCTGTAGATCAGGCTGGGGAATCGATGCTTGGAGTTGAGAGCTTGCGTGCAGATCCTCAAATACATTCTCGGGAACTTCCAAGGGTTCCCAATAAAAGTCATCATTATCCTGATCCTGTATGTAATCTGAGAATAGTTCAGCTGCGCTATGTAGCTGAGTGATCTGAGAACTGCCAACGTCTTCTATGTACCGCATTGCTTTCACTAGCGCAAGGACGAGAACATTCTTTCGCTCCAGGGGTTCGATACTCTCTGAGATGCGCATGTTAAGGTGTTGTATGGAACATGCGTTTGTCAGAACCATTAAGATAGGAGACCGTTCTCGAAGAGGTGATGGAAGTAGCTCTGGCCGATACGTATGGTCAAACGCTATGACAGCTTCAACATCTTCGAGGATAGACGACGGCTTGTCGAGTGTTGATGAGATAGCCACTGTCAGAGAGTGTCGGGCAGTTGAAGAACCAACAATTTCATCACCAGATCGGATGTAGCGGTATCCTCTTGTTTTTACAACTTGATCGAGGAGGTCCATGGCCTTTCCGGGGCGGGATAAGATGAGAATCTTCTTATCGGACTTCACATCGGCCAGGCAGGTAAGTAGTTCATCAATGAAGGCGAACTTGGCATTTGTCCCAACGACGTGTTTAGTCATCTCGTCGGGCGACATAGTTGGGATAGTCTCCATGAAGGGCGGCAGGTCACAAATATCGAGAAGTCGTGAGAACATCTCATCAACCTTCGATATTATCGTGGGATGGGGTTTCAGGTGTGGCAAAACTAGAAACGAGGCATTGTATTCGCGGATTAAACCCTCGTTTTCGCGGAGAACGTCGTTATATACGGGACGACAGTTGCTGTAGAATGGAAGCGTGATGAGAAACTCATTGTGTCCGGTAGGAACGTACGGGTGGAGATTCTTCGGATAGTTGGCGGGAGGTAATTCGTCTTCTTCCTCCATGCCGAATGCAGGGTAGGCATGATATTCTGCGGATAACAAATTGTTAATTTCTACATCATTCTCAATAGAAAGCGTCAAATTAGATGGATCTAAGGTCCCAGGTTGCTCTTCATTGGCACCGAAACCAACATCGGCAGGGCCGGCCTCTTCTAAAATAAGCTCGACTTGCTTCTCCGGTTCGATGAGCGCCTGCGAGGTGTCGGGGACTGCTGGTTGTTGCATATTTGAAGTTAACTCGTTCTGAGCTGCTTCTGGTGGCTGGGATGGGAAAGTAGATATTATGGGCGGGGGAGTGAGGGGACTGATGTCAGGCCTTGGAGGGACTTCAATTGCCTGAGGATCCGGAATGGCTGATTGAGGTTCTGCCAGAGTATCTATTTTAGGCTCAACTTGAATCGGATCTTCTGAAGTTGTTGTGAGGATTGTGGAAGGTTTTTGTAGAGAAGCAAAACTTTTTTCTCTGATTAATCTTAACCTCTCACGAGCCGACAGTTGGGTGCCAGGCTCAGCGCTATCCATATTGGTGGTTGCGGCTTGATGCCGTGGCGTACGGTTTAAGTTGCTAGAATGTCCCGAATTCGCTAGGTTCGGTTGCCCGACTGACGATTCCTCCTCACCGACGCTGTTGGTCGGTTTATTTAGATTGCTCTGTAATAACTCTATGTAGCTTGGTATAGGCTGTGGATTAGATTGGTGATCTTTGAAAGACGATATATTCCTAATACTGTCGTCTAATTCACCTAGACCCTGACTCGAGTCCTGAGAGTCGCACTGAGCTTGAGAGTTTCTCAATAAAGTATCAGGTATGACTACGTCGTCGTCGTAAACTGTGAAGTAAGAGTGGCTGCGCGTTACGAGCCCACCTTGTTGGCTACTGAGAGGAACAACAACCTGTGCTGCCTGAAAACTGCTTTGCTGGGACGCTGTACTAAAACTATGCGCAAATATCTGGTCTTGGCTCACGCTCGTCACAGAGATATGTTCATCCGAGGGCGATTCGCGTTGATGAATAGATGCGCAGTTATTTGGTTGACCTGTGGAAGGAACACTGTCGAGGCTCAAGTTTACCCGTGCTAAGAAACTTGAATGGCCTCTACTGGCTGTGCCTTGAGAATTATTAGACGTAGCAAAACCTAAGCTAGACTCATTCACTAAAGCGGAGCCTGATAAGTTTTCCCGAATGCCAGGGAAACGATAATCAACTTGATGCGAAGGGATCTCTATCGAGTGAGAATGTGATTTAAGTTGATGGTTTTCTGAACTTTGCCGTGATGAGGCGAAAGCTTCTCCCTGAGCTTGATTCGTTCCAAATGAATCCAGGGGGGTAAAAATGCTGCTTTGCGTCTCAGTAATTGATGCGCCAGAGAAAGCTTGAGAATCTGGTATAACTTGATTCACGTCTCTCTTAGTTTCTGGGTCGTGGCCTTGTTGCTGGCCGCTTGATCCTTGTGACGACAATGTGCAGTATTGATTGGGACCAAACAAGGGATCCCGAACCAACTCAACAACCTTCTGAGCTTTCTGAGTTTTCTGGGGTTCTTGAATGCTCCGTAGAGTGCCCTTGCCTAGGTCGATGTTGTTTCGCCTACTGAGTACCTCTAATGGAACCCGAGCTTCTATTCCGTGCTCTGCACTTTTGGAGTGTGTCGTTTTGACTTCGGTTAACTGCTGGTTACGTGCAGCTTCCTCACCAAACGTAAGCTCCTGTATTTGACTGAACACGGTCCTGTCCCCAACCAGATTTTCACGATCTGGTCGAACGGGAACCTGTAATAGCTCTCTCTGCCCCGTATAAGATGTTTGCGTAGAGTGAGTCGTGTTGCTAACAGCTACATCAGATGTATTCTGTTTGTGCTTAGCTCCGGTCCTACTCTTCTCCCAGGCACTTATTGCAACAATTGAGACGTTATCTTCCGGTTCCTACACACACTCAGCAAGGGTTCTGGCAAACAGATGAGTTAAGCCCTACCCAAGATGGTATATGCGGTCGACCGTTGTCATCAGTGCCTTCCCAATCTACCAAGTAATAGATCTTTCCGTGCTCAACCTTCTCGTTAATGATACCTCGAATGGCGAACCAATCGTTATATTCTTCTTTATTCTCGCCTTCGGTTTCGGCTTTAGAGGTGGCATGGGTTAATTTTCGCTTCTTAGACTTTGAGGTGGGTCGCTGCCGCTGTTGCTGTCGTTGAGTTTGGCTTTGGGGTATTGGTGAGGGTGGTGGCTGGGATCCTTGATCACGTTGTCGACGATTCTTCGATATATGGGACTTGGTGTTAACCGCGCTCATTGGCGGTAATTTCCTTGAAGGATGATCTGAGGAAAAGCAAAATCCATAATTAGCTTTCCTTAGCAAGACAATCCAGTTACCCTGATAGATATGCAATAGTTCTACCCAGGTAAGGTTTTATATCACCAAGGTAGTCGTCTAGCCGTTTAGTTGTTTAGTCTTCCTTGATCGGAAGCTGTTTCTCTAATAATTATGTACTGAGTAGAACTAAACGTAGCCGTGCGACAAGGCTCCTGTACCTAGGTACAGGGTCCACTGTTGGAAACAGGGCAGCTGCAGGGATAGACAGGCTATGTGGCACGTTATCGAGTGCTGTGGCTCAACCCGATCTTAGGCAATTGCACAGGTGGGGTGACTTCCAAGGTTCAGTTAAGCCACGCGGACTGCTGTTATTGGGGGCTACAGAGGCCAGAGCCTAAAGCCTAGAGCCTAGAGCCTATTTCTTAGGCACATTTTCTTATCGTGATGCCAAACTCCTAAACTCCTCAACTCTCAAACCCCCAAACCAAAGCCAAACCCCCTTAATTCCGAGACCACCAGAGACGATGAAAGATCAAGCATAGGAAAACGTAGCAAATACAACTCTGGGTGCAGGTTTGACTTTCAAGGTCGCATGCTTTTGATGGCCATTGCTACTTGAGCCTGGTCGGAACTATCACCCTCTTCAAAATGGGCCTCACGAGCGGCCTCCATACGGGACCTATCCCAGAAGTAACACCCGCCCGACCTCAAACGCACATGGTGCTTGCTGTGCTGGTACACGGCCTTCTGCGGTATGAAGTTTCCGTAAGCGCTCTTCCACATCGAGAATGGGCCATCGTCAGGATCGGAACGGAGCAATGGCTGGAATCGAGAATTCCAATCTTGTGCATCCTTGATGGTAGAGACCAAGGCACCTGCATTCGCGTACAGTCCGTTCGCTGGAAATGGTTGTTCTCTCCTCCACTCAAGCAAGCCACTAACTGTAGGTAAGTACTCATTAGGAGCTTCGGCGATGCAAGCAACCCAGTGATGCGCTCGGTCCTCAATGTCAATAGCCTCGTTGGTGAGGTATTCCACTGTAATGACAAGAATTAGTAATTCCCTATAAAACTTTCGCTCCTAAGATGAGCCGAAAAGTATGAAAAAGGGACTATCGGTGTTACATACTGTCACCCGTTCCTCCAAAGATGATGCCCTCGAGGCCACCAGTGAATATCGGGATAACATCGCTTATCAAGTTGAATATCTCCACGTATTCATGTTGGTCCTCTATAGAGTCTACCACGAGGTCTCTGAATACTGCTTGCAGGTATTAGCTCTATTCTGGTATGTGTTTGACTGTTGATGATGTTGGGGTTCTAACCTGGGTTTATTACCATCACGACAAAGAAACACCAGATGCTGGCCAACTGCTCGTTTTCCCAGGGCGCGAACTTCCTCAGAACGCCATCCATATTGGCGATAGCAACTTCATCGTTCGGTCCTTGAGCTAGGTGGAACATCGGATGCACACGAGCGCAGGCAAGATGTATCTCGAAATGATACATAGCGCGCATGATGCGACCCATCTCAGATACCGATGGATTCGGCGTTGTATCACTGATCGTCTTACTGTAGGTGTCGGCGAAGCGTGTGATGGTATGATGGAGCTTGTTGATTGTGATAATCTCACTCCATTCCAAGTTGACATTGAAGCGTTGTCCTGGTTTGAGGAAGTCGTCAATGTAGGAATTCTTGAATTCCTTGACATCCATAAGAGGCAACTGGACAATCTCCATCATCAGAAGTGCCTCGTCGCGCACATCATGTGCATCCAGCTGGTTGAGAAGGACGCGTATCGTTATACTACGCCTGGCCTGAGAATAAGCACGCCAGAGTCCTGGAGAAGCACGAATGGTCGTCATCAAAGTGGCGATGCAGTCTGATTCGGAAAGAATCAGGCTTCTAACTTCCACTGGCAAACGCTCTAGGCGCGACAATCGATCTTCGGAGTGTTCCATCTCGATGAAGCTGGTGATGATGGTTGCTGTGTTGATTGAGAGATGCCCGGGAAGTCGGCGATGAATGAGAAGGGTGGACAATCGAAGATGAGAATGATTGGTAGTCCACAAGAACGGTCGGCAATTGTGAATGGAAGTGACCGAATATGATCCTAGTTGGTAATGCACGAGAATGATGGATGAGAGTAAATGGTAATAAGTACGAGAGTAGAAGAGGGCGAAGTATGAGAGTGAATGATGGTGAACGAGAGAAACGAGAAATTCAAGTTTCAAGGTTCAAGTGGGAAAGGTGGGATGGTTGAAAAGTTAGAAATCAGAAAGTAAGTTGCAAGACGATATCCTTGAGTATATATAGATTTGACAAGAACCGAAGCTCACCACCTAATCAGCCATCCGGCAATATTTGCACAGTCCACGGCTCCGTCTAAGTTGGAAAGTGGGACCGGACCGCCGTTGCCAAGTGCTAAACGGACGGCCTACAGCCGGAGTTACGATTTCGAAGCGGACGCACGGGGCAATAGCTGGTAGACGCAGCCACCTTCCTGACCTGCCTGCACAGTGCAGTGATAAGGTAAGGCAGGCGCTTTAACATCTTACACCTTCCTCGACTTCGAATCATTATGAAAAATTTAAAAAGTTAATATATACCTAGGTACATACATGTAGGTACCTGTAAGTACGTAGGTACCTAGTAGGTACATATGTATATATACTAGGTACAGTAAGTATAGATCAATGTTCATAAAGATAGTATTGGCATCTATCACAGGCAAAGAAGGTATCCATACCAACAGTATCAACAAAAACACATCCAGCGGTAAAAGCAACAAGGGGTATATCGCCGTATCCCCATTGCCTGCCCTACCAACCAACCACAACGCCAAACCACCTTCCCCAGAACGCCAAACCATCCCTTTTGTTTTGCAAGACCCTTTTTCCATCTATCAGACACCAAATAACCCAAACCCCAAGTTTCCCTCCCAAGCACCGTTTAATACAACAACTTCCCACTCTCAACCAACTCCTTAAACTGGTCATTCGGCTCATCGAACCTATACCCATCGCCCCTAACAACACGATCAACCTCCTCCCTCACAAACGGGTAAACATCCTTCCACGCATTCCTACCCATCCAACAATCCAAGTGTCCATAACCAGGAACCACGCGTCTCCTATACCTAACCCCCGACCGATCATCACCAGTGCCAAAAGTATCCGTTAGGATCTCATACGTCTTCTCCGTGCTCTCGAGACTCAACACCGCGTTATCACGGCCGACGAACAGCATAATCGGCACGCCCTTCAGCCTCCTGATATTATCATGGGTATCGAGTCTTTCGAACAAGGGCTTGTTCCCCGTCACCCCGCCTTGGTACCCCTGCTTCATGAGGATATGCATGAGCGTCATGCTCACGCCGCCGAAGAACCGGTCGATTTGTCTGTGCGTCGCCTCGTTGAGGTTATGGTGGTTCCAGCACCGGCCCAGCGCCATCGTCGTGCGGTGGCAGCTCGCGTTGTTGCAGAGTTCCTTCCGCGAGTCCGGCATTAATCGGAGAAGCTGGTTGAGCCCTTTCTGCAGGAGGCTGTCGTTCTTGCTTGTGCTGAAGCTGAACCAGTCGCCGAGCAGGAACTTGTAAAAGATATCACCGGGGATTGGAAGTGCTGTGATCTTGATCATATTCGCTAGGTTCCAGATCGGGTTCATGAATACTTGGCTGCATGTTATACCCTGGATCCACTTAGCCGGGATCGTGCCGTCTAGCAAGCCCGTTGACAGCGCCACGCTGCCCATGCAGTGCGCGATCGTGTATATCTTCTCCGGCTCCGCCCGGTTTTCATCGCGGAGAATGGATTCCTCGCGGATCTTTTCTAGGCAGGCTTTGAAGTCTAGTCGCGCGTCGAATGTCGTCCAGTCATCTTGCGCAACCATCAACATGCCGATGCGGTGAACGGTAATCCATACTCGGTATCCGGCCCTGCGGAAGTAGTTGACGGCATTGTAACGGATAGTCGGCAGCGCGTAAATCTGATGATCAACCGAAGCACCGGGGATCATGAATAGGTCCCTTGTATCGATAGATGTGTTTGTAGGCTCCCACATATGCAGGCTAGTAACAACACCATCGGAAGCCTTGATCTTGAAAGTTCTAGTCGGAGGCGTGTTATTGACGAAACCCAAGCAGGTCTGAACGGGATATTGCAACGGCGTGAGCGGCGCTAGCAGAAGGGACATGGATTTCCGCGTGAAGAACGTGAGAAAGTTGCCCGCGCTTACCACCTTCCTGAAAATGCTGCTGCCCGTAGGGGTAAGAGTCATGACTTCAGATAAGAAGTCTTGCGGTTGGATACGCATGATACCTTTCGCAACGATTTTCCCAAGAAGGCCACATTCGTCCGCATCTGCGCAGCTGCGGTCGGCATTTGGAAGGGTCTCGGTGATTGTGACGTAGAGAGTGCTCGTCGATTTCCAAAACTGTACCGGCGATAGCGCGACGGATGAGTCGACTACTTTATAGCCGTGGAAATGAAGACTCCTGCCGTTGATACCGCGCATGTCAAAATCGTAGGTCAGGTTTCGAGTGCCAGGCGCTTTGCGATCAAGCAAGAACAAGTTGAAATCGCCTCGTTGAACCATGAAAGGGGACCCCTCAAGAGTAGGGCAGACGAACGTGCCTGTTAGCATCGCTCTATGATTGGGGTCGTTTATAATGGACCTGATGTTGAAAGACTGCACGCTTAGGAAGAAACGTGCTGTTTCGCTAAGGGATTCCGCCCTCCTCGCAGCCAACTTGTACGTGTCAACGTTGTCTCTTTTGAGGCCTTCGTCGCGATGGATATATCCGGACATCACTTCCGTAAAGCCAAACCCGCTATCATTCATGCGCCTAGCATTGATGATAGTGTTCCTGGCACTGTCAATTTTAGCAATCTCCTCGACTTCGTCAACATGTACTACTGATCCACGCTTCCTATTATGGATGTGTTTATGTTGAGGAGAACCAAAGAGATCAAGAACGTCATTGGGCGTCATATCGATTGTGAGCCGCTGGCTTTTAGCATAATGGTCAACGGATCTCTCTGCTAGAGCAGTGATTGTCGCAAATGGATTTGCGCCAAGGGCAGTTGGGATAACTGCAGCATCCGTGACGATTAGACCGGAATGGGTCTTGTCGCCAGAACCGGTGAAGAGTTCGCCCATGTGATTTGTAGCACCGGTCGAACCCGTACCGTCACGAGCCATGCAAGCACCACTGTAGAGTGTTAGCATTAAGGTCTTTAGGATGAGTACCACGAATATAGTTGCTTACCCAATAGGATGGACAGTAACTTGCTGCTTGCCAAGAAGAGCGTAAAAGGGGTTTTGGACAAACGTTCCACCAACAGCTTTGGTGGCTTTCTCCAATACCCTGTTCAGGTACTTGACGTGGTCACTACGCCCAACACCTACAAATTCAAGAACAGGTTTATCGTCCTTGAGAGTGAGGTACGCTTGGTTACCTGAGACAAGTTAGTAGCTAAATTTACCGATAGGTCGACGTCAAACTCACTATCATGAGACATAATGAGATACACTTGTGTCCTCTCAATCGCACCTTTTCGGAAATACGGTCCGAGGAACGCGGTTCCGAGACGAGCAAGATTCGCCTGGAATTTGCCGATGAGGCCTTCGCCTGTTGGCTCGATGCTACCGGGTAACAGCTCGAGCATGGCTTGCAAGAACGGTGCGAGAGCCCCAGGAATAGCACCCTCCTCAATGACGTAGCCATCCAGAGGGTTATCGTGACCTGATCTATTATCGATAATACCGGTGATGGTAGGTCCGACGGGGTGGTAGGGAGAGGGGAAAGGCCTTCCCATCGCGTTCACTTCGTGGTCGGTATTATACCTGTAGACTGTAAGTCAGCGTCCTTAGGTAGGTAGTTATATCACATACCCAAAACCCAAGATATCGCCATTTCCGCTCATGTTTTCGCCGACTTTATCGCTCAAATCCAGACCCATGTTTTTACTCCGAAGGAGAATCTCAGTTGAACCGATAGCACCGGCACCAAGGAACACGGCCCTCTTTGCGTGCACCCACATGAGGTCACCATGCAAATTTGCCCTGAAATGACCGCGGTTCCTCCCGTGCCAAGCGAAATACACGATGTATCCTTCTTGGGGATAAGGGGCTTTGGTGATGTATCGGACTTCCGCCTCACAAAACATATCGGCGCCCCAGTTCCAAGCATCAGCCAGGTAAGTGACTAGTGTGGTATTCTTAGACCCATCGTTTAACCCGGTGCAGTCTTGGCCAGTCATTGCCGACGGAAACATCTCTACGCCACAGCTGTTTGGCCCATTGACGAATCGTGTTGTCTGCCTCACTCGTCGGAATTTCTCTTCCATACTGAGGTACTTCGCTTGCTTCTCCAACAACTCAAGCTTTGGCAGCTTCGGCCAGTCATCGGGATACGGTTCCGGTTGCAGGACTTTTTCTGCTTTCTCATAGTCTAGTTTGACAATGTGTTAGCCCTTGAGTCTCGTGACCAGGTTACCCCTATTATTTAGGTAGTGAAATTGGAGAATTGTATCCCTTCAACACATGATCCCTCAAAGACATCTAGAAGACAATCGAAACTCACATTCATCCAGACAATCGGGGTTATCCCTGATCTCCTTAGGCCATGCCTCTAGCTGTAGTGTGTCTTTGTCCGCTTCCAGATAAACATTGGCATTCATTAAACTGGTTCCGCCGAGACCTAGACTAGAGTAAGCTTCATTTTACGCATTGCAACCTTCACATGAAGAAGACTTACCATTACAGACCACCGCATTTTGGCAATTTCCGAAAATCATGTGGTACATGCCTGTAGGATCACCACCCTCGACAATTTTCTTAGGCAACCAACCAGGGGCGAGCTCGCCAGAGTAATGTAATTGATCAATCGAATCACCGGTGCTATCGGGATACTCTCCGGGCCAGCGCTCCTTACCGCGTTCAAGGAGACAAACGGACTCTCCGGCACGAGCCATCCGGGACGCCGCGACGCCACCGCCGTAACCGGAACCAATGACAACACAATCATAGTTTGTTCGCATGAGCTCCATGGGCTTTGATATACGAGGGAACTTAGCCGTTTTAGGATCATCTCCCCAAGACCGTATCCTGGCGTATGCTCGAGATCGTGGGCCGCCGGCCTCCTCCTCATGGTACCCATGTGTCAGGCCGGGACCACGATGTTGATTCCAGTCGAAAGTATGTGGCTCAAAAACAGTCGGGTTTGAAGTATCGGCAGAGCTTACGCTGCTAGCTCGAGCATGGCCATTAGTAGGCCAGGTTGAGACGCCATTGGGCTTTCTGTTGAATCCGTTGACGAACGGTCCTTCATTGCCTGCCGGTTCAATATGCTCGGCGCCGGTCGTTGTTGCGCTGGGGACCGCTGACGGCATTGTGGCTGTATGATCGGCTTGCTGTAAGCAATGAGATATCAAGATAGGCCTCGTTGCCGGCCGGAACTCTAAGGGTCTACCGATACCCTTGAGGTAGGATTAGGTAGGGACCCGAAAAGCAAGCAATGCTGAGTAATAACTCCAGAGGAGTAAGACTCGATGAGGACTGGGAGACTGAGGGATAGCTAGGGCATAGGAGGAATCTGCTAGTGTAAGATGTTAAGGGTCAAGATTGTCATCTCTCACCTCGAAGGATGTTGGCTTCATATACCTGAGGACGCTGGTCCCTTTGTATCTCGAGGCCGCTCTGATAACTCTCGGTGTTACTAGTACATATGCTAATAAAGACTGTACAGGTATAGGTCAGGAATATGTAACGGACAATGAAGGAAGGCGGAGGGTCAACGGTTTACGATCATGTCCTACAGATACTACAAAATACAGCCATAGCAACGGTATTCACTCATCCTGTCTGCCTGCAAGACTAATGCAAGTGGGAGAGAGACCAGGGGCAGTGCTAATCCCTGTCTCTGAGGCAGGGCTGAAAATGAAGCAACGATCGTCATCCCATATTGGTAGCAATGAGCTTTAGCGAGTTGTTTGCCGAGTCTGCCGTCCACAAACGCCATTGGGCGACCGCCGCTAGTTCGGGTAAGATCCAATAATAAAATAATAGTGAGCTGAACTGCAGAAACGGAGGAAGCTAACTAGAAACGTGATATCCCCCTACGTATGACAGACCAAAAAGGCAAGGATGGGGAAAAGTACCCCAAAAAAATGATTTCAATGAGAGAGCTAGGACGGACTTTGTGTAAGGAAAGGATCAACTACGTCAATTCGTCCAGTGTGTTGCATCTCTAAGCTTTGTGTTAATTAAGTCGTACCTCTTCAACGTCCATAAGTAGGTAGGTAAATAAAAATAAATTGTAGCTTCTTATTATAAGTCCTTTGTAAGGCCCTCAATTTAGCAGTAGCGGAATCAATGCCGTTATGGTTCAGACGGCCCTTCCCGCCTGGGTCCCGATGTCTTTATCCAGTTCCAGAATCGTGGTTCTCTTCCGTCGAAGTTTTCTTCCTGTGCTCTAAGATGAGCCGTGGATCTTGAAGAAAATGCCAGGGTAGGTTGCAAGGGATGTTCCAAACAGGTACCAATAAGATTGGCCAAGCGATCTGCTACTTTTTTTTTATCATTAGCATAGCAACACCGCAGATGCTGATTGGCCAACTACCGACTTCATTCGGAAGAGTCCGTTCGTTCTGGTAGGCAGAAATTGGCACGATCTTGTAAGACTGCGTACAGTACCATGTGCGATTAGCAACACCAAAAACTTATCTCTTACTTACCAGGCCACGTAACCACGTAACCCCCATAAGGTGAGGAACTTTCTCAGGTAACACAAATCATATCATTTCAAGGTTGTCATGGTTAGGTATAGAAACGACTGTAGCTATGGTATTTGGCGCATTTCCTTTGACCGGGCAGAGTCAATGGCTTGGCTCGATGAAGCATGTAATGCAACGTTTCCAGCCGCGATGTATGACATCGATAAAATTTAGTTCTTTGACGGACTATAAAACCGTTTTGATGTTTCAGCCACGCAAGGTACATCCGGAGATGGGCTTCAATTTCGAAGCCATCCAATAAAGGACCAAGACGGATAAGTTCTATCTTCGCGTCAGCTGTTGCAATGACGGTAGAAGGTAACTATCGATCTTAAGAGCTTAGATATTATGGATGGCCCCCCTGAAATAGACGCAAGCGCTATCATGGTTCACATAGCTGCCTATCTTAAGACCCAGCGGTAAGACCCAGAGGATTTAGGGCTGATATAGGCGATACCGAATCGGGTTTGGTACCCACAGAACAATGGAATTTAGTCAAAGACCCAAGCCACTCGGGTTGGGAACCACACCTCTAAGAGAAATCGAGATTGGGGTTACCGACGAGCATCATAAGCGTGCATATGCAGCGTTCGCCGAACTAGCCCCAGCTACATACATGATGGTATGTAGTTGGAGAAAGACCGAATTGATCTTGGGGCTGAAAACGTCGAATGATTAGAAAGCTGAAAGAAGGCAAATCTCATCGTATGTTAAAGTTTTCAACATAGACATCGAAAGCTTTCAAGGTCTTAGCCGATGTCAGCTTAACGTTGGCATTATTGGCCAACAATCACGATAGGCCTCGCCGGTAATTGATCATCCCCAATACGTTATAGCGTCACAATGAGTAATGTGTGATGAGTAAAAATGGTATCGGCTCTCCCACCCCGCATGGGGGTTGTAACGAATTGAATCTGGAGGAGTGAAGAAGTTGAAGTTGTAAGGTTCAAGTTTGTGAGTATAGTGTTTGATAAGCCGTTCCCGTTTCCGATGCTATTAAAAGATTAGTTAGGACCAATTGCAATTGTGGAGTTTGATTGGTTACCATTTAAACTTCTGCCTTAGTAATTATTCCTATAACGGCTAGGTACCTAATAGCTAATAACACACTAACTTTTAGCTACTTGATCTCTATAGTCATGTTCCATATTCTTTACAACTATCCGTCCTGATAGTTAATTGGACAATGATTTGAAACGTATCCCACAAACTCCGGATACTATTTTCGTACGCTAGCCTACCTCCTGTACCCAGGTAGGCATCCAATCTAGATCCGTTGATTATTTTGAGATGTTCAACTGCAACCTGCAGGTACAGAGAAGGCTTCGAAATAGATTCCAAGAAAAGAGAGACAAGGCCTGTCGTGTCACTCAAGTCTCTAATTCGGGTAAGCTGTCCTAGAACACCGCCTTTTTTTTCTCCATGTTGTGTCCCCCACTATCTCTCCTCTTGGTACCATGTCCCATCTAATCTCATCTAAGAAATAGCGACTAATAAGGTACTAGGTGAGCAATTGGTTCCCTCTTCCTGTTTTTGATCGACCTGCAGAATGTACTTTCACATGTGTACTCCATCACTACATTCTGGTGCAAGATTCTGCTCTGCAGATATCCGCAACGGCATGCTCTTTCTACTTGATTATACCATAATCGTATGTGCAATTCCGTCAGCATCAGTCCACCAGAGTACGTGTCATCGCAGGAACGTAGCCTTGTTCCGCCATGGCAGCCTTGGAAATCCGGCTGTGTTTCCGATCGCGAAGGATTCGAGTAGGTATCATGTTAGGAGTACTAAAGTCTCGGAGAATTTCACAATTCGCTGTAACCCCCACCACCACCTGTAATCCTGTCCCGGCGGACCGAATACACCACGTCTGGAGAGCGTGGAGAGGGGCCAAAGACAGACGTATAACGATGGAAGACGAGAAAGAAGAACTGTGTTACGGAAGTCTCATTAATAAGTCCTAGAACGCCACGGCGGTAAATGCCCCTATTAGAGAGGAATCCTACACGGCCTAGGCACTTCGTAAAAGCGGGATTTTCAATTGCTATTACTAGGATATAATACGTATAGCAAGTTCGGTATATAGTGTGCCAGTGAGCAAGGGGCACCCGACAACGGTATCCGAAAAGGGACCTAAGTCTAAGACTTGGGGTCTAGAGTAAGATTTCACACATGGCAGCCCAAGAATTCCCCGGTTCCGCTAACCTAGGTGCCTACCTACCTACAGGACGTCGTCCTCCTCACCCAGAGCTCTGGGTCTCTCACTTGCATGTCTATCCACCTAGCTTTGGCTTGGAAACCGTACATACCAGAGCTACGCACCATGAACTGCTGGCCAGGACAGGGAACTACTACAACTGCAAGCCACAAGCCACAACCAATATCACGAGCGCCACCAGCCATCCCGCATGAGACATGACGATAGCTGTTTGCACAAGCTTGCTTTTTGTAAACGCTAAAATTCAAAAACGCCCAAAACCCCGTATTCTCTCTCCAGTCTGTGATCACGGGCGTAAGTAGGTGTACTAATCAGTCTCGGTGAGCCAGAAGGAACACCTTACATGTATGTAAAAGCGACTACTGCCGGCATTGATTAATTAGATGATATCACAACCCACCGGGTTTTACGGAGAGCTACGAATGCCGAGAACCCTAATGTCGGATACACCCTACAATATATATCACGATCCCGTGTAGCTACCTGCCAACACACCGACGTCACGTCACCACAATAACCGAACTACGACCTCGCCTTGCCTCACAACCACGTCCATCCCCTCCGGTTCGCTCGCTCGACCGGGAATCCTTCGAGATTGTTAATATATCGCAAACCCCTGAACCCGACTCGACCCCAAGGTTGAGTTCGCTCTTCAACAACCCCCGAGCTGAAGAATCTCCAATCCCGTAACCAGATATCCAAATCTCTGGATCGAACCTCTCCCATACCACCTCGCCCTGCCCCAATCCCAATTCGCAACTGACAGCATAGCACACCTAGCATAACGTAGCATCAAGACCCAAATTTCCGCCCAACAGCCCCTCAAACTCCCAGAACCCAACCCAACCCACGTTACCCTCCACCCTCCACGATCCGTCGAAATCTATACATAAATAATACCACACCATAATACCACCAAGTGTTACCCCGTCGCACCTTTCACCCGTTTTACGTTAGTTTTACAGAACCGGGCGGCGTAGTACCCGCGAAGCGCGCATCGCTATAATAGCCGCCGACTACCTCTTTTAGTAAACCATCTCTGTGCCTGCCTGCCTACGTATGTATGTAAAATGCAACCGCACGCTTGAGATGAGGATCAGATTGATCTCCCTCCCTCTTGTTCCATCGGATATAGTATTCAGTCACTAAAAGTTCACTTCTTTTTTTTAAAAAAATCCAGTAAATTCGTATATTCACATGTCCTAGTAACCCCAACCAAGCAACCCCCATCCATCCATCCAAACCCCTCCCCTCAAGGCGCCGTATGTACGCCTAGGGCAGACTCCCTCTCTCTCATAGTAGGTATCGTATCGTAAATAACATCATAACCAACAAACCACCCTAATTTTCTAGGCAAGTACACAGTACCTACGCCCAACCCACCCCATCAAGGACCCCGCGACGATCCGTCATCTAGTTCAGATCGGCCCCTACCCTGCACCAAGAACATGTACCTAGGCAAGCAGGTCGCGGTCCAGAATCAGCCTATGACAAGCCCTCGCGATTCTTCCTCGCCAATTCACCATAGCGCTCGCTCGCGAACGATACCTACCTACCTAGCAGGTACCGCCCGAATCCTCACCAACAGCCCCCATTCACCACCAATCGCCCTGATCATGCATAGCCTGAACGACCTTAATGAATCCCGCAATATTGCCACCAGCAACCAAGCTAGGCAGCTCTCCCTCCTTCGCCTTGACGTACTTCTGCGCCTTCTCGATGCTCTGGTCGAAGATATCCTTCATGATGCCCTTGAGCCTATCATCGACCACGTCGCGGGTCCAGGTGATCTGGCTGCTATTCTGCGCCATCTCGAGACCGGAAACCGCGACGCCGCCCGCGTTGGACGCCTTGCCGGGCGCGTACCAGATCGAGTCCTTGCCCTTCTCCTTCCTGGCCGCCTCGAACACGTCGATCGCTTCCTGCGTGCACCCCATGTTGGAGCCCTCGGCTACGAACTGCGTGCCGGCAGCGACCAGCGCCTCGGCCTCCTCCTTGCTGACTTCGTTCTGCGTAGCGCAGGGCAGCGCGATTTCAACCTTGCCCACGTGCACCCAGGGGCGCGCGCCCGCGATGTACTTGAACTGCGACTTGGCGCTGAACTCGGTGATGGCCTTTCGGTCAAGCTTGATGGCGGCGATCTCGTCGATGTGCTCGGGGGTGAAGAACGCGTCACCCTCGGCGATGAGGGCGCCCGTGGAATCGGACAGGGACACCACGGTGGCGCCTAGCTCGATGGCCTTTAGGGCGGCGTACTGTGCGACGTTTCCAGATCCGGAGATGGCGACTCGCTTGCCCTTGAAGCCACCCTTGCCGACGTGAGCAATCATGTGTTCGACATAGTAGACAAGACCGTAACCAGTAGCCTCTGTTTATAAACCGTTAGCACAAGGCATATCTCAAGGTGGATTGGAAAATGGATTAAATCTTACCTGGTCGGATCAAGCTGCCACCCCAAGTGAGACCCTTGCCGGTGAGGACACCTTCCCACTTGTTGCGCTCCTTGCGGTAAGTGCCGAATAGGTAGCCGACCTCTCGGCCTCCGACACCGATGTCACCAGCGGGAACATCGGTTTCAGCACCGATGTGTTGGCACAGCCGTCGCATGAAAGCCTCGCAGAACCGACGGATCTCGCTGTCGCTCTTGCCCTTGGGGTCGAAGTCGGCACCTCCCTTACCACCACCCATGTTCACTAAACGGATAATCGTCAGGAGCACTCTACTTCCTCGGTTATCGGATTAGACTTACATCCAGTCAAGGCATTCTTGAAGATTTGTTCGAAGCCAAGGAACTTCAGGCTATTGGCCGCATATATTAGCAAGGCTAATTCGGATCAGGCGGCACGAGATCTCGCAGGCCAAGGATTGTTCCTTACATTGATAGGTTGACCGTAGGATGGAATCGCAGTCCGCCTTTGTAAGGGCCGAGCGCGGAGTTGAACTGGACGCGGAATCCGCGGTTCACTTGAAGGTTGCCCTTGTCGTCTTCCCAGACAACTCGGAATTGGAAGATGCGCTCGGGAATGGAAACGACGTTTAGCGCGGTTCGGTACTCGGGGTGCTCTTCGAACAAAGAGCTGTCCTCGAGAGTGGCCACAAGCTCTATTCATGTTGTCAGTCTACGTCTACTAGCGATATAATGTTCAATCATCTAATGTACCTTTGTAGGCCTGCTCAAACTCGGGCTCAGTGGGAAGGTGAGACATAATTGCGAAATAGAATAAGATTGGGTATTATATGGATGGTAGGTATGGGTATCAATGGTGGTTGGGTATCTCAAATTGAAATGAAGGCTAATGCGAAGTAGAAAAAGGTTGTTGTTTTAAGTTCCGGATATCGGTCTTTGTCTGAATGACAGATGACGGATGGCAGCTGAACTTAATTTAATTCCGGGAGCGTAACGAGGAAACTACGGGCAAAGTTCGAGCAAGATCGAGGAAGGTGAGGTGTTATATAATGTGTCCCTTGGTGTCCCTTTCCATACCGGTCTCCTCCGGGGTAGGAAGGTTACCAGGAAGAGACTCCAGGAAGGGACACCGTCATCGGTCCTTCCATTGACTAGGTGGTGACTAGGAGGTGAGCGGGTGTTGATCAAAGCTTCACCACATAAGATGAAGTAAGTAAAAGGCTGTAATTTCAAACATTACTACAATTGTTCTCTAATGATTCAAGGTAAGCCTGTAATATGCAGCCTCACCTGTCTGGTAGAGCCGCGTGGGGGGGCCTAGCCCGCGGCGACATTTCCGGCTGATTTTCTTAATACTCCTCTAATATTTTTCCATCTTGCCCCTGTCTGACTGAGGCAATTCTTGTCCCCTTATGGCAGATCGAAAATATGCCTCAATGGAGTTCGCCGCAGATCCATCTCATCTGATGTTGCCAGCTGTTGACTTCAGAGCGTTGTCGGCGGTTCAGGACTCTCACTAGTGTCCAAAACTTGAACTTAGATTATCTAGCATTAGATCCATCTTGAACGGCAGGGGTGAATCTGTGATACATCCATATCTGCGTAACATCTTCATAAGCTACCGTCCTTAGTTACATGTGCGTGACGGACTACTCCTTTCGACACGGCGAAGCTAAGCTAGCAGCAAAACACCCCGCTATACGAAACTCTTGATGTCAAAATGAGCATGTGAGCGAGCAGCAAAGCGGTGGCAGACATGTTCGTTACCACAGGGCCATGTGCGTTTCTCGTGTGGGGGAACAGGGAGCTGAATCGTGGATCTAGAACAGAACGAGCCAAACGCTGCGAACGGCGGAGCCGCCTTACGGCAGGGTAGGGATGGCGACCTGGAGAAGACAAGCTTTACTTCGCCACAGGTAAGCGGCATCTTATCAAAGCTCTGTGATTTGTCAGTTGAATTTGCGACGACAACAATATTCACGTCAATTGAATCATTTTGCAGGCATTCCACGCGTATAAACTTCGAAACATTGAGGTCCCAAGCCGCCGTTCACGGAATGACCCTGCCAAGCTTGGGTCCAGCAGTGCGGACCCTGCAGCGTATGCATGTCATGGGATTATTTGACCAATCGTAGACCTCAAATGCGTATATATTGCGTAATGGAGAGTGATTTTTCTCCGGCCATTTTCTAGGGTTTATTTGACCGGGATGATCCGGAACCGGAGCAATCCGGACTGTTCTTGGGGGCATCGCATTCGTAACAGTAGGTAGGCGGGCTGGCAGAATGAAAATTCTTCTGAATTATGCATTATTTTGAGAAGTAACGTTAATATTGTGGTATCCTCATCTCCGATCATGCTTGGTTCTATTATGACATTGACCATATTCCCTTCTAATAACTGACTGACTGACTGACCGACCTGGACTCCTTGCATTCGTACATCTCATAATGCCTGTGGAACCACCGATGCTTTCACTCTACCCGTCACCATATGGCGGATTGATCGAGATCGAATCGCTTCAGTTCCTTACTAGCATCCTCGACATCCTTTTTAGCCTTCATGCGCATGTAGAAGATAGGACAGTCCTTGCTACTGCAGATGACCTCGCAATGCATACTTCCTTGGCACCGCTGGCATTGCGTCCACAGCCGTCCGAATCGGACCTCAAGATCCGATACCTTGTCTAATGTCTTTTTGTAAAGTTCACCCACACGTGGTGCGCAGTCTGAACAGACGGCGCCATTGCTCTCCTCTTTACTCATGAGTGGCTTCTTGCAACCCATACAAGTCATCGTCTTCTTCGCGAACTTCATTAAACCGCCCACCATCGGTGCCGCAACCGAAATAGAACGCGTGTGATCTCCGTGGAGGAGTGATTTTGCCTTCGTCTCACCTAGGATAGGGTCGAAGATACGTCCAAGTGGCTTCGCTAACTGGTTGTCCAAGTAATATCTCGTGTCGATAGGAACATTGTTCTCGAGAACAAAAATAGGGTCCTCAGAACGTTCGAAATTCTTCGATCCGCTTGCACCTTTAATCATCACATATGCCACTCGGTCTCCCAATCCAGGAGCAGAACCGGCATCTCGTTTCTTCATTCGCTCCGCGAGCGCCACGTGAGCTTGTTTGGCATCATACTCGTCGCTTTCTTTGGTAAGTGCCTTCGTGATCACGAGCTTGGACATATCTATCTTGTTCTGAAGCAGATCCGCAATGGTATCTTTGACATATCTGTAAAATCGGTCAATATAATTAGATTGTGGAAGAGAAGAGAAAAAAAGGGTAAAAAAGGGTAGAACATACTCTTGGGCTCCTGGGACGTCCCGATCAATCAGAATCATCCTGAGAACCTTCTCGATAACTGTCTGCACTAGCAGGCAGTTATCTCGTCGAACTGTCTCGATACCTTTGGTGTCCATCTTGTCGTATTTGTCGGGGTTTGTCCAGTACAGACCGGCATATCGCTTCTTGTTGATTAATAAGTATGGGAAATATACTTTCTCAAACTCGAGTTTGATAGGTTTGACGAATTTTGACGAGACGTAATTAGCCGCCTCTTCGCCAAGTTTCATCGCTTCGCTAAGGTCATTCGTTCCGAACTTGACCATGACAGAATCTGTGTCACCGTAGATGACTTGGGCGTTGTGAGAATAACCATTGGCAATGCAATATTTCTTCTCCACCTCGTCTTTCGTCTTCTCAATCATCTTTCGACCAAAACTCGTGGTACTGCTAGCAATTTCTAGACAAGGGAGCTTGCCGGTCGTTGCACCTGTAAGACCGTACACACTGTTGGCGCTGATTTTTAAAGCGAGTTGACGACCGTTCAAGACTGCCTTCTTGAAAGGATCAGTTTCAACTGCTAGTTCTCTCTTGGCTTGCTTTCTTGCTGAAAGCAGTTCTTCGAGAATCTGGGCGAGAAGCCCTTTCCGTTGCTTGACGGTAACGAACATGTCGCCATTCGGTGTAACAATATAATCCTCATCCTTCTTGAGGCCGAATCTCTCCACAGCCTTCTTATTCACAAGAGTGGTATAGCAGAGGTTATGTGCTTGCATGATACTAGGATATAGGGATGCGAAATCGAGGGTTGCGATGGGTACATCGTAGTAGCCACGAGTAGGCTCAATGACTGTGGCGCCTTCGTACTGGTCATCCGAACTCTCTGACTTCATGTTTGGAATCACAAGTTTCTGTTCTAGGGCCTTTCGGAACAATTGGCTCATGAACTTGACCTGTTGACCACGAGAAAGAAGGAAGTTAAACGGAACACCCGTGACTCTAGCCATTTCTGTATAGTTGGCAAGGCAAGAGAGCTTGTCCATTAACCTCTGAGGCAAGTAAGCATCCTTCAGACAGTATAAAGCTAGACGACGCCTAGACTCTGGTGTGCCGTTGAATAGCTCGGTGATCATCGTGTAATGAACATCCTCCTTCTGTTCTCCAAGGAAATGAGAACACACCGAATTCAGAGTGTAACTTCGAAGATGGTGATCACGTTGAATCAACTGCAACAAATCGAGTTGTAGTCGCCCATTGGTATTCGTGGTTTTCGTATCTCGATTGCCCATTTGCTTGCTAGAGAGATTCGTCTCCTTAACAACTGATTTGACATCATGCAAACGAGTCCAGTACTCGAAATCCTTGATCTTAAGACATTTGGCGCGGTCGAGCAAATAGGGGAAGTCGAAGTTGGCAATATTGTAACCGGTAATCAGATCAGGATCCACCCTGTCAAGGAATCTCTTCCAAGACATAAGCATATCTGCCTCTTTTTCGAAATCTAGAATCTGTGTTGCTACTATGGGACTTGTCCTATCTAGGCAGAATACGTTTCGAACAAAGGGTTTGCTCTCTCCGTAGCGTGTAACAACATTGGCGATTTGGATGACTGGATCCTTTTCAGCCTGTGGAAAGATGCCTTTTCGTCCGGCACATTCGATATCAAAGGATAGAATTCGTAACGGAGCCATTCTGGACCATTCGCCTTTCGGTTCGTGGGAGATTAAGTCTCGATAATTGATCTCTGCTTCAATTTGACAGCTTGATTGTCGCAGGTTGTCTGGAATGAGACGGTATTTACTGGCAGGTGCTTCTACCCATGACATACCGGGGATCTATAACAGTCAGTAATTTTTATCAGTTTATTACTCCTGCATGCATACCTTGCAGTCAACCATGAATCGTAGGACGTATTGCAAATTATCGAACGTCATGATACCTCCTTCAACCCCCTTCCACATCCCCTTCCAATTTGCCTCATTTCTCTCAAAGGCCGACCGGACTCTCCCGATAAACTTTGGGTCTGTAACTGTGACCTTGATATAAGGACTTTTCGTGTTACCTTGAAAGCCGTAGACGTTTTCTCGTAGGGTCACTTCGCAAGAGTGAATAACGTGTTGGTTTTGACCGATCTGGTTCTGGAGATAGGCTTTAAAGGGCTCGCAATCCTTCGGGGTGAATGAGACCGGAGCGGCGACATAAAGGTAATGCTTAAAGTCAGTAACGTGAAGCATGACAGAATGCCCGTTATCCGTTACACCGAAGAGCTTGACGGTAGTTTGTCCGCCATGGAGGGTACCTTCCTCTGCTTCTATCTGTTGGTAGACTAGGTTATCGCTTCGAGGATCGAAATCGACAACAGGAGGCCGCGCCCATGTTTGGTCCTTCTCTGAATTGGTCTGCTTAAGCTCGTTAATATCTTGGCTTAGCTTCTCTAGAACTTCAGACTCGAAGACACTCTTCGGTTGGGTCGATGATAATTTCGAGCCGGGGCCTTGCTTGGGGTTTTTGAAGCGCGATACTGGTGGGGGGGATTGAGATTCTAATCGGCGTCTCTTCGCATCGGATGGGGTTGATAGAATATTTCGACGATTAGAAGCGTCACCGAAGACACGCTTCTGGGGGAGAACTTTGCTAGCCATGACTGCGTTTTGTAGTGACGGAGTCTATGGGGAGCGAAGGAAGAATATTTCAGAGCATCAAACTTAAGATCTGAATAAAGTCAAGTTTGATGATGAAAGAGGGATGGAGTGTGATGAATATTGGAGATAGCGCGGCAAAAAGGTACAAAGGCCATTAAGTGCTTTAATGGAAAGCGCGTCATGTCGCGTCTTATAAATTAGCAGGGGTTCTAAGCGTTTTTTTGGCGGGGGCACGCGTCGGAACGTCACCATAAACTCATTTAATTGGTTCGATAGCGCTTTTATGCATATTGGACTAATGTGTAGCATGCATGCTGTTAACTGAAATTCACTGGCAGCGCACCCATTTTTTGTTATTATTCACGATATGATGCGAGTAAGTTATTCTTTAGTTGGGGTAAGACGATCGCATGGTAGAGCCATATTTGTTTTTGTTCTTTTTTTTTAAAAAAAAAATTGAGTCACATTTATTCCTTGCCTTACTTCCCATGGGAACAAACGTCTTTAGTCCGCCAACGAGACTAGAGATCTAATATGTACCCTAAGTGGCATTACACATAAATAAAGACCTCTATGAGACTCTATCTACACATTTTCCTCGGGATTTAGACCTCAACGATTATGAGATCTATAGTTCTCTCCCACTAGCCTTTTCAACACCATTATCCTCTGGCTTCTCCGACTTCTCTTCTGCCACCTTCCCGGTAGGTGTCCATTCCAGGGCCTTGAGTCTCTCGGAAAGGATAGGGTGAGAGAAATGGTAGCTGGCGTACATCCAGTCCGCATCCATCGTGCTCAGATTCTGGATCTGAAGTTTGATGAGGGAGGAGGCCAATTCGGCCTTGTAACCCAGGTTGCGGGCAAACTCATCTGCCTGGAATTCGAAGCGACGGCTCATGATGTTCATCAACAACTTAATTACAAGATCCATCGGTGCCAACGCATCTGAGAACAGAATAAATCCAATGATGATGGGATGTTCCTTGGTGAATCCGAAGTCGTTATACAATGAGGCGTTGTTAATGAAAACTGAGAACAGACTGAAGATGTAGAATACATTGAGCTATTTTATTATTAGTAAGAAGAATGTGGCTTGGTTAAAAAGATTTATTCATACCTGAGAAACGCCGAAAAGCTTAGTAGTGTGACCAAGGCTCCAATGACCAAGTTCGTGCGCAAGGACAGCGACTACCTCTTCCGAGTTGCTCTTCTCAATTAGTGTGTCGTAGATGACGATGTGCTTCTTCCATGGAAGTCCGAAGAAATAGGCGTTGCTGTGCGCACTGCGTTTGCTGCCATCAATGACGAACAATTCGTGGAGAGGGAACTTCAACTTCTTTGCCAGTTCTTCGGTCTCGGTCTTCAATTTTCCTTCTTCTAGAGGGGACAGCTTATTGAATAGGGGCAAGATGAAGATCGGGTAGACAGTTATCATGAAAACCTGAAGAACTGCAGTAAATAACCATAGGTAGGTGACAAACTGAGTACCCGTTTTCTTCACGATGCTGAGGAAACCGGCAAGAATAGGAGGCGCAAAAACGAAGGCAAGCAAGTTCGACTTGATCATATCCGTGATAAACAGTTTAGGCGTTTGCTTGTTGAATCCGAACTTCTCCTCCAGAACGAATGTGTGATAAACGTTGGCAGGAAGAGACAATACTTGTTGGATCAGGATAAACGTAAGGACGAAGACAATCGAGTGGGAGATCTCGCCAGAGAATCGAGCAGGTAAGAATTGAAGAAGAGTTCCAGTCCATGACCATAGTTTCGGAAGGACATCATAGTGAATGAAGGCGATATTTTGGATCTGACCCCAAAGACCTCTCACGAAACCGAATTGTGCTTTAGCTCGACCATATTCCTGACTTTTATCGTAGACATCTTGAGCAACCTCTTTTTCGAGGACCTTAGGGGGCTTGGTTTTCTTGAGGACTCCATACTGTCGAAGCGATAGAAATTCCTCGAAGAGATATTGGGCAATGGAGAAGCCCATAATGAGCTTCTTCCATGGGAAGAGGGGCCGGTCCAAGAACCGGGCTAGACGCTATTCATGTCATGTTAATATTAATTTCCTATGTCTAGAAGGGGGCATCAACACATACCTGAAGTACGTCCATCTTTCCGAAATGAAATATCGGCGACGATGGAAACGTAGAGGTCTATTTTCTCAGACTAGCTGGAAAATCTACGTAGTTCAGTTCTAGGTGGTAAGCAGAATGTAAGCTTCATCGAGAAACCGTGTCAGGTCAAACGTCAACGTGGCTAATGGTGGGGTACGACGATACAAAATGTGGCACAGCTTTAGCACCGCCTCAGCACCTTAAGACCTGATTCCTCAGCATACAAACAACTTCCAGAACCTTGAACTTTCCTATTTCGGATCGTGTTGTATAAAGGTTCTAAGGTTTCTAAGGACATTTTTAGCTTTAATTTCACTTTTCTGGCATAGATTCTTGCAAGTTCCATCCTATATTTTCTAAAGGATAGCTAATTAGGCAATCAATGCCCAGCAAGCCGTCATTTTGAGTCTAACTATGCCAAGGAGCTTGAAGGAAGCCATATAGCTTAGGTACTTTGTACATTATGTTTCAAATTCATATTCCTCAAGCCTAATTATAGCCGTCATGTATCCATCAAAGGCCTCTAGGACATCCTAACCTAATAGTGAAGCCTGGCGTTTCCTCCCGTCTTTCGCCAAGCTGTTGGCGCTACCGAACCTATGTAGCCACATAGGTATACCGTCGTATGTCGATATGACCACTAGAGCGAGAAACATAAATTTATGCTACCGCATGTTCGCCTTGACTCTTTCGAGTAGCTGTTCTCGAGAATCTAGTTCGTGTGGATAAAGGTTGCGCTATATGCACCAATTAGGCAATAGCTCAGGTTGTGGGATATGGGGGATTCATACAGCTGCCAACCATCTTCTCATTTCTTCCCGCGTCCATTCATGAGGATCTCCTGTTGGATCTGCTGGGGCGGGAAAGAGATTTCCACCCCACATGGACCATGCGAGAGCGGCTGTGACGAGCCCGGAGAAGGCTTTAAAATACCAATAAAAATCCATCAGTACTGATAGAATGCGAAAGACCGTATAATACTCAATTGATAAATGTACCTAATGTGGCGTGCTACACATTATCATTAGCTTATAGATACATGTAGCGATATGTAGGATTGGGCTAAGTACCTTAGACTTTATAGCAAGTCTATCAAATGGTGTAGGCATGGTAGACTGTCTGGGTTGGTGAGAGGTAAAGTAGGAAGTTTGTTTCATAGTCACTTAATAATAAAATGTATTTCTAGGAGTTATTTAACACCCATCTTAACTTCCAGGTTCTTAGATGAGGCAACTCTGTCCCTTTAAGAGAGTTCGGAGGAAGGAGACTTGTCCACTTACAGTACATCGAATGACCCCGGCTGCCCGGATGACTGTAGGAGTTGACCGAACTAAAGCTAACGCCACGTCATGCGCCACGTTCTCAAAAATTAAAGTTGGTGGAACGTTTTTGTATGGCTCGTGCACGACTATCCTCCCACAGTTTCTTATCTCTTATCAGCTGTGAAACCCTTGTCAATTGAGAAATCGCTTAGAACCCTGGCTACGGAATTTCGCCCACACAATTTCGCAACGTCAAACAAAAATCGACAACTTCAACCCGATTCCTTTCCATTCCCAACACTAACCACCGAAGTCATTCGTCAATCCGCCAAGATGCCTCAGGAAATTGCAGATATCAAGAAGGTATTTTAATTATTTGGAATTCCCGTCTGTCAAATAATTGCTAACATATCGAAATTTAGTTCATCGAGATCTGCCGGCGGGAGGACGCCAAGTGTACGTGACGAGAAAACGCAATGACATTTCTGTGCGCCACAAAATTGAATCTGACAATTATTCTATACAGCCGCCAGGATCAAGAAGAACAAGAAGTCCTCGCAGACCAAGTTCAAGGTCCGATGCTCTAAGCACCTCTACACCCTCATTCTGAAGGACTCCGACAAGGCCGAGAAGCTCAAGCAAAGCTTACCCCCGAGTACGCACCGAACTCCAAAGCGCGCAAGTTTCTCACGCATTCACTAACAACTTGATTCGCAGACCTACAAATCAAGGAGGTTCCCAAGAAGAACAAGAAGGGAAAGCATGTGGCATAAATTTCCTAATTCATTCTTTCGGGGAAAGGAAAACTACCTAGATACCAATCGCAACTGGGAAAACCGTCGGGATGATGGATGGATTGGCATCTTTGAACACTCTCATCGAGAACTGATAGGATGATGCATATGCGCTGGGGCAGGTTTGGCATGTTCATGAGGCGGCGTCTAAGGATACCTTCCGAATTGATAATTCTCAAGCACGAGAAAAGCTTGTAGACAATTCACAAACAATTGCACAAAAACATTTCACGAACAACTAACATTGATCCCAAGAGACTTTCATAATCATTTAACTAGCTACAGGATCCTCTTGTAGTGCACGACATTGCGGGTCTTGATATAAGGCGTTATAGTGTCCGAGAGCTTCTCGAAACCCTCAGCTGTTGGGAATTCACCATGCCTCTCAACGCTAGGCCAACCGCAAGTTAAAACGAATTCCTCAAGTGCTTCGTCCTCCTTCTCAATGCGCCAACCATGCTGTACTGTGTATGGTTTCACAAACTTCTCCGCTATACCCTTGACTTCATTCCATCCTTGGTCAAATGTTCCTCGATCCCCAGCCGCGATAGCAACCCTAGTCAGGCTAAAGAGAGGACTTTTTAGCAAAGGGATGTCGCTGTTCGCCTTTGGCGTAAATATTTCGACGTCATAGTGGAAGAAGGATGTCTTCTCAAGCTGGAAATGGTCCTTGAGTCCAGGGAAGACTGTCTTATTTTCGTCGCTCTCCAGCCAGACTTTGTGTTGATCGACAGATTCCCAGTGGGCTGTGAGAAGATAAATAGACGGATCCTCGACCTGTTGGAAAAGGCCTACACCGCGATTTTCTCTTTCCTTGGGTAGCGCCGGCGCATTTTGGGCGAACCATCCATCTTGAATATTCAGTGCCTGATTCACGGCTTCCTTGCCTTCGGGTGTAAGGGATCCTGAGGCTGCTGTGAGCCATGCTAACTCCGTAACCGCCATAATGACTTATTGACTGATAAGCAGTGGTGACTTCGCAGCTATTTGGTGATTGACCAAGCTATTAGGTTCTGATGAAATGGCAGCTTTTATATTACGACATGTCCATTAGGCGCTCTTGTATCCGACATTAGAAGCCTATCGTACGTCGGATGTAGCACTTTCTAATGAACTATCGGTTGACGTAGCGAATTGTTGCCTAGGTACATTAGGTACCTATGCTACAGTGCCGCACTTAGGCTAGCCACATATTGCACTATTCCCTTTTACTAAATTTGCTCGTCGCCCAAATTACGTCAGCGAAGGTTGAAATGTGCAAGATAGGCACTACTAGGTATGAACATCCAGGGGGCAAGTTTCCTAACAAACGGGGGCTAGCTTGAACTTGGAAGCAAGACCTACGAAGACGTAACATTAATTTTATACCTACCTAGGTACCTAGGTACCTAGACTAGATCTCCTATGAAGGTGCGAACCACAAAATCCATTTGAAGGCAACACCATAAACCCGGACGTAAAAGGTACTTCGAAGGTAAGTACGATAAACTTTTCGAGGGGTATTTAATACCAAAGCTTCAATATTGCTTGTTGGGCTGAAACTTGCACAAAACACCACACTCATTCTCGTAATTTTGCTTCCTTGAAAGGTAGAGATGGTTGCTTTTCATCTTACTTTTAGAGAGTCGATATTATGCAGTGTAACGCCAGCTGCTCCCGACATCATCTCAAATCAGATACTTCCCCCGTCTGTTAATCGGCATGGATTAATATTTCTATTAGCTGAACACACCTTAAAAATATCAGGTATTATACCATAGCCACAAAGAGCCAGTAAGTGCTATCGAAGAGCCTTCTATTAATCAGTAAGAATCGTTACATTGCTTCGAAGATCGGCAAGTTGATAGGCTACACGTGGACCTATGCCAAGCCATTTCTCCCTTCTTCAGCCATGCGCAGCCTGCTTCGTTACCGAAAATGCATATCCACCTACCTAGGTCTAGCTGCCTCTCATTATGTACTCTATGAATCGTACCTGGTGTAGGTAAAGGGCCTATGCAATAGATTCATAGGAAAGTAATGGGGGACCCCCTAGGAGTAGCCAGCTCCATCGTGGGCATTGCAGCGTTCGGCCTGAAGTTTGCGACCACTCTTCAGACGTACATCGAAGCCGTAGCCGATGCGCGAGAGAGCTTACGAGACATTGCTTTTGATGTCAGCGCCACGGCGTCGGCTTTAGATCAGCTCCACCGGTTCATCAAGGCCGACGAAAATGGCAAATCAATCGCGAATGATTCAGGAGTACAAGAGGTGGCTCGCTTAGCATCGAAATGCAAACAGGTCTACACTGCAGTCATCAATCTCATTGCTAAGGCTGTCAGTGCACCGAAGGATGACAACGGCGAGGTATTGATCGATGCGTTGGACGCAATAGACTTAGACGAGTCAAATGTCAGACGACTGGTGCAGAAACTCAAATGGCCTTTCCAGGAACCTCGCATCAAGAAGCATCAAGAAGAGCTAAGATGGCTGAAAATAAGTCTCCTGTTCCATCTACGGCTAATGGAACTTGCAAAGACAAAGATAATGTTGGTCTTGCCTGTCATGCAAGCATACGAGTTTACTAGTTTTAACTTACGAACCTAGGGCCCCAACGAGATCTTTTAGCAGTCGGGAGAAGGAACTGGCCTTGCAAGCTAATCTAGAAAAGCTCTTATTCAGCAAGCAAGCTTATGTCGAAAGAATAGCTTTCGAAAGGAGGAGAAACCAGAGGAAAGCAAGAGGAAAGAGAGTTGTGGGCAGGACGAGGTCTTCTTCTTCTGCATCTATTGTGCACGCGATAGACGTGGAAATTAAATCTCGGAATTCAAGTCCCAAAGGAAAGAGACCTGTTTCCAAATCTCCTCCCAAGATTGGCGCCCGAGAATTGTGGCCTTCAACTTTAAAAGATGAGGGTCGCTTTGGGATACAAGATACTTTCCCGTATAAAGAACCTATCGACGATGTATTGGAATATTCACCCCCCGGAAACGCCCTGAAGCCTCCTAAGTCAAAATCCGACCCTCGCAATGATACTACGCCCAATCCCATCATGTAAGATATACCATTGAGACTCCATGGCATTCACAAAATAATAAGAAGCAGGTACAATCAGATATCTACAGAGGCTAGGCCACATATATCGGAGGAAATCGAGAATAACAAGACTCCCGGGAAGGATACCGGCTCCTCGCCACCACCTAGAGGTGTTCCTGGAACTAAATACTTCGTTGGTGGAATTCACCTGCCCCGACCACGCCAAAGTAATGAGCACATTACGACTATAAAAGCGTTGCACATCCAGGAAGGAGCTCAAAATAGCTTGCATGCAGATAATACAGAAGAAAAGAGAGAAAGCCCCCAAAGTCACACAATCGGGAACTCAAACGGCCGATATAAGCTAAAATTCTCGCAGGTATCCCTAAATTTTTTCCCATGGTCACCCAAGATCTTTAGCAAACGAGATAGAAGTAAATCTATAGACGATCATGAAAGGCATGATCTCGAAGCGTACCTCATCGAGGGGGATAACTCTGACCCCAAATCCAACCCCATTCGCAAGCTCCCTTTCAGCCACAAGCAACTGAATAGCACGCTGAAACGGATTGTGAGGTCGCGGGGAGGTGATGTATGGACTCAGTACACGTCTCTAACTTCGGGGCAGAGGGAATGCGTCGACCGGGCTCTACTTAAAGCGCACCAGACAAGCTCCCACACAAGGACATGCGTAGCAATAAGTTCTGGGAAGTCAGAAAGTCCTTATGTAACTGTGTTCTTCTCCTTGGGCGTGTCCACTCAGCCTGTCCACTTCAAGTACAATTCGCGGCATTTCCAGTTCTCATTTGAGCTGTGCCGGACATGGGAAGTAAGTGCATTTCTGTCAATTAACTCACCTGCGTACGCACCCATGTTGTCAGATAAAGAATGTGTGCCTAACAGATTCTAGGGCATGGCCTCCCTCATTACATCCACTCTGAATGACATCCCCAACCCGGATTTGTTTCTCCAAAACGGACAATACGATCTCAAAGATTCTGATGACCGCACTATTCTGCCGTCAACATGGAGCTCGACCGTGCAACCTGGCATAACTGTGTTCCTAATTCCCAAAGATAACTGGAATGCGCCTAGGCCCTACCCGATGCCTTCCCGGCCACCGATGCCACCACCGCCGGCTTTCCGAATGCCAGAATCTAGCGCGCCAGTACCGCAGCGCAACACCTTAGTTCCTGAACCTTCACACGGTACTATACCTGGGTTTCAAAGACGACAATCAGTATTACCGATTGAAACAAGGACAATAGCAGGCGTCTTTCATGATCCTGGTTATGACGCGGAAGAGATACAAGACCACAGTCCCTCAACTCCATCCACAGACTCCTACCTAAACTCCAACGTCACCTCTGCTTCGGTGCCAATTAAATCAGTCCGAGATTGGTACTCTAGCTCCCGAGCAGCGGCGCCGAGATCACGGCGACGAGCCAAGCCCATGCCCAATCTGATACCCGTGGCGCGCGGAATGATTGATTCTAGCGAGGACGAAAACGAAGACGAAAATGAAGAAGAATCCGATATTATTGATTTCGAGGAGGAAGAAGAGACGACTCGGCTCGGGCTGGAGGAACTCTTAGGGAAGTGGACCAATGCTGTTGATGCGCCCCTCAACGAGGGAACAAGCACAACAGGATAAGGGATAGGTAGGTACGTCAACTCCTAATTTTTGGAAATTTGCTACTCTCCCGATCTATATTTCACTTATACAAGACGGATATTTAGAGACGACCTAACGAGATGAATCTATATAAATATATATGTATGTATTCAATATGTACCGGCATGCTAAAGTGCACGCATAAAAAAAGAACTATCTACAAGTTTGCAATCTTAAAAAGTCCTCTCGTATAGTAGAGGTATTCCATTAATCCAAGAACCGTCAAACCCGAACCCGCGACTCACATCATCACTCATACCCAAGTAACCCAGTGCCGGCTTACAAAGCAAGGTAGAAGAAACCGCTGACGGCGAAGAGAGCGGCGATGCCCGCTCCGACGCGCGCATCGGCTCGGGAGCCGGCGCCCGGGACAGGGGACGGGCTGGCGCTCGCGCTTGCGCTGGCCGAGGCTGTGGGCGATGAGGAAGTGAAGCCCGAGGGGGCGCTGGTGGTAGGGGTAGAGCCGCCAGAGGTAGGGTAAGGGGTAGCAGATCCCGAAGTGCCTGGGGAACCGGGAGACGAAGAGCTGCCGGGGGCGCTGGGAGAAGAGGTAGGGTAGCCAGTTTCCGAAGAGGAGCTGGGAATCGATGACGGGTATCCAGTGCTGGACTCGGAGCCGGAGCTGGTCCCGGAGCTGGAGGGGGCTGAGGTGGGATAGCTGGATCCGGTGTCAGTGGAAGTAGGCGTCTCCGATGTAGATGTGCCGATGGGAGGAGTAGTTGAGGGCGACTCAGTGCTCGTAGGGTAGGTGCTTGGGGCAGCGGTGGTGCTAGTAGAAGTGGAAGTGGGGCTGCTGGTCGGTCCCGAAGAGACGGCCTTGCAGAAAGCGTCGATGCCGCTCATGACACTGCCTGCATTGGGAATTAGTGTTTCTCTTCTCGTGTTTAAATTTTTGATCCCCCTATATAATACGAAAGTCTAATTAGGGGGTCGAATATAACATACCATAGTCGGTGGTGGAGCAGGCGCCTCGGAGGCACACCTCACCATCCCGCTTTATAGTGTAGACGGAAGCGCAAATGCAAGCGTTGTCGCCTGAGTCGCAGGTGGTGTGCTGCGATACAGAGTCCGTGATACAAGGTGGTCCGCAAGACGGGACGTAGTCCGAGATGCTAATAGCCGCAGCTAGCGCCGCGAAGGTGGGTAGTGCGAGAACACGAAGAGGTGCCATTTTTGCCGTCTTTTTTAGATATATTTTGGGTACCTTTGGTAACGAACGAACGGATCGAATAGGCGAGTTAAACCGATGGATCCTTTGCGAGAGATGGACAGCCTTACAACAAGATATACGTAAATAATACCTAGTACACACGAAGAAGGAAATGAATGGGGGGGCGCTTCTTTTATAGATGGGATGGGATGACTTTTCTAGAAGGTGGTCGGTAGCCAACGGACGATCGACATATCAATGGTTGGTCTAATAGTACGAAAGAGAACGAATGTAAAGCGACCTTACGGTATAAGTATAGATGATCGACAAAAATAAAGATTCTCGTGACAGGCCTAATTGCCCGAAACTTCAAACTTACCCATGTCCCTCTCTGCCGTGGTGTACTGGCATCACGCTTGCAATGGGCGCTGTTACGAGGAGCATACGGCGCAGCGGCGTTGGAGGCGTGAGTGGTGGTTTGTGTGTAATTGGGGGGGAAATAATAGGGAGATCCATTATGGATTTTTAGGAGGACGGGGAGGAGTGAAAAGAATGACAGCCAATCCTTGATCGGGTTTAGAGACTAGATTTACCCCTACGAGGCTTACAATAAGGTACTAGGTAGTTCCTTCGTCTTCTGAGTGGCCGAAGTTACAGCGGTAACCTGCCGTATGATTTTTGTACGACGAGTACATGATGACTACATGCATGCGCGTAAAGTATTTTTGAACATTTGAATCGTTCTTGGCCCATCACCCATGGCCCATCCCTCGCTCGCAGCTGCGTTGTTCACATTAAAGTTTTCTCGCCCATCCGTCCCTGCATTTAGAAGTGCCAACCAACCACAGCGCATATACGAGCCCTGAAGGCTCGCGAGGGTTGTTTCACGGTCCCGATCCGGCAGGTGGAGGGCTTGAAACGCCCGAAGGAACACGCCGTACCTTGACGTACCCTCATTTCATTGGCTGCGTGTAACGTGCCATCGTTTACCCCGGACTCGACTATATTACGTCGGTACTGCCAGCTGCGCGCATCACATCAATACTTTAATGCTATTGATGCTACTGCATCACCCGCCGCCGCCTCTCCCTCCCTTAAATAGGGAGGTATGTAACTAAGTGGTAGGTGGCGATTGGGCGCCGCTGCCGATCGCTGAAGGTGTTGGAAATAATGTGAAGTCACGGATGCGGCACGACGCAGACGACGGTAACCAACATTAGCTAGCTTCATCTCGGTGGCTGCCTGTCACACCTTCCCACCTCAGCTTTCCCGGCTCCGATTTCCCTCTCATGTCATCAGTCCTGGAGAACCTTAAACAGAGGCAGAGGCCCGGGACTGCAAACTTTCTCCTTTTCCCGAATGATGGCATCATCTATTTCTTCCCCGTCGTTGACGTCTTTGCCGTTGGACGCGAGATGCTTGCGGGCCGGGTGTGTCCCGTTTGATGCCGGGGGAAAGTAAGATTCGGTCTTGCGAGACTTTGTGCTACGTCAAGTCCCAGAAGGCCAGATCATTCCCCACTGCGATCGCATCGTCAGCGATTTAATATTGGGAAATATATTCTTTTATTGAATTGATTTATCTCGGTAATTTTATACGAGCTAAGATATTGGTTTCGATATATTTCATCACATTTATATGATATAATATCATCAATTCAGCACCCCCTAACACATCTCTTACGTGATCGTTTAATAGGTGATACCTGCGGAAGTGTGCTGATCGATTAGACTAAGTGAGTTGCATCGAAAAAGTCAAGCCATTTGAGTATTCTCAACCCATTACATTGGGAAGAATGAGTCACCAGCGACCACCAATATTAATAAGCTAAACGTCTTGTTATACTAGATTTATAAAGAGACTACAACTCTATTCGAACCTCGCTCTTTATCAACCTATGGCATTGAACCAATACTGACATGCTTACAGTCTATTGGCCAGTTCGTACCCTGACTCACGATAGCTCGGCAACTTAAATTCAAACATTATAGCTATGAAGACATACGTCGGTTTATTCTTTTGATAAAGCGGATGAATAGAGCCTCCATTAGATGTCCGAAGTGATGGCTTCAAGGTGTAAAAGTCGCCGAGGTGGGACGTTTGTGGGGATGTTGATTAGAAAGTGCTGTTGGTTGATGTGAATATTCACCTTTCCTGATATAATCCCTGTGATGCTATTGGTATATAAATTCGAGCCATTGAAGACGATATTGTGATATCTCTTATTGAGGTAGTCTGTTCAGTTAGATATACAACTTCAATATCTTGAGAGAGAAGTTGAGCTTACCTAAGATCGTTAAAAATGAGCGAAAACACCAAACCCCGCGTCCTAATCATAGGCGCCGGCGCCATGGGGGTCGTCTCCGGATACTATCTCCATCTCGCCGGAGTCGAAGTAACATTCCTCATCCGCCCACACCGCGCCGAAGCCCTAAACCGTCCCCAAATCCTCTACTGCTACGACGACAACGCGCTCAAGACATACAAAGAGTACACCTACCTCACGAACCCGTCCGACATCATCGGCGGGAAATACGACTACATCATAGTAACCCTCGACGGCGCCTCCCTACACAGCCCCGCCGGAACCTCGCTCGTAAAAACCATCGGCTCCGCCGCGCGGCAAGACCCAAACACCAAGATCCTCCTCGGGACCATCTTCTTCGACATCCGGACCTGGTTCCTCTCCGTGTCCGGGCTCGCCGCAGAACAAGTGACAACGTGCCACTTCGACATCCACGCCTACGCAACCAAAGCCGTAACCCTGCCCCTGCACCCCCCAACCTCCGCCGCGCTCCTCGCGCAAAGCGACTTCGCGTACACCGACAAGCTACCGCAGGGCTTCACCACGGACGACAGCGCGCGCTCCGTCGCGGAAGGGTTCGCGGCCGTGTGGAATAAATGCGGGATCTCGACGTGCGCAGTGAAGTCCGCGACCGAGTGCGCGGCGTCGATCAACTCGCTATTCCCGGTGTTCGCGGCATGCGAGATAACCGAGTGGCCCAAGTTCCGGGATATTTCCTCCGCGGACAAGGAGATCTGGAGTCTAGTCGTGGCTGCGGTGAAGGAGATACAGGGGTTGGACGTGCATGGGGAGATAGGGCTGAAGATGGCACGGGAGACGACGGAGGAGGGGCTGGCGAGGGAACTTGCGGGGTGGGAGGAGGTGATGATGCCGTTGGATGTGCAGGGGTTTAATCGCTTTCATCATGGGGCGAAGTTGAGGGCGCAGGGGAGACTGCATTTGGAGAGTTGTGCTGAGAGGGGTGAGGCGGAGGGGAAGTCGATGGCTGCGTTGAGGGAGCTGATGCGGAGGGTTGAGGTTAATGGGGCGTAGTGGGTTGGGTTGGGGTTGGATGACTTGTGGTTGAGGCTTTCGGCTGACTCCCGAGCGAGACTCGCTTTGCGTAGCCGAGCCGAGTTTGCGGTAAGGGACCCGTGCGGTTGGGTTGGTTTTACGAGGGTCATTCGATAGGTTTGTGATGTAGTTTACAATATAATACGATATCCGCTCTTCTGACTTCGATTCTATATTTACCTACACGAGACTTAGTAGGCTACGTTGTCTTACGGGTTGGTTACATGGCGGCCAATTCACAGGACCAACACCAACGTCAATATCAATTATTCGCTGATTTTTCCTTTTTCTTGTAAGGCCGTAAGCGATATTCGCAATAATACGACTCGACGAACATTGAGCTCGTGTTGCACTGTTACAGTTGTGGCATGCAGCGGAGATCGTGCTACGTTGCAGTGTCATCGATGAGGGTGGTGATATGATGCAGGCGTTCATATATCAATATCGTCTTTTGTAGAAGATGAGTTGATAGATATATATTGCGGATGCGTGTGCGTACGTAGCAAGTTTCCAACCCTTCTCGAAATATTAAAATATGATCAATTAAAATTGTGTGTCGGTAGGTGCTCAGGCTACTCAATATAGTTCTGCTGCCATCGTCAGCTAACAAAACAAGAATCCCCTATTATTCATTTTCAGAAACACCAATTGTGTATCGGTTTCGATATTCGGATATAGTTATGAAAAGATTAAAGTCTTCAAGGGCTTCAGAACTCGAGTCCTAGGACTTACGTAAGAATTTTGACCTAAAGCCGAGAAGCTGTAAGTTTTGTTTGGCCATGCTAATGTCCTTCCCCGCGAATATTGACTCATTGATCTAACCTCAAGATACAATTGCGATTGTTCCCGAAGCTCTAGTCTGTAATGCATCTTTTTATCATAAAAGAAGCCGAGATGAGCCATTATGTAAAGTGAGATGACATCACTTCCGATGGCGGAAGCAAGGGAATACGCCCTTCCTTTGACATACTATAGAAACCGAATAAATATATAACTATTGCATTTCGATCCTGTAACTTTCAATTGACAATAACTCTTATTATTCCCTAAAATCGCACCCATTGGGGCTCTCGGTAGACATCAGCAATATATCTGTTTTGAAGACTTACCTTCTCACTATGGCATCTGTTGAGCAGCCCGGCAACTTAGCCGCCGCAGGAGATGACCAACTCATTCGGTTGACGAGCTACAGATCGCAACCGTCCATCGAAATGGCTCCTATAGCATCACAGCAAACCCACGAGTCGGCAACATCTAATCGGTAAGCATCGACTTTCTATTGCCCTATTAGTGCAGCAAAATCTCACTGAAATACAGAACTAGCAAAACACCGATCTGAATCGTCTCAATGGCCAGAACAACCCGTTAACCAGAGACTAGAAAATCGATAATAATCGTCGCATCGTCATTTACGCTCATATTCACCTGCTGCGGCCTTAATTTCGCCTTCGGCGTGTTTCAAGAGCTGTACGATGCCATGTCACAGAAGCCCGGAACGCCTTTCACGGGTGCCACGCCGGCACTGATCGATCTTATCGGCACAATCTCCATCTCGCTGATGACAATCGGTGCACCATTTGTCGTAGCTTGGGCTAAGCACTTCTCACCGCGCTGGGTGTCTTTCATTGGAGGCTTCATTTTCGGGCTTTCCTTGATTTTGGCCAGCTTTGGGACCGCACTTTGGCACTTTGTGCTCACTCAAGGCCTGCTTCTCGGACTAGGCACCTCGATGCCGTATATGGTCGCCGTGACCGTTGCCCCGGGATGGTTTACGACGCACCGGGGCCTAGCAATGGGGATAATTCTAGCCGGGACAGGCGTCGGAGGTGTGGTTTGGGCTCCGGTAATCAAAGCGATGATCGACTCCCTTGGCTTTCGAAACGCTCTTCGCGTATCCGGGGTCATATCGTTCGTCATGGTATCATTATCCAGCGCAACCATGGCCTGGGAGCCGCAGACCCTCGCTCGCATCAATGCCGAGAACGCCTCTAGGGCCGGCCATCTTCGAGGTATCCTGCAGGTGCCCCTAATTGACTGGCGCGTGGCGAAGACACGCAAGTTCGCCGCTCAGGGGCTCGGTGCCGTCTTCCAAGCCGCAGCGTACTATACGCCTGTGTTCTTCTTCGCTTCGTACGCTTCAACCCTTGGATACAGCGCCACAGCCGGAGCGAACTTTATCGCGCTGAGTAACGCGTGCAATGCCATCGGCAAGGTCGTCATCGGTTATTTCGCGGACCGCCTAGGACGTCTCAACACGCTTTTCTTGACTACGTTCATCAGCGCAGCCATCACGATTGGTTTCTGGGTTCCGTCGACAGTATACGGGTCCACGGACAACTCGCGCGGCTTATTCATCAGCTTTGCTGTCTTTTACGGTCTATTCGCCAGCGCGTATGTCTCATTGTTCCCGGCTAGTCTCATCGAGATTTTCGGAATGCAAAACTTTGCTTCTGTCAATGGAGTGCTGTATATGGTTCGCGGAATGGCAACTCTAGTTGGTACGCCGGTCGCTGGCGCCTTGATCCATAGCGGCACGGGTGTTTTGCCACACGGTTATGTTAATATGGCCGTGTTGGTGAGCGTGCTGCTTTTCGCTGCTAGTGTTGCCGTGTTTTGGATTAGGCTTGAAGCAATGGTTGGACCAAGTGGAAAAATGAGTTTGAAATGGAGGATGTGATAACTAGGTATACATCTTTAAATAGATTGTTGGCACTATAAAGTGACATAACTCGTCATCTAATAAAATACTTTATATGTGGCATAACAAGCTGTCTAACGTAATAGTTGTTGGATTTTTAAAATATAAAGAAAGCCAAGCTTGGGAGAATCATGTGAGGGCTATGGTTCAGGGGTGCCCATTACTATTTCAGGATAGAATAGATTGCTTTATACCAATAAGAGTAAGAGCTTCGTAGTTTCTAGAACTTTAGATTTCTCATTGGCTACTTCCCGCATGTATAGTCGGAGTAGTTGCTAAAGAAATTCCGGTACTGGACATGAACAGGTGCCACGAGGCTTAGAGGCTTTGAAACTTCCGTACTAACGTAGTTAGCAGTTGGCAACCACATACGTCTTCGAATGTCATCAATTCTCTTAGTCAGCTGTATCTAAGGAACTGTGTGATAAACTTACGAATCCTTATTTGGTTACGTTGGTTGTTATTTTATATCTTTGTGCGAGTCCGGTGCTTCCGTTTATAGCCTGCTCACCCTCTTGGTACGGTACCAATACCTATGACATATGTATGTACATACATAGGTTGCATACATTTTCAAAATCTGGGGTACACACCATCACATCGATGGTTTATGTTTGCTTATAAAATCGGTTACTCGGTGCCTTGATAGAGCGCATCTAGTTACTCGGGACTATCCATATGAGGAAAGGGCCGAGCTATTATATAAGATGGTGGATGGAAGAATGGCAATCGGAGGCGTGGCTTAGCAGGGATTATTTCGTCGGAGCTAATGCCAAGCACCTGACAAGCAGCCAATTCATCAATCGAGTTCTAATTGGCCGGATATGACTGGCTCAGCTCAAAAGGGTTAACACCGGGGGTTACAGGGTTCCCAGCGATTCCCACTGATTCCCATTGCAGCGGCGCAGGGGCCATCCACTTTCTTTTACTGGAACCTTAAGTGGAAAAGCTGTGGGAAATTTGAAGATTTGGCTCGATCCATTGGACGGCTTAAATCAAATTTACAGGTAGGTACATAAAGGGGTGGAAATTTCCTATCCTGGTCCCTTGCTCTGCTTGCAAATCGTCCCCCATTTTGCCTGCGCCTTACTTGCGTTGATGTCCAATATCCTAGCATCAATCTGTCACTGTCCACGCACAAGCAATGCAGTCAATTCTTTACCCTACCTATTCAGTTCTTCCAATGCTGTAGCTCTGCAGGTCTTACAAGTGTACAATTACCTTTTTTCCATCATACATAATTGATTTTAACTGATCGGACGTGGGTTGTGTGGTCGTGTTGTCTGTCTATCTGTCTACTGGAGAACTGGAGAAGAAAAGAGAGGCGTCAACAAATCATCGGTGCTCTTCACAGCTAAACAGCTAATAATACAGGAATAACCCTATCGAATTTAATACGACCCTCTCTTTATTAATCGACGACACCGGCCTTATTTCTCACTGTCGCACGATCACTACACCTAATTGCTCTTCTTTTGTTTATCTATTCACGTCTATTCTCTTGTCACATTACCACCTCACATATTACCTATTGTAATCTTGATAATTATCACATTTCTCCTCTTTATAAAGCATACCTCTTTACAGAACCAACAACGTTATCTAGAGTCGCATTGCTGTGTGGGGTTTGTTCCTGTTGGTCGGATAGCTATCGTCCCACGAAGAATTCTGCAGCAAAGAGACCTGGTTTGTAACGAGAGAAACCTGGGAGGATCTTTACCGGTTTAAATTACAACCGCACGGTTTTAGCTTTTCCGAATGACTCGCCTTCCAGCAACTCCTGAAAGCTTGACCTCGCAAATGTCGAACGGTACCAATGGCTTTCACGAAGCCATGGAGGATCTTCAAATAACAAATGGCGATACCACTGAACGATCGTCGTCAGAGGACGAGCAGAACAAAAAGAAGAAGATGAGTCGCAAGAATTCTAGCCCAATGATGCCAGCTTTCATGGTCTCAGCACCAGGAAAGGTCATCGTCTTTGGCGAACATGCTGTAGTCTACGGCAAGGTATGGAAATATAACAATTATTATTTTGTAACCTCTATTACGCGTGTACTTACTGTATACTTAGGCCGCTATTGCTGCTTCGATCAATCTCCGCTCCTATCTTCTAGTAACGCACCTTTCTAAGTCAAAACGTACGGTTACCATGCAGTTCCCCGATATCGACCTGGTCCACACCTGGAATATTGACGAATTGCCGTGGGGTGAATTTCAAAAGCCGGGAAAGAAAAAGTATTATTACGATTTGGTCACGGAGCTGGATGAAGAGCTTTTGGAGGCCATGGATCCGCACCTGTCTAATATTTCACCAAAAATGCCCGAATCCCAGCGAAAAATACACAAAAATTCCGCTCGCGCGTTCCTATACCTGTTCCTATCACTAGGGTCGCGAAAATCTCCAGGTTGTATATACACACTTCGCTCAACAATACCCATAGGTGCCGGTGTCGGAAGCAGCGCGTCGATCGCTGTCTGTTTGGCTGCAGCTATGCTATTACAGATCCGGACGCTGTCTGGTCCGCATCCCGATCAACCACCCGACGAGGCCCGCACACAAGTGGAGAGGATTAACAAATGGGCCTTCGTGGCAGAGATGTGCATACATGGCAATCCTTCTGGCGTGGACAATACGGTCTCGACACATGGCAAGGCCGTGGTATACCAGCGACTCGATTACAACAAACCGCCCTCTGTCACCCCATTATGGGATTTCCCGGAATTACCACTGCTTCTAGTGGACACGAGAGTGCCCAAGTCTACGGCCGCCGAAGTAGCCAAGGTTAAGGAGCTGAAAGATGCGCACGGGCAACTAGTGGGTTCGATCATGGACGCGGTAGACAAGATAACCAGAAGTGCGGAGAGCCTTATCGAGGAAGAATACTTCGACAGCGACGAACCCGAGAGTCTACGACGCATGGGACAGCTGATGAATATCAATCATGGTCTGCTATCGGCCATAGGCGTTTCGCATCCTCGTCTCGAACGGGTACGAGAATTAGTCGATCATGAGGGAATGGGATGGACGAAACTTACGGGTGCTGGTGGTGGTGGCTGCTCGATATCGTTGATGAGGCCGGATGTACCACGAGAAAAAGTCGACAAGCTGGAACGCCAATTGGAAAACGAAGGATACAAACAGTTCAGAACGACGCTCGGCGGAGATGGTGTCGGTGTTCTATGGCCTGCGGTGTTAAAAAACGGACTGGACGAGGACGAGGAAGGTGGAATGGAAATCGACCTCGACAAATTCCTAAGTGCCCCGGGTAACGACGGTGTTGAAAAGCTTGTCGGTGTATTTGGTGGCCTGGATGGCGCAGAGAGGGAGGGTTGGAAATTTTGGAGAGTCGAAAGCTAGTAACTTGCGAGATTTGTGAGATTTGGGATGAAATGAGGAACAGTCGAATTTAAGCGCATGACCCCATTAAGGCAAATGATCAACTCGTGTTAGGTTTCGAGGCTTCTATTACGGCGTCCGAGGTTCTGTGTGGTGGTTGTTTGGTTGGGTATCCATATTAGTTATAGAATATCCGTAGGCCAAAAAAAGTAATGGGTTCCAGGTTCAGTCAAGGTCAATCAAGGTCAGCTAAGGTTCAATCATAAGCTTGGCTCTAGATTCGAATTAGAGTTAAATTTAAAGTTAATAAGAATCAAGATAGAAATAATCGATAATTAATCCCGTTAATCGCACCTTCTTGGCCCGCATAGAGCAGATGCATTCGACGTTGGAATCGGCTGGTTGCGCTTGCCCCTCCGTAGTAGGCTGGTAGCAATGACGGCGAATGGAATCTTGTGTCATTTTTTCCCATTCCTCGGGTCTTGACAGCTGCTAGCTAATATTTATTCGAACCCCACCATTCATCAACTTCGCAACTTCGTGACAATGCCTAAGAACAAAGGAGCAGGCAGCCGCGCAAAAACAGCTGAACGTATAGATACCATTATTTAATCTTTATTTTCGTTTAGAATATACAAACACATCACTAACTGATCAACCGATTAACAGCAAAACAAGAACCACCGAAGAAACCACAAACCGTTAAAGAGCTCGAGCAGCAGTGGTATTACGACACCAACCCTTACCAAAAAGCTTACGAACAGCTCGGCCTAGATGGCATGACCGCAGCCGACCGACAAGCCTACCTTAATCAAGAATATTTAAAGCCTGGTCTAGCCAAAACACTATCAAATAAAGCTCAGAAGGAGCTCTGGAAACAGCTGAACGAGGCAAACGTTCCTCTACGAAATTTACCCCCGCCTCGCGAAAATCAGTGGGGTCGTGACAAGAACGGCCGCGACCTTGGCGATTATACCGTCGAAGAATACGAAGCATACAACGCAAAAGAGATTAAACTTTTATCTTTGAGTGAAAAGAGCTGGGATTTCAGGCGAAAACACGCTAGGGCTAGGAACGCCGACCGTTTCCCTCTTAGCGACACCGAGAAGCACCTCATCTTAACCGAAGAAGACATCGAAGTTGAGAGGGCCAGGAGGAAGGAGATGGCACAATTAAAGAAAGAGTTATATGGCGCAAAGATGGATCCGTATGCGCTGGATCCAGACTGGGACGATGTAGTTCCGATACCCCAGCAAGACACAGAAGGAGCACTTGCTGCCATAGCATACCCAGAGGAATATGCCGAAGGTATGTCTCTAATGGCACCACTCCCTACGACTTAAGGTCCTCAAAGAACATGTGTTAACCTGAATGTAGCTATGTCATACCTCCGTGCTGTCATGGCAGCTAAAGAACACTCCCCTCGATGTCTCAAGTTAACCGAGCATATCATATCGATGAACCCAGCACACTATACTGTCTGGATTTATCGATTTGCCATTGTCGAGGCCTTGAACATATCCATCCCGGACGAGATCGAGTGGCTCAACGAGATAGCACTTACATGGATCAAGAACTACCAGATCTGGAACCATCGTAATCATCTGATAGATCACTATTACCCAGCAATAGTGACGTTACCCGACGAATTAGCCGCTCTCGCCGACAGCGAGAGGAAGTTCTTGGACGAGATGCTGAAGCTGGACACGAAGAACTATCACGTGTGGAGCTACCGGCAGTACCTAATACGCAAACTGGGATTATGGGGTGAAGCGGAGCTGGAGAGCGTAGATGCCATGATCAAAGACGACGTGCGAAACAATTCAGCCTGGTCCCACCGCTTCTTCGTCGTCTTCTCCGACCCATCGATCTCATCCCCCGACTCCCACGCCACAGAACACGACCCCAAGGTCCCAGCCGAAACCATCGATCGCGAGATAGAGTACGCGAAGAGCAAGGTCGCCCTGGCGCCTCAAAACCAGAGCCCCTGGAACTATTTGAAGGGCGTGATGCACAAGGGCGGAAGGGAAATGAGGACCGAAAGGGAATTTGCTGAGAAATTCGTCGAGAATCTAGGTGATGCAGAAAATGAGAAGGTGCGCAGTTCCCACGCCTTGGATCTTCTCGCCGACGCCTATAAGGAGGCGGGTGAGAAGGAATTGGCACGGCTCGCTCTGACGAGACTTGGTGAGAAGTGGGATCGCATTCGTCGTGGTTATTGGGAGTATAGGATTGGTTTGCTTGATGGGGATTTAAACAAAGTTGGAAGTTAGACCTTGGTACCATTACATGGTTCTATGGCATGCAATTAAGATCCCTAGAAGTTGGGGGGGATAGGGAAGGTCTGCTAGGATTGAAGGGGATGTCCAGAGGGGCTGGATTCATGAGCAACTGGCAGCCTTTGAACTGGCTTTTGCTTGGCATGTGCCATGAAAGATGGGTGAATGGATTCTACGATGCACGTAGGATACAGACAAATAGATTCACGTCATAGAACAAATTGCTATCCTTTGCCTAATGCTGAAGTGGCAGTGAGATTAATAAGTATGACTATTTGATGGTCACATCCAGTTTCAAGGCAATACAGTTATTTTTGATTGTTCAGAATGTATATTTCCCTGTCCACAAGTCTTGTTCTTTGACTGGGATAAATGTAGCCTTAGCTATGTGAGAAGTATTCGGATCTTACAATAGACGGCCTTGTTCGAAGTGATCCTACGTCTCATGCTTCAACCCATTACTTCATGAGTTAAGATGTCGAATACCTTATGGCGAGTTCAAGGGTCATCATTCCTCCAACCCCCCTCTCCACCCCATCCCATAAAACTCACTTCATACCCCATCATAGCGTACGAAAGTTCTGACTAACAATAACCCACTTCCGCAAATTCCGCGGCGGGTTGCGTCCCCAGGCCTCCCAATGCGGCACCAATATAAACGCCTCATTGAAGGCCTGCTCCGGCAGCTCAGCTTCCTCAGCCGGTTTCGGCGTGCTGCCAACGGCAAAGGGCGTGTTGGCCGTAGCGCTAGCCGCTTCACCCAGAGCCGGAGGTGTGCTCTTGGCTTCCCCCGGGCCCCCCGCCGCCGTGGCCGGGGCCGTGTGTTCGTGGGTATAGCGGATGATACCGCTTACCTGAACTTTCGCCGTAACCAGCATTAGCAAACCCAAGCACCAAGAAAGGAAGTAATGAATAAATACTCACTCATAAAGCTCATACGATCCCCATTCCTCACACCCGCCGTAGCGTCACGGGCACTATACTCCGCGCCCGCAGCCTCCGGCTCGCCGAGCCTATAATGCGGGGTCACAGGCAGCGCGTCGAACGACGAGATCTCGTAGACCACGGGCCCGCCCTGGTTCTCGAGCAGCACCTCGTACGCGGCGACATCCGGCACCGGGAGCCCGTTTATGCTGATGTCGGGTTTGACGGAGGCGTTGGTGAGACGCGCGGAGGTCGAGGCGTAGAAGTTGGTCAGGGGACGTCGGCGTGTGCGTGCTTCGTAGTAGGTGTCTACGAAGCTCTGCGCGGCGTCGCTGGAGACCCGGAATTGGGTTTCTATTGTTGGGAGAGACATCTTGGGGTTGGTGTTGCTGTGGGAGCTTGGGGGCTGGGTATCGGGGTTATGCGTGTATCGGAGAAGTGGGTTTTTGTTTAGTTTTGTGAGGGAGAGATTTTGTTTGTAGGCCGTTTGGGGTGCTTGCGCGCGAGCGACGAGGCCCGAAAATTAATATGACGGGTATAGGTTCTTCTAGAATCAGCAAGATATTACTAGTAGATTAATGAGTTGTTCAAGAGCTCACAAAGTGAAAGGTTGGATAATGAGTAGGGGAATGAATTGTCTGTTTGAAAAAGAGTTGAAAAGTAGACTTATGGAGTTTGCCGCCTTATGCTTAAAACCATATCAGTTACATCTCGATAAGTGCACTTTTCTTCAAATGAGTAATTCGTTATTCGCATTTAGACTTTTATATTCTTTTTTCAGTTCGATTTCTCTCTAAACTCGAATCTAATTTCGGACAGCTTAAACACCTATCTCAGGCTCAGGATATACGCCAACCTCTCCCAGGGGCCATTCTATAATAGTCGTGTACTGCATTGGTATCAATTCCTTGATCTTGATCAGCAATGGCTTGACCCTGTCCTTGAGCCACCATCTGTCCTCGACACGATTTAACAAGACGCACCAGTAAGCCATTATGATCAGGGCCGCCGGGTGCTTAGCAGCAAGTTCTGTTCGAAAATTATTGTTTATAATAGATGGAAACCTGAGAGCCGCGTTCTTCTTATCCAGCGGCGAGTCTGCTTTATCTGACAAGTAGAAGCACACCCGTAGCCTAACTAGAGTATCCGAGTATGTTTCTCTCTGTTCAGGTGTGATGGGCAATTTCGAATATAGATCGACGAGCCTTTCGTCTGTAGGCCCGTTGCCTAAGTCCTCCACCTTCGGTGTATACAGCTCGCCAAGGAGCGCCCTCAGAGATGAGTGCATAAGGGTGGCGTTTTGCTCCATCGTGATCGCCGCGCAACCCTGAATCAAAATAAGCCACTCGGCTAGAGTCCCGGCTTCCTCATTGAAAAGCAGCGACGAAGCATCTTTCGCAGCAGCAAAGTGATATGGTATGAACAGACACGCGCAAGCAAACAAAGGCAGAGCCGTTTCTGCTGAAATAGAAGCTAAAGCCTGTCGGAATAGCGGAATGGCTTTAGCTTGGTGTTCAGCGGCGACACGCTCGAGATAGGCGGCTTGGTCCGGGAGGGCTAAACGCTGGTGTAGTGCGGCGGTCGCTAGGATCTCGTGGAGGAGGTACGGATACTGTGTCGCAAGATCACCGACCACATCCCGCCACACTGATGCCGATGCGCTATCGTCCGCCTGTGCGAAGGCCGTGGAAATGGCGAAATGGTGGTACAAGCCAAAATCAGTGAAGGAGAAGGACGTCCCCTCGTAGGGTTGAACCACCCTTATCTCCGGTGTCTTCGAACCCCTCCCACTCTCGGTCGAAGGTGACGACGATGGCGCTAAGCTGCATGAAAGCTGTCTCTTGACGCAGTACGAGCACGGCTGTCCCTCGTCGCACTTCACCTTCTTGGATTTGCATGTGGTGCAACCCGCCCGGCTCTTATGGTGTGCTCTGAGAGATGTTGGTGCCATTTTCGCTCATATTCATTTCTTTCCACTGTTCCCATCCAATTTACATTTAGAAGCCACCTGGGACGATTTATATGCTGTCAGACGAATCATATCGCCAAACAGGTGAAGCATTTACTTCATGGGACTATCTTAAATATTAATTGAGGCTTTTGCACAGATCCACACAGCACTGCCTCACCCAGGTCGCAAAAGTACCCGACGAATCAGCATTCGTTAGGAAAAGTCGATAGGATTCATCTTAGTGTATATCAACAAATACCATCTCTCGTGAATGCTTCAGCAGAAAACTACATGATACCTATTTTCTCATTTCTTTCCTCAGCGAAACCATGCTTGAAGAGGTCCTCGCTGTTTAGAGGCAATAGAAACGACGTCGACGAATAATATATGTTTGAAGGTTCAATGCCGCAGATAACGTTCTTGTAAGTAAGAGTTCTAAAGACAGTATATTTTATAGTCGAAATGGTAGGTCCTTACTTAATTATCATGTTATTAAGTAGGTAGCTGCTGCTAACCTTTATCTTCATTAACCGTCCCGGTAGTGTTCAGGTCAACGAGGCGGTAAATATCATAACCACAAAAAAAGAAAAATAGCCGACTACAGTATGATTAAAAACACTAGATTTTTTTTAATAAACAGATTCCCACACTTGGACAGGTATGTACCTAGGTAGGTACTTATCATGGTAGTCACGCAGAAGTTTAGTTTGCTAAGTCGAAAGCACTTGCCTAAGTTAACTGCTCACACCTAGCAATCGCTCAATGACCACACGCAGTTGCCATTATAGGCTCAGAAATCAGCGCAAAACATGTAGCAACCATTATATACTGTGTTCAGCACCTTCCCATGAGCGAATATGACTCATGAGATTATGTAAAAAGGCCATATAATGTTATTTCACACGGAGAGTCGATTATAGAAACAATGCCAATTCGGCGCATGATAGGTCAACGTGAAGCTTAAATCGATATTAACTTTTTTATCACTGTGCGTTGATTATCGATGTAGGAAACTCTTTTGCTAGCACTGTCCTCATAAAAGTACCTACCCTAGGTATATAAATATCTACTCCCATCGCCTCTCTATTTCTCTTTCTCCCTCCTTCATACCTAATTACTTGAGTACTAACTTACTCAATATAATAATTAATTGAGCCATCTCAACCTAAGCTCATTATTCTTTTAATATCTATATATACTAATTATCTAACGCCCTTATGAAGTTGTCCTAATGTCATGGCTCAGCCATGAGTGGCTTGACAAGAAGTGGCTGAACACACTTCTTGAGCTAGGACCACATGTACGAGGGCGGTGAGGAGGATAAGCCGAACTAGCCTAACTTAGGTTAGCGCTAGATTCTGCCGAAGCAAGGGTCATAAAACCCCACTTGCATCGCTACTGTAGATCTTTTCCTTTTCCTTTCTTCTTTAGCTTAATTAATACATGCAACCCCGGATTCGATGAGAGAGCGATGAGACCTCGTCCATTGACACTCTCATAACAAAAGGTTGATGAATAGTAAGTGGATGGAATTCTGATGCTCACTCAAATGTCGACAATGTGCTTACCATAATTCTCTGTCCAGGAACCATCCTGCAAACTTCATCCTTCGAGGTGTTTCAATGATCTCATCAAGCAGTTGTTTTCTCTTGTCATATGGAGATCACGCACTCTAATATCCCGGCCTGGGATACAACAAAAATAGCTATATAAGAATCACCACGCATATAAGGTCGATAAGCCATAAGAGAAAACATCATAACGTCAAGGACGACGAATGGCCGGTTAATTTAAGATGGATCACGACACAGATGTGGCTAAGAAAGTATTGGTCAGGTACATTTAAGAACCCATAAGATTTAGGCGGCGACTATCTCCGTACACTTGAGTAAAATACACAACCCATGGTGGGAGCCCTGGGTAAGATCCATAACCCATGGTTGGAGCCTCGCCGAGATCACTATAAAAGGTTCCCTTATATTCGAAAGTCCGATATTAATCCTTCTCGTCCTGTCCGAAAAACAACATCATATCATTATGCCCCGGATAACCTTGCGGAGCAACACGTAACACCTGCCACAAACAAACGACGCGAGAAACAACATTGTTATTACAGATGGATCACGAACGGCATAAGATACAAGCCGTATACTTTAAAGATCTTCATCGGCACGATACATTCTCCGACTATCGAGGTCGGCCGGCACCTTAAGGAGTTCAATTGGAACCAAGTTAATCCAATGCACCAACATGCGTCCTATTCGACGTGTATGTACCTAAGTAAAGAGATAGCTACACGTCCTACCTGGACGCGAATATGCCCATCATAATCAAAGAAGTTTGCCGCAGGGAACCGGAGCCAGAGCTAGGTCATTGTCGTCTCATAAATAGAAAACGAAAAGGAGGTATCCCTTGTCTATCCGATGACGATAACGCCTTATGTGGGAAAAGGAAAGAGCTTAATTAGGGACTTGAAACTACATACATTCATATTATGGATATATTATTACCTACCTAAATCCATAGAAAGAAGCACAGCACAACATACTTCACCTAATTCAAGTGAAGATGCCTTTGCGATTATCTTTCCCGGGACAAATCAAAGTGAGACCATATTTTAGCATGTCCGTGACTAAGACGATGACACCCGGGTAAAGGGGGCATGGCCCTTAGACCTGAGACTGGATGCGAGAATGCATGCATACAGATGTCTAGATCCATTAGCAGCTAACATTCTCCAGTATCGCGAACAGTTTAATTGAATTTGGTATTGATTGCTCTGTATCTCTAGTTATGGCTGGTGTAAAGCACCTCTATTTCTAGTGTTAGGTAGGTATATCTCTGTGATGATAGGTGCACGGCACCGAAGCCTTCTTCGTGGGTATAAGGGAGATGGTAGCCGACTTCACCAACCCGGACTCGGCGATATTTTCGTTTCCTCTTGCTCAATGGTAAACCCGTCCGCGGCGGCGCTAATTACTCATACGCCAATTCAGGTTGATGCGATCTTTCCTCGCCATGCTCAAGAGCACCTGCGCAGGATACGATACGCCTATAAACCCCTCCTTCTAACCCACCCATCTCTCAATCTTCCAATTTCCAGACCGTAAATCCAGGCCCTCTCCCCCCTCTCTCATTGAGGAAAATGCCACAAGCCAAACCTCTCAACAACACTATACCCCAGCCCCAAAAAATCGCACAACCGCACCCAATTCTCCGCCTGCGCGCCCTTCTCCAACGCCAAAACGTCGAGCTCCAGGATCCCATCATCGCCTATCCTCTTCTCTGTAAACGCCTGCGCGAACCACGTTCCCCTACCGTCCCCCATCGTCGTCGTCGTCATTACCATCTCAGCGCCCCCTCCACTTTCGCGACCCCACCACCATGTCCTTCCCAGCCCCTCCTCTCCCAACCGGCTTCCGCGCGGTATTATGAACTTAGCCTCCGGGTGGGATTTGGTGATTTCCAGGAGCTGCGCGTCTGAGCTGACCTCGACATACGTATTGGTGTTAGATGCCGCGGTGGAGTTTCCCTGGCGAGAGTCTTGGTGGATATAGCCTAGTTTGCTAAGCGCTTTTCCTAACACCGATGTTGCGGTCTGTGTTGTTCTGAGAACGAATATGGGTGCTGATGGTGAGGATGTGGTGGCGGCGTGATTGGTGGAGGCGAGGATGGTAGGGGCTAGGAAGTTTAGCGTGAAGAGGAGTGGGAGTTTCATGGTTAGTTAAGGTGTTTGTGAATGTGTACGTATATAAGGCGTGCTTTTGATGATATTTTGATTAAATAAGGATTTAATTTCTATAAAATTCTTGTATTGAGTCTTGGGTTGGGAAGATGAGAAAGGTAGAAGCGTTGAAGACTATCGGTCAAGTAACAGCAACACCAATGTAAGAAACTAAAGATAGTAAGTTTCTATAACCCACCCACAATGCGACGATCGCCTGAACCGGCCGAAAATTAAATAATAAGAGGACCCATGGAACAGCTGTATATCCTCGTATCAAAAATCTCTTGGCGCTGATAATATAGGCTGGATGACGCGGTTCAGTATCCAGATCTTAGGTAAAGACTACCCTGGCTTTACCCAGTGCTGCTTCTCGGTTCGATCCGTGCCCCCTTGGTATTCTGCACGACACCGCCATGATCGTCCGTTGAAGAAAGATCTTTGAACCAACGCCCGGCGAGCGTGCGGTACATGCATAGTCGGGACAGTCTTCGTTGGAGAGCATAGGTAGAGTAGGATGCTGGAGTTTCAGGCATCACACAACAAGTTCCGTTTCACTAACCTATCGCGTTTGGAGAAGGAGGAGCGTACATAGTACATAACCTAACCTTCCTAAACCGAGATTACCTTATTAGCTCAGCCTCATTTCTCGATTTCTTGATTTAGCCGTTGAACAGGGCTCTTTTGCGTGTGGAGCAGAGACATAATAGGTAGATATCCATAAAAGGAGGTTATTGGAATCTGGGGCGGACCCAGGGGTATGGTTGGTCTAGATCTTAGCGAAGTTATTATTTAGGTAAGCGGGTAGCTAATAAGATGGGATGAAGCTAGTGGATATAGTGGGTGTAGTGGATGTAGATAGTGGGGTGGGATGATGGAATAGGGGATGAGGCAGTGCTGAAGGACCTACCTATTTGGCCATTCTAAACCTGAAACGCCCTGGATCAGCATCTAGTGCACCCAATGAACCGCTGTAGAATGCTTATATCGACCTAAATTTCAGTGCCACGTTTGCGAAATAGGGAGGTGCGGGGATTTTATATATCCCTAAGGTGGTGTCGATTTTCAAGCTTTAAATTATTGCCTGGCTACATCGTCGAGTTTCGCAAATAATTGTTTTTGCTCTTTCCTCTTCTCTCTTTTAGAGTTGAAAATGTGAGGACGCCGCGAATTGTGAACAGGAATACCCATAAGCTGCCATGATATAGATTACACAGCCCCTTGATATATCGTTTATTATGCAGGCCGCTGACGAAGAATTATCATGACATCCATGGATGGATCTATGATAATTATTTCTAGTTTCTTGTTGATTGGTCAATACATAGTATGCAGGGGGCGAAAGAGTACAGATCTATCACCGGTATTTGATGGCTTGTTGGGTAGTAGTTTATCGGTTACTTTAGTAAACGGTTGCTTATTCTCGTGATGACCAAGGTGGGTGGTATTTAGGATCGTTTCTTGGCACTTCTTCCGGTCTTTATAGATATTTGAGTTCGAATAAGTTTCCTTGCGATCTGTATTTGAAATCTAGAGCAGATATTTCGATTTAACTTCGGGCAAAGCTACAATTATTCGTGATCACGATCACCTGTGAGTATAGGTTTGATGTTGGTGCAACGGGCTTCCTTAATAGTTGACACTTGTGATCAGAGAAAAGAAGAAGGGAGAAAAGTGCTGCAAGGGACAGTGGATGAATTGGAGATGCTGATCTCATATACCTAAACTTTAACTTGTCTAATACACTCATAGTCGCAGCTTCCACCCATGATCCATTTCGTCTTAGTTGATAACTCGATAACGATGTGTTTACATGAGATTAAAGATTGAGTTCGAATCTACGTCATGCCAAAACATCGATAAATTCTCTAGGAAGCGCTTAGGTAACTATTACCCTACCAGCGGTCAGCATCGGCAACCGACGGCCCTTAACCTGCCCTATCCCGCGCGGTATGATCGGTGTTCCAGAAGACCAACGGAACGGCAGCCATGCACTAGCTTATCACCCGCCCTCGGTCCCTTATCGACGGGTCCTGCAATACGACCCTACCTTTATCTCATTAGACATAATTATCTAACACATATACGACGCCTTATTGTCATTGACCCTGTACCACATCCGATGAAGGCGATGAAGGAATCGTAGGACCAATTTTCTCACATTGGAATAAAGTTATAGAGCGTTTAGACGGCTTATAAACGGGCATGTGGACGAGCTAGTTTGCGTTTGCGGGGATTTTGGGTTTTCTGGCTGCTGCGAATATCGGATCTCTTTCTCCAGCGTTTGGGGCTCGACGAGTGTATATAGGTAGGTATCGTACTAAGGTCAATGAATCTCGGAACATGTTAAGCTGATATCTACCTATATAGATTCTCTAATTAGTTACCTTAAAAGTTCTTGTTAGTCGTGGTTTTGAATATTTCATTCGATTAGATATTCATCAACGATCATCAAAGAAAATGGGCTCCTACGAACCTGACCAGCCTGAGCCTCAGAATCTCTGGATAGAGACACCATGCATTCCATCGGCAACTCTGTCACGGGCAGCAGGATGGTAAGTAGCTCGATCCCGGGTTGCTGGACACGAAACTAATACAACAACCCAGCAACATATTCCTCAAGCTAGAAAACCTCCAACCCTCAGGGTCCTTTAAATCGCGGGGAATCGGGTATATGATGCAAAAAGCAATGTTCGGAAAACGCACCAGCGATGCCCACTTCTACTGCTCGTCCGGAGGTAACGCAGGCCTGGCGTGCGCAACAGCCGCCGCGATATTGAATCGGCCATGCACCATTGTCGTGCCCCTGAGCACAAAAGAACATATAATCGAGAAATTGCGTCGTAGGTTCCATCTCCATTCTTAAGCCAGTAGAATCAATCAGGCTGACGCCAAACCAGTCCTAGGCGCAAAAGTCCACCAAGCAGGCTCCCACTGGGCCCTCGCGGACGCGCACCTGCGCTCAGAACTCCTCGCCAACGACTCCGTCGGCGTGTACGTGCCTCCCTTCGACCACCCCGACATCTGGGAAGGCGCAAGCACTCTCGTCGATGAAATCATCGCCCAAGTGAAATCGTACAACGTATCGCAGATCGACGGAATCATCGTAAGTAGCTGATAACAACCTCTTCTCAGGGAATGCATATTAACCGACCACAAAGTGCAACTGCGGCGGCGGCGGCCTCCTAAACGGCATAATGACCGGCGTAGAGAAGAACTTCTCCACCTCCTCCTCCTCCCACCCAAAACCCAAACCCCGCGTCCTCGCCCTCGAGACCATCGGCGCCGATAGCTTAAACGCCAGTGTCCACGCAGGCCACCTCGTGACTCTGCCCGCGATAACCAGCATCGCGACAAGTCTCGGCGCGCAAAGGGTTTCGGAAGAATCCTTCCGCTGGAGCCAGGAGGCGTCGTACCTGACGAGTCTGGTAGTCAGCGATGCGGAGGCCGTAGCTGCGACGATGAGGTTCGCGGACGATGCGCGGATGTTGGTGGAGGTTGCGTGCGGGGCGACTATTGCGACGGTGTATAACGGGGATTTGCGGCGGGTGTTAGGGGGAGAGGAGATGAGCGATGAGGAGTGGAGGGGGAAGAATGTGGTTGTGATTGTGTGTGGAGGGTCGAATGTAAGTTTAGATGCGTTGGGGGTTTGGGGGGAGCAGTTTGGAGTGAGGGATATGGATATGTATAAGAAGAGGATATAGTGAACGGGGATTTAATGAACCGAGAGAAGAATTTCCATGATTTGTTTGAGGAATATGCGGTATCAAGGGCGGGTGAAGTGAAGTGTAGCTATGGACCAGCCATCCTCACCCTTCCTTATTCCACTCGAAGTAACCAGCAAATGCAACCGTATCCGAACTTGCTCACTCCCCATCTTCCTCCTTCCATCTAAACCTCCTCTTCCAACATCGACCGATCATATCCGACCTCCTTATACCCCATCCCCACCAAATCCCCACCCACCGTCCCCTTCAGCTCAAACCCCTCCTCCCCAAACCCCTCAAGCACCAGCTCAATCTCCCCGAAATAATTCACCCCTCCGCGCTGCTTAAACCCCAGACTCTTAAACAACGCAATACTAGCCGTATTATCCTCATAAATCTTCGCCGCGACCTCCTTCAAAACCCGCGTCTTATGCTTCCCCTTGTTATCCCTCGACCAACCATCGAACTCCCCTAGTATCTCATCAAGATTGCGGCGTATATACAGCAGAAACGCCGCCACGGCCGCGCGGCCTAGTCCCTTCCCCCGACTCGTCGGGTCCGCGATCATGATGTCGATCTCGGCGGCGCAATACGCCTTGGTCTCGTACTCCTCGCATATCGTCACCCTGTCCTCGTAATCGGCCGGGTCCCACGGCGAGATGAACGCGTTGACGTCGCCCGCCATGCTCCCTGGGACGTCGACTTTGCCGGCTATGACTGGCGACGCGGAGGCCGCTAGGTTGGAGAAGGAGGCACCTTTGCAGATGATGAAGGTGAGCTTGTCGCCTGATGTGCGCCATGAGGCTTGGTTCTCGTATTCTTGCTCTAGTGAGAGACGGTCTGAGGCGGTGAGTTGGCGGATTTTCTTGTGGGAAGGTTAGTTGGTTTGAGTAATGGGAGCGTGAGGAAGTATATAAACGTATAGGGAGATATTTTGGAGGGCTGAGGGGACGTACCTCATCTTCCATCCACTCATGGTATTTTAGGACGTGGTGCTTGTCATAAGGCACGAGAATGATGCTGTTACCGCAGACGGCTATTATAATGATGAATTAATTAGCTCTATTTCATTTTTGTGGGATAAAAAGACGGAGAATATTCGTTGTGAACAGCGTGAAAGTGAGTGCAAACGCATCCTAACACGAGAGATGGAGATGGGTTTGGACTTACCAACATCTTGATTTACTCTCATCGTGATGCGAATTTCTTATCAAATTAAGTATGGGACGGGTGTCGCATATAATTTATCGATCTTTTCCTTATGAAGCGACTTCATAAAATTGTTATTGAGGCACATAAAATTGAAGGGGGAAGGAAAGTCAAAGTTTTATCAAAGTGCGTTTTCGTATATTTAATGTTTAGTCACAAATCACGGGTGCGGCTGCCGCCGTAAATTTATAGGCTTAGTCGTTCCTGCAATGAAGCAAGCCCCTAACACCTGCCAACTTCAATAAATGGAATAAAGAGTAACTTTTTCATGGTATCATTCCGATTTACATATATCAATACATTCATTCAACCCATTCAATCCTCAACTGGCAAAGGCGGGAACAAGCTCCCTTGCGCGCCCTTCACAATCGGCACGAAAGACGTCCCATAGTCGTTGTCCGCATGCAACTTCGCGAACTCGAATGTCCTCCGATCAGGACTAACCCCTAATACATCCAGCAATCTTTTCGACTTCTCCGGTATAAATGGCTGTAAGAGTATTCCCACCACACGAAGGGCTTCAGACGTGTGGAACACGATCTGGTTGAGCGCCGTCGTTTCACTTTCGTTTTTTACATCCCATGGTTTTGCGTTGGACATAAAGACATTTGACTATAGAGAATTAGCGATAGATGCAAAGCAAAGTACTAGGTAGATGGAAATGCGAAAGAGATAACTTACAGCAAACGCAACATCTATAATTGCCTTCAATGCCAAAGTAGGATTTAATGCGTCCATATGTTTTTCAACCTTGCTTACAAGCTCTTCTATCATCTGTTTTTGGGAGATAACCAGGTCCGGTAGTTCATCAGATGGCTTGCCACATATCTCTACCACTGCATCCCTCACACTCCATTGCTTTGGCTGAGTTATTCTGTTGAGCAGATTGCCGATACTATGTTGTAGCCCCTTCTTGTAGTTAATCACGATGAACTCGTTGCTGTAGTCGGAATCTTCGGTTATGGAACCGTGGTAGATCAGAAAGTATCGTATGGTATCCACGCCCCATCGATCTATCGCGAAGAAGGGATTCACCACGTTTCCGACTGATTTAGACATCTTCTTCTTGCTCATCAACCAATGCCCATGGCTGAGAACGGTCTTCGGCAAAGGTAGATCTAGCGCCATGAGTAGCGCAGGCCAGTAAATGCTGTGAAAGCGCACGATGTCCTTCCCAACGACATGAACATCTGCCGGCCACCCCTTCGTATGCTCGGATCCGGGCGGCCACATGGGATATCCGGCCACCGTGATGTAGTTGATCAAAGCGTCTACCCACACGTAGATGACCTGTTCCGGGTCGTCCGGCACCGGGATGCCCCACTCAAGACGGCTTCTAGGACGGGATATAGACAAGTCCTCGAGATTATTCGTGACCCAGTTAACGACCTCAGCAAGTCTTGTTTTCGGGACCACGAATTCCGGATTATCGGCGTAAAGTTTTAATAACCTGTCCTTAAAAGCCGTCAACCGGAAATGATAATTCTGCTCTGACTGCCACTCGACCTTATTCCCTGTCTCGACCGACGCCATGAACGACTTCCCCGTCAGCGGCGACACGCGCTTCTTGATCATGGTCTCGGGGTAGTACGTCTCGTCGCTAACGCAATACCAGCCCTCGTGCGTCGTCTCGTATATGTACCCGCTCTCCTTCAGCCTGCCCCAAAAGTACTCCACGGCCTCCTTATGCTCGGCATCCGTAGTACGTATAAAGAAATCGTAGTCGATGTTCGCCTTCTTCGCCAGATCCCTGAACGTCTCGGAATTCGTATCGCACAGCGCTTTGGGTTGTATGTCCTGCGCCTGGGCTGCTTGCTGGACCTTCATGCCATGCTCGTCGGTTCCCGTGCTCAGGATCGCCGGTCTGCCCTTTAGGACTTGCCATCGCTTCAGGATGTCTGCGATTAGCATGCTGTAAAGATGGCCGACGTGGGGTGCTTTAAAGGAGATTGGTTAGAATACATTTGATGTGAGGAATAGCGCGGAACATATAATCAGTACAAATTAGGAACTATACGCCATGCATGTATAATATGGGACTCACAGGCATTGACGTAGAAGATCGGCGTTGTCACATAGTACGGCTTGTCTATGGCGTCGCCTTTGGCCTCGCGGAGAGCTGTGGTGGTGCTGAATAGCTTGCGCCGCGCCTGGCTGACCCTACAGGATTGACATGTCCACCCATTGCGAACCGTCTGTCGAGATGTTACCGTCGATAATCGCCGACTTAGGTTCCCTAAATTGCTCCTCATGATCTGACTATCGTAGATGTATTGTTCATGTTTTTAAATCGAGAGGTTCGGCTTAGAAATTAATTTTAGCCGATGGAGAAGAGCTGTGGGGGAGCTCCGGGTCAAATCATTAGCGGGGTCGGGGTTCCTAGCACCTACCTGGTACCTATAGGCTATAGGCTATAAGACTGCTCGCTGTAGAGATACCAATACGTACCTACCTAGGTACCTAGGTAGGTAGGAGACATATGGATATGTCGCGTCTACGATACATTTCAAATCATAATGCAGAAATTATCTGAATTCCGTGATATTCAGACAAGCAAGAGAAGCGACAGCTATAGCTAACTATTTAGGAGAGGAGTGTCAGAAAAGATGACCCCTACCAACTAGTAGCATTGGTAGGTAGTTGTATAGGTACTAGGCCTTGTATGTAGCTCCCAAGGCTAGCATGGATCCTCTCTGACACCCCAAGTTTCGCCTCAATTACCTACATAGCAGTGACTAGTAGGTAATCACATCGGCTCCTAGAGAAGATTCGGTGTTCTCCTATTATACATCCGTATACGGATGCATCATCTGCCCAAACTTATTGTGCAGGAATGTTCATTGGCATTGTCTTTTGCAAGACAGCCCCTCCCCCAAGCCCAAGCAAGCATCGAGTGTCCATATCCTCATATGCCCATAGCTCCCATATCTTCCATACCCTCCTAATTCCATAGTAGTATCTAGTAACTACTTTACCTGTGTCATATCGTACAGGTCCAAATATCTCCATTATCGTAATGGATTAGTCAAGTCTGAAGAGGAAGTCAAGGTCTGCGCGTGAGAGGGTATCCAATCCGGATCCCGTTCTTGTCGACTCCATCGTAGTGTTAATCATAGCCGTCTTCTTCTCTTGCAGCAGTACCATTCGACTCTCTACTGAGTCCTCGATGCAAAGACGTGTGATTATGCATGGGCGTGTCTGTCCAATGCGATGGCATCGGTCAGCCGACTGCCACTCCGCCGCCGGATTCCACCACCTACATAATTAAAAATGATCAGCGTGCTACCTTCGGCGATAATATGCTCGGGGGGAAAGGGGGAAGGGGGGAAAGGGGGTACGGATATGGTTGACTTACGGGTCAACGATGAAGACTCTTGAGGCTTCCGTGAGATTCAGTGCAACGCCGCCAGCCTTTAGAGACACTAGGAAGCACTCCACATTTGTGTTCTTCATGAAGTGATTGATGGAAGCTTGTCTCTGAGCAGGGTTCATGCTTCCATCAAGCATGACCGTCGTAATCCCGGCTCGCTGGAGACGCCACTGAAGCAGCTGGAGCATCGAAGTAAACTGCGAGAAGATGATCGACTTGTGGCACATCTTGTCTGATCGTAGTCGGTAGAGCTCGTGCACGAGAAGCTCGATCTTTGTGGATGACTTCCAATTTTCCATCTTAATTCGGTTGATGATGGATGACTTCTTAACAAGCTCCGAATCTTGCTCCATTTCTGGCTGTTCTAGGTCAATAGATAGCGGGATGTGGCATTGCGGGCAGTCGGGTGACTCTTGGGAGTCGATATAATTCCTGGCGCAAGAACGACAAAAGTCATGCTTGCACTTGGATCGAATAGATTCTTCTGCAGGCTCATCACATATGCAGCAGACCAACACGTTCTGTCCACCTTCACTATCCTTCTTCAAAATCAAGTCCGGGTGGTCCGCCGTCTGGCGCATCCGCATGATCAAGCCAAAGATATTTGCGTAGTTCTTAAGAATGACTCCTTGGGCCACGTAGTCGTTGAATTGTCTTTGACTGTTTTTCATGATGCTATTGGCAAAGTCGGCCTCTCCTTCGCTGAAGAATTGACGATTGACCACAATTTCCTTGACAGGGAGCTCCATGGCATCCATGTGATCTTTCTTGAGGCGACGTAGCATGAGACGGCTGATTAAAAGGCGGAGGTGACTAAAGGCTGTATCCGTCTGAACGCGGTCCGCCGGAGCAATAGATCTCAGCGGGTTAAGGATTTCATAATTGAAGACTGATAAATGCATCAGCATTGTATGTCCACCTAAGATGAGTTAGCTAACACGTTCACACCTAGATGGCTAGGTAAGCACATCATAATGAATGAACTCACATTCAACACAGCATTCCTTCTCGTTAGGAGCCCAATCGAGGGTCTCGCAAGGGCATGATTTGCAGACATATGAAGCGTACGGTCTCAATCTGAGAAACCGTAATAAAGAGAAGAACTCGCCAATGCGATTCTGCAAAGGTGTTCCAGTCAAGCACCAGCGGTACTTTGCCTCGAGAGCAAAGCATGCCTTGGCAGTACCAGACAATCGAGACTTTATCCAGTTAGTTTTTGTTGAGAAGAGATAGACGATTATTATAAGAACATACCTTGATACAATGAGCTTCATCCAGAATGACACGATGAAACTTGATTTGGTGGATGAGGCTCTTCTCTTTATACGTGCCCTCGTTCTTGAAGATTCCCTTCTCCTGCTTTCGGTGCATTGCCTCCAGTGAGTTGTAGGACATGACGATAATGTCGAACTTCTTAAGCTCTTTGAGAGTCATCTTCTTCACCTTGGTATTGCTACCGTGATACATCAGTATCTTCAATTGTCCACTGGTATATGATTCAATTTCATGAATCCACTGCATCAAAGCAACGGGAGGTGCAAGAACCAAAGACGGTGCCTTGGCTGGGTAATCCGACATGATTAGTGATACGGCTTGGATCGTTTTTCCTAGACCCATTTCATCTCCAAGCACGCCACCCTTCCATCTCTTTGCTTCCATGGTCTTCATCCACGCCAATCCCGTCAATTGGAAGGGCTTCAAAGTACGCTTGATGTTAACTGGCTGGGCAGCTTGCGCGACATTGATAGCCGGCATCTTCTTAAGATCGGACCACATTGTCACAAGCGAGGGATGGCGGAGTTCTAGCATTCGTCTCCTGAATGTCTCACTGTGCGGGTAAAGGCGCTTTGAAACAAAGCTTCTAAGTACCTTCTCCGAAGCAAACCGAATATCAAAATCATCGGAAGCAGCGTCGGAAGAAGCTTCGTCGTCATCATCTGATCTCTCTCTCTTCTGCTTCTTGAGTGATCGTTTGACATGCTCCTTACGTTTGGGCGACAAAGGTTGTGGGCCTCCATAAGTACTCGTCATGAAGAATGTAGACCGACGTTTAAATGTACGACCGTAGGAAACAAAATCGTCGTCGGAGTCATCGTCGGAGCTAGAATCGTCGTCAGAGTCATCGTCGTCAGAGTCATCGCCGTCAGAGTCATCACCGTCAGAGTCATCGCTGTCGGAGTCATCGTCGGAGCTAGAATCATCGGGGCCAGAATCGTCGGATCCACTGCTGCTGGTATAGTGCTTAGCATAGTCGAGTCCCCTTTCTTCTTCAGATGAAGTCGAGTCCCAGGCGGAGGGCTGGGCCATGTCCTTGATGTCGGATTTCACCTTTGTGGCTCTCTTTCTTTTGAGATTGGACGTGCTCTTAGTCGGCTGAGCATGAGAGGTATTGGCGGAAGATGTCGCGGTTGACGTGTCCTCCTGACGTTGGAGACTACGTGCAAATGCTGCACCACGAGACCTATCGCCAGGGAAATAATCATCCTCATCCTCATCCTCTGAGTCGGGGCGGTAGAAAGGACCGGCGCTGCGTCGAATAACTCTACGTGGACGAGAAGAATTGGATCCCTCAGGCATATTGCCCTGTCCCTCCGGGGGATTGGAGGAAAGTTGAGGAAGTTCAACTACCAGGTGGCGTCGAGTAGTATGTGTTGACGTTTGCGCGTTGTTGCTGTTAATCGCAGCTGTTGGGGCCGAGGGAACCGAAGTAGTCGGAGTAGACAAGGCCGTCTGAATAATGCTAGTCGCGGATGTCGAAATTTCGTCATCAGAGGGTAAGGTAGATGGTAAAGACGATGTCGAGTCGCGATTGGGAGGGGTGGGATGCGACATACTAGCATCGCTAGAAGTGCCTACGGCAAGACCGTCTTTGGCGGCCGCCGAACGCGTTCGGGGCGCCATGTTGACTTCAAGGTGATAGTAAACGACAACAAAACTGGCGCGACGACGTTGGGTGTATGTTGGTTAGAGAAGTGATGATGATGATGATGTGATTCGGCAATTAGATACGTGATGAATAAGACGAGATAACAACCTCGAGAGTGTGTGGGATTTAATGTGGTGGAATAATAAAGGTGGAATCGTAAAGGTGAAAGTGTAGAGGTGGAATTGTTTACTAGGGTCAAGTGAAAAAATAGTTGTGCAGATTTGCAGATGTGCAAATGATAGCGCACAATTGACGGTGGGCGTTGACGAAGAATAGTGCCCAGTGGTGATGAGAAAGAACCTTAAGTCTTGACGACTGAATGATTGAATGATTTAATGAATGAGGGAAGAGGAAAGAGGAAAGAGAAATGAGAGAAAAAGGTTGAAGGAGAATGAAGAATGTAAAATCATAAAATCGTGAACACCAGGGAATATTAAGCGTGGCGACTACCCAGGTAGTACACCAGGCAAGAGGTCAAAGATTTCATAGATGTGGTGGAAGAAAGAAAGTTTCGTGGTCAAGGTTCACAGACCGGCGCGACTACTACACGCAAGCTCGTGACTTGATCTTCCAGCACTGTCTGGGGTAGGGCGGTAGCTGCAGCAAGAAAGAAGGAACACTCTTAGATTGGCCAATAGGAGCGGAGAATTGCCAATTAAATCCCTTGCAACTACCCGCAATTCCACCCGTTCTTTCTGTTACATGCGCTAACACAAAAAAAGACCCCCGCGGTAACCCACCTACCCCTCGCTGCAGCAGGCAAGCACGCTAAAAACCCATTAAACATCACCTAAAAGGAAACCACTTAACGCGCTCTAGCTGTCAGTACCTAACGACCGCGTTCCGTCTAATCCGTTAGACACTTTCTATTTAACATCATCACCACACTGACACTTTCGTCTCTCACTTTTATCCCCACTCTCAAGTTTGTCTGCTTCTTCCGTCCATCTACAATTCGTACAGATGAACAAAGAAACCACAAACTTCTCAATTACAGCAATTCGTCAGACATTGTAGCTACCTTTTCCCTACCTAGTACCTACAATTAGCAGGTATTAGGTATAGTTACCCATCCTACTATTCTATACTCGGTACCTAATTACCTAGGTATTGAGTACTTCGTTTTTCATCTCGTTTCTTTCACACACAACCTAATCTCACCATACATCGGACTCAATAAATTCGTCACCAATGGATAATGACAATCCACGACCAGGCGGTCCTCGTTTCGCGCTGACAGACTTTCTTCGGTCGCATAATATATCTACGAACGCTAGCAGTCGTGCACGTCGAGGCCATCCCACCAATTCAGCTACGAGCACCATGGCAACACCGAGCGCCCAGACTGTAGGAGAAGGCCAAGAAAAGGATGGTGAAGATGAAAAAGATGCCACAGACGGAGAAGATGCCATAGACGGAGAAGATGTCACAGATGGAGAAGATGCCAAAGACGCCAAAGATGGTAAAGCTGTCAAAGATGGTAAAGCTGCCAAAGGTGGTAAAGCTGCCAAAGATGCCAAGAAAGACGGTGCGAATGATGTGCGCAAGCGCAAGCGCGAGCGCGAAGAGGCTCGTGAGATGCACAAGATAAGGATAAGTAAACGTTTCAAGAAAGAGTGTGCATCTCATCCCAATGAGGATGAGGAAGCAGTTTTACGTAGACTTCACTTTGCACAAGTCCAGAAACAACGAAGGCGAAACCAAACGTCTGCTGCGTCCATGCCAGGACAGACGGCGAACTGTGAAAGCTGCCAGCAGCGTTTTACGGTGACACCATACACACGCGCCGGTCCGAACGGAGGCCTACTTTGCACAAAGTGTGGCAAGAACCTCGCCGATGAAGAAGATGCCAAGAAGAGCAAGAAGGCAAGCAACGGTGTACCCGGTAAAGGTCACAAGGAGCATCGAAAAAAACAAGCAGGCACGCCTTTCGGAACTGGGGTAAAATCGCTTGTCACGCTTTGCATCGAAACCCTCGCAGCGAATATCAGCCTTGCTGACTCTTTCGGCGACCTCCCTCCTCTAGTCATCGATCGTATTGCAAGAATGTTGTCTAAACGTCGCATGATAAACTCGCAAACGTTAGAGCTATTTCTTCCGTACCAGCCAGAAGATATGTGCATATACGACGCAGCTCAGCTTGAACAGCAAGATTACATCCGCATTTTCCAGGTCTGTACTGGAATGAAGCAATTGAAATTGTATAACGCAATTCAATTCAGAGACGAGGCAGTCGAGTATCTCATCGGACGAAACTTCAATCTTGAAAGTCTGTATCTTTCCGGCGCGAACCTCTTGACCGAGAAAGGTTGGACGGATTATCTGAAAGCTAAGGGGGGGCATCTCAAGAGTCTGCGCGTGTACTTCACGGATCAGGAATTCAACCGCAACGTTCTTGCGGCCATTAAACACTTCTGCCTATCACTGGAACGACTTAAGATCTGCCATAATCAGCAGGTTTCAGATGACGAGTTGGAATGCATCGCTAGCATTCAAACTCTCCGACACATCGGTCTACACCTGGTCAAAGAGACCACTACTCGCATCTACATCTCCATCATCAATCACCTAGGCAAGAACTTGGAGACCTTCTCCATCAGAACAGTGCCACAAGTCGGCGATGGCTTGCTAGAGGCAATTCATGCGAACTGCACCCGGCTATCGAAGCTTCGCATTACGCATAGCGAAGCCATGACAGATGCTGGGTTCGTCAAATTGTTCACGGGATGGAAGAACAAGCCACTGAAGTTCATCGACTTCGAGAAATGCCTTCCGATAGCAAATGCAAACCCTCAGGAGAACACTAAAATGGTGGGCCTCCATTCAAATGGCTTCCAAGCGATGATGAACCATTCCGGACTGGGGCTCAAGAAGCTGAATATCCACTGTTGCCGATATATCTCTGGAGAGGCTTTTGAAGAAGTTTTTGCTCTCGGCAAGATATACCCCGACCTCCTGGACTTGGAGGTTAGCTTCTGCGAATCAGTAACGGATTACATCGTGGGATTGATCTTCAAAAGTTGCCCACGCTTACAGAAACTGAACGTTTTCGGTTGCATGAAGGTACGTAACTTATTTTATTTTTCACAATATCACCCGACCCGCGAAGCATCACCAAGACATTTATCTCCTATCAACGTCAACATGCATTGATGCTTTCTGCGCGGCCTGGTATCACAATACACCTACCTAGGTACCCATGAATCATTAGAATTTACCTGTCGCTAATTTTATAACCTATAGGTTAGTGACCCCCGAGTGCCTCGCGGCAAGTTCTTAGTTGGCCTCCAAAACGCAAAAGGCATTAGTATCCAGGGCACCGAGGATTAACTTCATTCGCAATATCAAACCTCGTCTACATGTCTATCTACGGGAAGGACAGATGCAAGCAGGTGGTATGAGGTTTTATTACGGAATGGATTAAGCACGGCATGATCGTGCTAGGAAAAGGTGTTGTCCTATTTGCAAAGATTCTTGCTATTGAATCTCTAATGGCTCGTGGACGTTAGCACGGCATGATTTGCACTTTGCACAAGGAGATATGAGATCATGAGGTCATGATGTAGAGTATGAAGAGTGATGACTTCTACTCGTTTTGCTGTACTATAGCTCCCCCATCAGATTCCCCCATTACCCCCATCCCCATCACCCAGTTCCCCAATTCCCCAATTCCCCAAAACGTTCTGCATCACGGCAATTTGTGTATAGTCAGTTGGACGTACGGTTACTTCACAGTCTGGCGGGACGGCCACAGAATGCAAATAATTCACTTCCCCTATGACAGGATTTGGCACGTAGCCAGGTTTGGCTATTCCGGCTCCGGACTCAGCATATCGATCGGCCCCGCCGCGATTAGAATTGCGCCATCGACTTCTTCCCGTGATCCACCGATAATCATGCCACGCATTTCCGTTCTCTGGCTAGTACCATCTACTAGATAACAATTTCTCGGGTGCGATGAGTCTTTTATAATCTCGGTTTTTATAATTAGATTGTAGACGGAATTTGTTCTGCGAAATATTTGTTTGTAACTAATCTGCATGTCCAGGTCTTGGTATAATAGGTACCTTCTGTAACTCCCGCCGGCTTATCAGAATTCTCAGCGCCTATCTCCGCCTATCCGGATCTCCCCACCCCGCATACGACCCGATCCGAAATTCTTGACGCAGATATGGGCTCGACTTCACCCACGCCCCCGCGCTTCGACGTCAATAAGATCGCGATCGTGGGCGCGGGGCCTAGCGGTCTTGCCGTTGCTAAGTATCTGCTGGCGCAAAATGCGTTCGCGCAAGTCGTCGTCTTCGAGCAGCAGGCTGAGGTCGGTGGTGTTTGGAATTATAGCGCCACGGCGAGACCTATCGCGCAGTTGCCTGTGCCGCAGGTTGTTGCGTTTCCGGGATGGTTAGAGGAGCCGGTTTATGCTGGAGGTGAAGGGGGAAATGGGGATGAGAAGGGGAAGCCGTTGTTCCCGACGCCGATGTACGATGATTTGAATACGAATATCCCGCATACAATCATGAAGTACTCGGACTTCAGCTTTAGAGATGGATGTGAGATCTTTCCTCGGAGAGAGGATGTGCAGGCGTATCTTGTGCAGTATGCAAAAGATGTGAGACATCACATCAAGTTCTCCACACAAGTCTCGGATATTTCACTACGCGAGAAAAACACGCAGAAGCCCTGGGAGGAGCGCGACCAGTGGGATGTCAGTACTACGGATTTGGTTACGGGGGAGAAGAGGAAAGACGTCTATGATGCTATAGTGGTCGCTTCGGGGCATTATTCTACGCCGTATATCCCGGATGGAGTGGCTGATATCAAGGCTTTTCATGAAGCACATCCAGGTGTTATTTCACATTCGAAAATGTATAGGAATGCGGAGAGTTACAGAGGGAAGAAAGTTGTGGTTGTGGGGACGGGGGCTTCGGGTTTGGATATTGCGGCGCAGATACGTCGGGTTTCGCAGACGCCGCTGATTGTCTCTGCGCGTGAAGGCGCGACGGAGGAGACGCTAGAGCATTTTGGAGGTGGGAAGTTTGTGCAGGTTGGGCAGATCAAGAGGTTTTTGGTTGAGGAAAGGGGTGTGGAGTTTTATTCCTTAGATGATGAAGATGAAGAAGGCAATACTGTTAAAGTAGAGGGAAAGGAGAAGCCTACAATCATTGAAAAAGACATCGACGCAGTCCTCTTCTGCACAGGTTACCTCTTCACCTTCCCCTTCCTAACTACCCTCACCGACCCCCCTCTCGTCACAGACGGACGCCGCGTCCACGGCCTCGCAAAACACTTCCTGCATATTAACCACCCGACACTCACCTTCCCAAGCCTGCCTATTAAGGTCATCCCCTTCCCGCTCGCCGAAGCGCAGGGTGCAGTCTTCGCACGCCTATGGTCAAATACGCTACCCTTACCCTCGCGCTCCGCCCTCGAAGCCATGGAGCGCGAAGACGGCGACCAGAAGGATCCAGGGAAGTATCATGTTTTCCCGAAGGGCGGAGACGGACAGTATATCAACGAGCTGCATGACTGGGTGATGCGGGACGGGGGAGGTAAGGAAGGGGGCAAGGAGCCGCCGTATTGGGATGGTGAACTGCTTTGGCAGAGGGGTATTTATATCGAGGCGAAGATGCAGTTTGAGAAGACGGGGAAGAGTGCTACGACTTTGGAGGAATTGGGGTTCCGGTATGAGCCGCAGGAGCCGAAGACGGTGGAGGATGTGAAGGGGACGGGGGATGTTGCTGGGTGAGGTTGTATGGGGGGGTTGAAGGATCGAAGATGGGGTGGGTTGGATAGATTATAGATAACCCACGACTTGGATTAAAAAGGCAGTTCGCTAACGCCTGTGGTTTTAGATATGTCACGCGAGGATATGCCATTGTTGGATTACTGATTAAACCAATACTGTACGAAGTAATTACGGTCTATCACCAAGAAGAGACATAGAAATGTATCCAAACATGGGTATATTAAATTTTTATACCCAAAATCGTAACCCAACTTTCCAACCAAATCCCTTTCCATCTCCCCCCTCCCATCCCATATCCAAAATCCCAATGCGCCATCCCTATGTGAACCCATGCTCCTAAATGCCACTTATCCCCCCATGCAAACATGCAACTACCTACCTAACTTAAACAGACAGTTATGCCCAAAAGAAACCCTAAACGCAAATGCACCCACCCCGGAATCGGAATCACTCATCCAACGACTCCGCATACTCCTTGTCCTGCGACACCCAATCCTCCAAACGAGTCTGCAAGTCCTCATCGGTAACGGCCTCGTAAGCCGTCGTCGCCATATCGCTCGTCACATTGGCCGTCTCCCGCTTCCAGGACAAGCCGCCGGCGCCGCACCCGCTGATCGCTTCGAAGTAATGTAAATGCGCGGCGATGTCCAAGCCGCCGGTCCCGGCGTTACACTTCGTGTTTGAAAACCCTTCGCAAACCTGCACGTCCGCGGCCGTGTAGGACGTGGTGTTGGATGTGCCGGTCGAAAGCCAGTATTCGGGCGAGGTGTGGCGGTAGTTGAGGATGATGGGCGGGAGGCGAGGCACCGGGTCGTCGAGATGGGTGACGCGGTACTCGGACCCCGTCTGGTTCGTCACGTAGCTCACGAAGGCCTTGTTGCCGACGCGCGGGCTGCCGTACGTGTACAGGTCCGCGGCGTACCCTTGCTTGCGCGCGTAGCCTGCGGCGAGGGTGGCTACGGCGCCGCCGAGTGAGTGTCCGGTGAATACGATCTTGTAGGTCGGGTTCGCGGCTACGGCTTTCTTGAGAGCGGCGAGCAGGGCGCTGGAGATCTCTTTGTAGGCGGTTAGGAAGCCCGCGTGGGTTAGACACCCGCTTACGAGGTCGCAGGAGACTAGGATGAAGGAGAGACTGTTGGGTGGTTAGTTGCGAGTGCAATGGTATATGGGGTTGAGGGACTGACTCGGCGATCCAGTTCCGGATAGACGAGGATCCTCGGAAGGATGCTACGATCAGCTTGTTGGTGTCGTCTGATGAGACGAAGCCTTGGATGTCGGTGACATCTCCGCTACTTAGAGTTAGTTTTAGTCTGATATACTTGATACTAGTAGTCAGGAAAGTGTTGTCTCACCTGAAGGTTGCAAGCACTTTGGCACCGGCGGCCTCGACATCGGAGCAGACGTCGTCGGAGCAAGTGATTGTAGAACCAACAGTTACTTCGCTGTTGCAGTACGAGGATCCAGCATACTGAGCATAAAACTCGAGAATTGACATCTCAGCAGCTGTCACGGCGGCTGGTTATACGTTAACATGCTGTTATGTTTGTAGACATATAAGACATTAAGACATACCACGGTCATTGATGAGAAGACGGCGTGACAGGGGAACCGGGCTTGCAGTAGCAAGTAGCCCTAAGGCAGAGACAAGAGCAAAAGTGAATTGCTTCATCGTGGGCAACCGAGAGATGACAAGAGTATGAGATTGAGAACCGAGATGTGAGGTGAGGCTCGAACTACCAGAGACCTATATGGAGTATCAAGGGAGAGAGAAGGTATATTAGAACGACTAAGTCCGAGACATTCCAATCTCAGTTTAATCTCCTGGTATCCTGTATAGCCTACCGTACGGACGTAGAAAAGGGTCACGAAATCGGGTCCAGGACGTCGGGTTTATAAAGTCTACTTCAAACTCACATCTCATCCAACGGTTTCAACCATTTTGGGAAACCATCTCAGCCACGATCCTAGCACTATGCGTGGAACAAGGCTCTCCGCATCCTGAATGCTTCTTCCATGCTTAGGAATGAGGGGAAATCGATCTACCCTTGCAGATATCTTTAGAATAGGGCCAGGAGCTAGAGTACGGCCGCGTAGACGAAGAACGGTAATTATGTTTTGTGCCTTTTTCTCCGTGTATTGTGTAGTGGTTCGGTGGAAATGTTGGGGGACAATGTCAGCAAATTCGGCGAAGAAATCACATCGAGAAATGATTGGCCGCTAAAGCACTGACGACAACCAAAAACGGCGAGCTTCGATAGCTCTTATTCGCTGAACCATCTCGACATGGAGCTTCTGCAAGTCACCCAAAGTTTAATACTACATCGATCAACTTGATCAGCCAGCCCGCAGCCCGCCCGTCAGCCCGTTCCCGGGTTACTTTCAGCGATCAGCAAGAAGCTAACTTGGAAATAATAAATATCGTATCCTTTATTGTGTCGTACATCGTCATATCCACCGCGTAGTACAGCGTCTCGGTAGCCATCATTAAGCATAAATAATATCAGCAATATCAGCTCCGCATGCGGGCTCTGACAGTTCTGACAGCTCAACAGCAGTGTAGCGTGACAAGACAATTATTGACGTATCTTCTCAGCCTCCAATGGGACTCTAATGAGACGGTGTGAAGGGGGTTGGAGAAGGTGTCAAATTAGGACGTGGGAAATAACTGTTGAGAGTCCCATTGGTGGATCTGCCGTCACGTTTGGTACTCCATGACACCAATTTAGAGCGAGTCGACCCACGTGAGGTTCTGTTTACCTCTCTTCCGTGCCGCATGGTTCTGTGAGAGCAGGGGTCCGTCACTCGACGGTGTAATTTTCGGTGTTGACGAGAACGCAGGATTGGGTTTTGGAACGCCTCAGCCGCCCGGTATCAGTCGCACAAATGTTTCCGCGTTTGACAAGAGTAAGCAATGGGAATTCGGGATGTCGAACTTCCCATCTTGACGAAGTGACTATCGTCGATAATCCTATCGATCAAGTTTTCCCAACTTCAGAGTTGGTCGAAAGTAACGGTTGGGGGCGCTAATAATTACAACGCGGCGGAATTAGGTAAAACCACGCTGTAAGAAGGTCTAAATGAGGTCTAAAAGTGGTCTAAAAGAGGTGCAAAGTGGTGTAAAAAGGTCCGAGACCTGGGGAATCCATGGCATAATAATTCTTAGTATTCACGATATTAGTTTTAGTATGGTTAGTATTAGTGTTAGTGATGTTAGTGTAGTCGGACTTATCTCCCAAGACGGCTATCCCTTCGTGGAGGATAGCCGCCCAAGAGTATTTGGTGAATTCTAGACAGGCGTATGCGTAATCATTTAGTTGTTAATAGGATACTAATATGACTTAATACGCCACTAATAGAAAACTAATAAGAACTTAGAAGACGTGATCATTTGCCGTCCGTCCCGGTACTTTAAAGGTCTTGGGGGCTTAGAGCTAAGGGGAAAGGAAGGGAAAGAAAAATGGTTAGGGGGGCCAAGGAGCTCTTTCTGTTATTAAATAATTAGTGCTATGCATAGCTTAATGCTGTGCTACTACTACACCTGGGCAATTTACGTCAATGTTACTCCGCACCAGTCCCTGATTACATAGTTGTATTTAGCGCTAAAGCATCGCTAACGCGTTGCCAAAGGTGCTAAAGAGATGCTAAGAGAAACCCTAAAGAATGTTGAGCCCCTATTCCCCAGCTTTCAGTAATTTCTAGCTTCTTCACCTTCTTCATCCTTTTAGTCTCTTAGTCCAAGAGCTAGAAGCTAAGAATTACCTAGTTCGCATTCCAAAATCATACCCTGAGATTCTCCAAGTTCCAAGAATGAAGCTCACCTCTATCTATCTTTAGCCTAGCACCGGAAGCTGAAATCTGCATCTAGATTGCTTCCCGATGCCCATCAGGTAGCCATGCTACAATAATCCATCCCAATTGCGACCCCGAACTGCGTCATTGGACAGGTTAAGTGCCTTTATCGATCAGCTTCCAACTTCACCCAAGTGCTCACTGCCTGCTACTCGCTGTGTACCTGTTCTCACTTATCTTATCCCGTCCACCCATGCCAGATGTGCCTGACACCCCTAACATCCCTATCCGATTTGCGGAAAATGCGGAATACTCCGTAATCAGATGTCAAAGCTCAAGTCGTCAGAATGTAACCGTCACGCTGAGTCTCTTTTGACCTTCTCTGCAGGCTCTGCTTCTTGGCCTACCTACCCTCTTTATACAAAGTCTGCGGTGCAGCTGAGGGAACTATCCCGAAGCGACCGCTCTTCCGGATCTATTATTGCTATCACATACATGTGACCTGTTTAATGTGCATACGTCCAATCTTGGGTTTGATCTATCCTACTGTACTAAATACCTGTCAGTACAGGAATGGCAACTCGCTTGGAGAGACTTGGAGACTCCAGCTTGGAGTCGATAGGAAGTCGATGACCCGAGGTTGAAAGACTTGAAAGACTTGAAATAATTGAGAGAATTGAAGGAGCTGAAAGTTAGGAGTCAGCCAAGCTGGTCGGGCTGGTCAGGCTGGTGGCTGTTCTGGTCTAGTTTCCCACGAACTTGGTCCGAGCACTGAATCAAGTTGGCGATCCAAATAACAATATCACCACGCATATTGGAACAAGGGAGATTATCTCTTGGAATAATCCACTTCCCCCTCCACTTCCGCCCCGCCCATTCTCTGAAATTCCCGAATCTCGAGCTTAATAGCCATGTGCTATACCATGTGCTGCTCCGGCATTACGGCATACCCAAGATCTCGTATGTGGAATAATGATAAGCATGAGCTTTATTCTCTACAAAGGGAGATATGGCTCGGATCCTATCCCGTATACCGAGGTGCATGCCTCGTACATGCCCAAACATGCCCATACATGCTGTATGTCTTACGCGGGCAGCCGGGCTGAGCCGCTGAGATCGCCAGACGCGGATTCCCTCGTGCTTGGTTCCTGGGTCATTCATGGGTCATCCATCCTGCCGCTTGTGCACATATTAATATACGGCAGTCGCCAATCATGTCTGTGTAAATTATTGATGCCTTGGTGTTCAGCCACGAAAGCTCGCATGTTCATGAGCTCATGATGCGTTTTTGGACTGCTGTAAATACCTAATATCTTTCGGCCACCATCCTCAAGGACAACTCCCTATCCTTATTCCTCTCTTTTTCCGATAATTATAATAATGGTAATCCTTAAAATGGAGTGTCCTTCAGGACTCCGTAGTCTCTCGTTGCTCGTTCTGGCAGGCTCGGTCTCGGCCGGTGTCTTACCAGTTCGAGATCCCGTACCTAGCGGGTATGTCGCAACTCCGTATTACCCAGCTCCCTACGGCGGTTGGACCGATGACTGGTCCGAAAGTTACGACAAAGCGATCAAGTTGGTATCACAGATGACCCTAGCCGAAAAGGTTAATATAACGGCCGGCACTGGACTGTTCATGGTAAATCCCTTCCCGATCTTACACCTAAAATCTTACTTACATAGGCTTAGGGTACGTCAATATAAATTAATTAATTATTCAAGTATGTATCTTGCAGCAACTAGATGCTAATGCACGTGGCCTTACAGGACCTTGTGTCGGAAATACCGGTAGCGTTCCACGATTTGGAATTCCGAATTTGTGCTTGCAGGATGGTCCCTTGGGCGTGCGCACGACAGATAATGTCACTGCCTTTCCCGCCGGGATCAGCACTGGTGCAACGTTCAACAAGGACCTGTTCTACGAAAGGGGCGTTGCTCTAGGCAAGGAATTCAGGGGTAAAGGAGCCAACTTCTACCTGGGACCGAGTGTCGGTCCCCTCGGGAGGAAACCGCGCGGAGGTCGAAACTGGGAGGGCTTCGGAGTGGATCCGGTACTTCAAGCATTCGCCGGAGCGGCAACAATTAAAGGAGTTCAGGAGCAAGGAGTCATCGCTACGTTAAAGCACTTAATCGGATACGAACAGGAGCTTTACCGCATGTATAACCCGTTCCAGCAAGGTTATAGCTCAAACATCGGTATGCGCATATGTTGATATTGTTGATAATTTTGGCTGACGAAAATGCAGATGATCGAGCAACACACGAACTATACCTTTGGCCTTTTGCCGAAGGTGTCAAGGCCGGTGCAGGTTCAATCATGACATCTTACAATGCGGTCAATGGCTCTGCTGCCTCTCAAAACAGTTACGTTATCAACGGTCTTTTGAAGGATGAACTAGGGTTCCAAGGTTTGGTGATGACCGACTGGCTCGCGCAAATTTCAGGAGTCGGTTCTGCTCTTGCTGGTCTGGATATGTCTATGCCCGGTGACACGGTTGGTAATAACATTCCGCTGACTGGCTACTCGAACTGGATGTATGAACTCACACGATCGGTACTAAACGGCTCCGTACCTGTCGACCGGGTGAACGACATGGCTACTCGCATCGTCGCCACATGGTATCAACTTGGCCAAGACAAGGACTACCCGCTTCCTAACTTTTCGTCGAATACCGCCGATGCCACTGGACCGCTATACCCAGGCGCCTTATTCTCGCCATCGGGCGTAGTTAATCAATACGTCAATGTGCAAGCGAACCATAAGGTGGTAGCTAAGCAAGTCGCTCAGGAGGCCGTCACCCTACTAAAGAACAACGGAAGCTTCCTCCCGATATCAACCTCGTCGCCCCTTTTCGTATTCGGCACCGATGCTCAAACTGACCCTAAAGGCGCCAACTCGTGCACGGACAAGAGCTGCAATAGGGGCCTATTAGGCATGGGTTGGGGTTCTGGATCCGCCAACTACCCATACTTGGACGACCCGATCAGCTCGCTGAAGCGAAAAGCGGCGAACGTTACGTACTACGCAACGGACAGTTTCCCGACTGTCGCAACACCCACCGGCGAGGATGTGGCCATCGTATTCATCAGCTCCGATTCCGGCGAGAACTCGTATACAGTCGAGGACAATCACGGCGACCGCGACTCCTCCGGACTCGTCGCATGGCACAACGGAGACACGCTCGTCCAAAAGGCTGCCGCTAAATACAGCAGCGTAATCGTCGTCGTCCACACCGTCGGCCCCATCATCATGGAACCATGGATCAACCTCCCCTCCGTCAAAGCCGTGCTCGTAGCCCACCTGCCCGGCCAAGAAGCCGGCGACTCGCTAACCGAGATCCTATTCGGCGAGGCTTCGCCCAGCGGACACTTACCATACAGCATTCCGGTCGCGGAATCCGACTTCCCCGAATCGCTAAACCTCGACGCCACCCCGCTAAGCCAGACCCAGGACACTTACTCTGAGGGCCTATATATCGACTACCGTTACCTAAACAAAGCAGGCGTAAAACCCCGCTTCGCATTTGGCCACGGTCTCAGCTACGGAAACTTCACCTTCTCCAAGGCCAGCATCACGCGCGTTACACCACTAACCAGCGTCCCGCCAACTCGCCCAGCAAAGCCCGTCTCTCCCGTCTCCACTCTAAACACCACCATCCCCGCCGCCAGCGAAGCCTACTACCCAGACGGCTTCAGCACCATATGGCGATACCTCTACTCCTGGCTCAGCAAATCCGACGCCGACGCCGCCTACAAGATCGGTGCCGCCGGACCGTCCACGTACCCCTATCCAGAGGGCTACTCCGCCACGCAGAAAACCAGCGTCTCCCCTGCCGGCGGCGCCAGTGGCGGAAACCCCGCGCTATGGGACGTAGCGTACAAGCTTTCCGTCACGGTAACCAACACCGCGAAGGCCGGGCCCGCAGCTAAAGCCGTCGCACAGGCGTACGTGCAGTTCCCCGACGGGATCAGCTTCGACACCCCTATTATCCAGCTCCGCGATTTCGCGAAGACGAAGGCGTTGGCGGCGGGAGAGAGCACGGTTGTGGAGCTCACGCTTACCAGGAAGGATTTGAGTGTTTGGGATACGGTGGCGCAGGATTGGGTTGTGCCGAACACGGCGGGACGGTATAAGGTTTGGGTTGGGCTGGCGAGTGATGATTTAGCTACGGTTTGCTATTCGGATAGTTTGGCTTGTGAGGGGGGTGTTGCGGGGCCGGTTTAGAGGTGAAAAGGGGAGGGGTAGGATAGGGGGGAGGATATGGGAGAAAAGGGAGGAAGGAGTTGTGGATAGCGATGGTTGGCTATCGTACATATGTGACCTATATGAATACGTACTCTGGATATATTTTCCTATTCCTGATGCTGTTGCATGTGGAAGATGTTTTATAGTTGTGATTAATAACGTATATATCTCTGAAGAATATATTTTGGACATGCTTAGTTTCTCGTTATGGTCTCAGTGAACTTGGGATGAGGAATTACAAGACTTACGTCTGTAAAGTAGAGACATTGCTCGCTTTCTAGCCCCTGTATACGCCTAGATCCAAGTCGAAATACATAATGGATTTTACGACGGTTGATATGAGACCTTTTCATTCATAGGTGATTTTGAAATATACAGTTCTATGTGTAGTATATAGTACACACCTTCATCCGCTCACCACTCGAGATATGGCACATACGCCCAACCAACCAACCAACCTGCTCATCCCATAGCCCCATCACATCCACATTGCCGAATTCCTTTCTTTCAAGAGATTCTCATCTCCCACCCCAAATCCCATCCCAACCCAGAGTATTCGAGTAAGCATCGAGTACGTAGATAAGCGGGCCAAGTCTAATTCGACAAGAAAAGCCTCCCCTTCGCCTTCCTCCGCTGCAGCGTCTTGCGGCCGTTCCGCGTGCGCAAGCGGCTCAGGAACCCGTGTTTCCTCTTGCGCTTCAGCCGGCTCGTGCGCGCTAGGTTGCCCGCGCGGGGTCCGAACCGCATTTGTGCCGCGCAGTGGGCGAGTGAGGGGTGCGTGGTTATTGCGGTTTTGGGGACTAGGTCGAGGACTGCGCTGCTGTTGCTGCTCGGGGTGGGTGTGGGGGGGTATAAGGAGCTTTGTGGGAGGCTGGAGGACCGGAATATGCTGGTGTTGGGGGTGAGGGGCGTTGGACGGAGGGTGGGGAGGGAGGTGAAGGTTCTGTGGGAGGGGTTAGCTGGTGCTATATACCTAGGTAGATAGGTGGGGGAGGAGGGCGCCGACGGTGATGACGAACCTTCTTGTTGCGAGTGATTGTAAAGTTGAGGCTGCTTTTGTCGCAGCTTTGCAGCCGCGGGCTCGCGGGAGAGCTGCTAGAGCGAGAGACCGCATTTCGGAAGGAGAGCGAGGTTTATATGTGAGGTCGGTTTAGTATAGCTTCATTCTTCTCCTCTCGTTTCTCCCTCCCGAATTCCCCTGGGCGATTATTCGCTGTTAATCGCACCTCCGCCGCGGATATGTCGCAATTGGGATTCTTCGTGATCGTGGGGTGGTCGTTGTCGCTTGTTGCGCTTTTCGTCGCTATTTGGTGAAATTTCTTGGAAGCCGAAAATTCGGATACAAAAATCAATTTGACAGATGGAAACGGTCCGGTGATTTGGTGACGGCTGTTGTTACCTGAAGTTGTGTCCCGTTATCGATAAGAGCTAGATTGGAACACGACCTTAGAATCTGGGAATGCTTTCGAGATGCGCATCTACGACCCAAATAATACGAATATCAAGCTATATTATAAAGTTTTCTTAATTACTTATAGGTTCATGGAACAATTATGGCGGTTGTGCGATTAAATAGGCCTTCATTAACATCTATTCCATGTATAATACGCATTTATGGACAGGCTCATGTCTTCCTCATGACGACACTCAAGGCGTCGTTCACAACGAAAAAGATTGGAGATCAAAAATTGCGCTCCCTACGATCCACGAGGGATAATAGAAGAGGGTCGACTCCGCGCTGTGCAATGCAGGTCTCTCCCCTTGCTAACCCTGATGCTTGAGCCAAGGTTAGCGGAACAAGGTAAGTATGAAGAAGAAAGGAAGAAGAGATGGAAAAGATGGGAGACTGGACGGATATTTATAAGTTCTCCAGAAACTCACCAAGGCGGTAGATCCAATCAGAGTGGCAGAATTGCCCCCACACTCCACGTTAAAGATGGTCTGTGCATACCTATGTAGCGTTCCTTCCAGCAAAACATCCCGCGCTAGTCCAATTCTGGAAATTCACTTTGGTCGGTACTGACGCGACTTCCTCAGCCATCCCCAGTCATCGCGTATGGACGCGTTTGTACCCACCGACTAATCCTAAACAGTTCTACCACTTTACCACTTTACCAGTCTTAACGACCAGACCATGACGATTTGCCTCTAGAAAGCGTTCAATTCATTCACTTGCGAGATATCTGCGACATTTCTCACTATCGTCGTTTTTGTCACTTCATGCACGATCTCTTTCTTCAGCCGTATCCACACGTGATCTTCTTATGTTCACAATTTCTCCATCCTCTTCAATTATAATTATCTATAATTCTCCACTTCGCCTAACCAATTCATCCCTCGATTGCCTCGTTTTCGTGAACAACTGCGTCTGATGCTATTTAGGAATCGACGCTCGATCAACTATCCCAATGCCTTTATTCCCAGTATCCCCAAATATTCAAGAATCTGCCTCACGAAAGAGAACACACGAGGAATTCATTGAAGGTTCCATTGAGAACGCAATTAGCGAGCCGTCCAATATAGAAAATCTAGGGGAGGAGAAGTCCATCGCATTGCCTACCCTAGTCGTCACTCACCACCCACGTAGGTTTCTCGTCAATTCGTATAAGTTGATTTTATCGCCGAGCTGCTGACGCCGATATAATAGAGCTACCTATACCAGATATAACGATGGATTCCACACCAGCCAGTAGTCCTGTGGACTTGACCGATCCCGGTTCTACACCACCTGTAGGAGACTCACCATCACCAAATAAAACTCCAATGTGGTCACCATCTGCAAATAAAATTTCCACCACGCAGTCAACACAACCATTCCCTACCCTTCCAACACCGAATTCTACTACCATCAACACCCAACCAGCAAAACGGAAACTCACAGCAGCCGAGAAGGAGAAGGAGCGCGCAGAGAAGCGACAGAAAAAGGAAGAAGAGGCCACTCAGAAACAGCAGAAAAGAGACGCCGAAGCCGCTGAGAAGGCGAAGAAAAAGGCCGCCGAGGAAGCCACCAAAGCAGCTAAGGCTGCAGAAAAGGAAGAGAAGGAAGCGGCAAGGCTTGCTAAAAAAGCCGAGTACGAGGCTAAGAAACGCGAGAGAGAAGAGAAAGAGGCGAAAAGGGCCGAGGAGAAACGCAAGAAGGAAGAGCAAGAAGCCAAGGCGCGACAAAAGCAGGAGAAGCAAAAGAGCATGCTGGCTGGCTTCATCATACGAAAACCTACTACTACTACATCGCCAGCCACGATGTCTGCTGATCAGACTGCGAAGCCCTCGGGACCTAATGCGAACCCTACTACGTCTCAAACAGAACCGAAACAAGAGGTGTCAGCATACGAACGAACATTCAAGCCTTTCTTTGTCAAAGATGATGTGAAGCTAGCTCCACGACCTTTTGAGATGGACGAGGAGGCCCAAGCCGTTAAATCGGGAATTCTAGACGAGTACGTCCGCGGTGAACGTGGCGAATTCAATCCCAAGCCATTCAATCCCTCAGAGACCTTCAATTTAGCATTCATTCAACGACGTGGCAAGATACCACCGAATGTGAGGAAGATTATGGAAGGACTTCACGGTGATCCTGCCAAGGTTCCGTTCGGTATGACGGCGGAGAAAACAGAGTCCCAGATCGAGAAACTTACGACCAGCGCGCAAAGCCAGCTCGACACTATTACAATGAAGCGTCTCTCCTTTTACGAAGATGTTCGACCACCTTACTTCGGAACAGCCACAACACCCATGTCACGAAAGGAGCTTCGCCAATTGTCTCGTAGACCCACCGGAAGAGTACTCCCGCTGAATTACGACTACGATTCCGAAGCCGAATGGGTAGAAGATGAAGACGGTGAAGATCTAGATGATGACGAGGACGATGAGGAAAGCAACGATGGTGATGGAGAAATGGAAGATTTCTTAGATGACTCCGAAGACCATCCTACCACTGTCCGTCCCACGTTCCTCGGTGAGACAGAGCCCGTAAGCACAGGTATATGTTATGAGGATGAGAACGGACGTAATCCTCTGCCATCTATGAACCAATACCGAATGGAGTTTTTGATTGGTAAGTCTGACTAGACAAAAATTTCAATACATCGTACTAACATAATATATAGAGGGACACACATCAATCGACCCCTTCTCTACCGAATACTGGCCCTCAAGCCAGGGAAAGAAGAAAGCTCGTGCTATAGCAGATACCCTCACCGTGCCAACCTCGATGCCTCCTCCCAATGCGCCAGCAGACGCCTTCCCCAAGCTTACCTCTACATCTGCCACCAGCCGCAACGCGCGAGCTGTGGACACGAAGGACTTGGTACCGAATGAGCTCATGGAGGAGTTTAAGCAAGCTATCACCAGCGAGGAACTACGCGAATTCACCAAGGGTACGATCGTAGAGATGTTGGCCAAGAAGTTCACATCCTGCACTAAGGCCCAGGTCAAGACGACGTTGGACAAAATCGCTCACCGGATTAGTGTTCCGGGGGCGAAGAAGACGGTCAAGGTCTGGGCGCTATTACCGGAACCCGTGTCGTGAAGTCCCTGTTTCTATTCAAGGACTATACTAGGAAGCATTCAATGAAATGGCGTCGCGATACCAGTGAAGAGAATTGGATGGGGTGATATGAACCCCTTTGCTTATAAGTACGCGTGAGCTGCTGCAGGAAACAGCTGCTGAATACTACCGCCGTGCGTAGGATTGGAAGGGGAGGAAGACGAAGAGGTGATGGCCGAGTTCTGCTTGCTCCGGGCTCGGGCTCTGTAAGAATCAAATGTACTAGTGCGTTTTTTATCCGATCGTGGAACTCCCATATGGTTTGGGATGGTCTGGAAGGAGAGAGGGATCTCCCCCCTGCTTGGTTGCTTGGAGGCGCGGTATATTGGTGTTCCGGTATGGCCTCGTGAAAAGTGAATGTAATGAATTGCATGAAATCGCTTCTACTTGTGTTTTTGTGATGTGTTTTGTGCTGCATGATTGTGTTTATGTAAAGTGATATAAGAGGTAAAATTAATATTCTCCTTTTATAGAGGTTGTGTTTATGATATTTCGTAAAACACTACTCGTATGCCATACATAGTGCCTACATAAGACCTCTTGGAGGCTAGGGGTTATATGTAAGAATATGTACCTGGAGAGATGGACGAGAACTGAAGATAGTGTTAGGTTTCCCATGTAGACCTGCAGTAGATAGGTTTCTTGTAGGTAACCATCCATATTCTCCATGGATTTAACGTTGTAGGTATTACGTATCGCTCATACATGCGGGGAGAGATTCCCCCACGGCGAATATTTCGAATACGAATCCTAACTACTTACCTACCTAGAGAGGCAGGTAGTGAAATAATCACCTTGGAGTAAATGAGGAGATGTCCTTTGCCCCCTATCTTTGAATGTCATAACTGGGTGGGTAGCTTGTAACTATTTTTTCTCTTGCTAGATGATTCAAAGCCTCCTCTTAAATAGGGGAAATACATTAGTTACATATATCATACGGAGAGGAGGGAGTATAGATGAATAGGCAGAATTGTGCTGTCGATGTTTCAATGGGTATTTTCATGAGTGTTTAACGATACCTACCTATGCTATGCTTTCTGGGATTGTATCAAGATATCAAAGATGGCTAGATATGAATATTCCCCCTAAATAATTATAATGGATTCTCCAATACATCCGTAATATTCCCCTAAAAATCATAGTGAATAACATCCACTAGATATGTATCTTAAGTCTAAAGATTTTCAATCGAAAAAAAATCGCCCCCTGGATTATTGTATTATTCCCAGTGAAATATTCTACGATCAGACCAAGATATATTCTTAATTCCCCTAACCACATCTACTCAGAAAATTAATTAAGTGATTTCACATATATCCCCGAATCACTCAAGCCGACATATCACTTACCCCTTAAACCCTTACCAGCAATCTCACTCACCCCCCCTCACCACTCCACAAACCGCAACCATGATTCGATATTTTCATATTGATACACACAGCTAGCTAGCTATACAAATACAGCAACGCGTAGATCCATTTAAGCGGCCTTATGCCAACCCACCTACATCGCAAGTAGATAGGTCCATCCTACCTAACGTAGGTAGGTACCCAGGTAATAAAAAAGTACCAGTAGTAATAGTAGCAGTGATAACAGCAGATAGCAGTAGTAGCAATAATAGTATAAGGATTCATAGATGCCTTTTTTCAGATGATGATGCCCAGCTCCAGCTTTTCAAGAACCCATTAGTTATGATCCTCCACCATACCTAATGTACACACAGCGTAAATTCCGCAAGGACGGCCTCGGGGTGCTTGACTGACCTAGGTACTAGTAGGTAGTCAAACGCTCCTAGATCTAGCTCTGCTCGGGAGAAGGAGCTGTACCCGATAAAAAGGGTTTTGAGCAAATAGCGCGTCACCGTCACCGAGGGAAAGGATAAAACCCCCTATCAGTATAACCCACAAGTCTGCCTGTATCAATCAGAACGCTTTCTGCCCGACGTATCACCACGAATTTCCATCGGGACCATCGGGACCTCCCTCACCGGATAAATATGTGTAAAAATCCATGTTATTTATTTGGTGAGTTAAACTCGTCTTATCGCATAACGCGGCTATTCAAAGCTCAAGCTGTCACCAAGCAAGTCTTGCAATGACCTCACTATGATCGCTGCTCATCTTGCGACTGTCGCGCTTTGTTATTGTTGTGGGTTCGTTTCTCTCCGTGGTGATTCTGCGCCGCCTTCTCGCGGCGCATCTCGTCAATGGCAGAACGTTGTTGCATGCTAGCGTCGTGGCTCTTAAATTCGATACGGGTTTCGGACGGGCAGCTAAGCACGCGACGCATCGTCTCGCTAGTTTTTTTTTTGTAAGCTAAAGAAACATTAGACATAACTTATGAAGACACATACCGAATCTTGAGGACCTTCTGCCCGGTGCTGCGAGTCCAGATGCTAAGGACATCTTCTCCGTTGCGCATACTAAGCACAACGCCGCAGACTTCGTCGGCCTCATCGCCAAATTGATCTCCTATGCAAGCCATAAGGAGATCCTCGTAATAGCGATCCGCGATGCCTTTCTTTAGTCGCAATATCCACTTGCCACCCAGCTTGTTCTCATCATCTTCCCATATCGGACGAATACCCTGCTTGAAGAGATGGTAATCTGAGACCGTAGGAAGCGCCGACGGACGTTTTAAATGGGAATATGCCTGCCAAAATTCCTCAGCGGTTTTCACCGTCATCATGGCGTGTAAAGTCTTGTCATATTCGATGTAACCATTGGCCTTGGTAATGGGTGGTCGATACCAGAAAACCCAGGTGTCGCGGAGGGGGTGAATCGACGGGATGGAACCTTGCTGGGCACCCATCTCAGCGATAGAACCCATCGACGGTTTGCCTAGAGAGGTAGCTCGCATAGCTTCCTTTGCGGACTTCTCGGCGGAGGGGGTCTTAGCGCCAACGGCACCCATAGCTTGCTCGAAGGGATTTCCTTGTGCCTTAGGGGTTTTTGCCGAGCCAAACGATGCGAATGCGCCGGATCCGAGTCCAAAATTGGCTCCTCCGGCACTAGTCGGGGAAGTCAGGGTGCCGCCGGGAGTCGTCGCGGTGAAAGGGTTCGAGCGGCCGTGGGAGGAGCTGCTGCCATTTCTGCGAGCTAGACTGGAAAAGTCTCGCGGGGTGGTGGAATTATTATCGGGCTGACTGGGTGTAGATAGCGAAAGATTGCTAACACTATAGAATTGAAAGAGGTTAGTTTCTAAGACAGAAGTCGATCAATGACGAGCATCAGACTTACTTGTTACGGCGAGTCCATATCGATTCCTGTCTATCCATGTTGGGTTCCTAATATGTATGTAGGTTGGTGTGATCAGGACGAGTATGTCGAAACTCCCCAGTGCCACCAATACTCCCCTTTCAATTTAAATTTTATCAAAGCACCTATCACCTATTCCTAAACTACTTCTTTGACTGCCTCGATAATATACTACGTGCGAATGGGGTGTCCGTGTAAGAAGAACTGGTTCTTTTGAATTATCGTATGTAGACGTAGTGACGATATGTAGAGTATTGACAGGGGATATATGATTTTTTTCTTCTTCGTAATTAGTTTGTACGGATGAATATTTTCTTGGTAATGTTGAGGTAGTTGTGGGTGAGAAGATGTTGAGATTCGTTAATGTTAATATTAATATTCGGAGAGCTTCTTTATTTCGTTGATCATGGAGAGGAAGTTTTAATTCTGGAGGATTTTAGTCGAGACGGAAGAATTGGGAAAGTCACACCACACACACTTAAAGTTACAGTTCGAAATGTTTTCATCAATGCGCCTGGCGACTACCCGACTGCAAGAAGCTAAGGTTGTTATGTGTGGCGTTTTTCATTGGTGGAGGAGCCAAGAAAGACCTAAAGAGCGCTAACTTGTGCAACTTTTAGTTGTAACTTGTAACTGTACGCTGCGGAAGCTGCGAAGAGCTAGTGCATGATAGCCCTGTTTGTGTGACTTCCTTCCACTACTTGTCCAGGTGGATAATAGGACCCTAGCTGCCAGTCTGCCAGTGCCAGGTGCTAGGTATGGGCTGTACCTTACTCGCTGCTCGGTCGAGCGGGGCGGTGAAAACCGTTCCAAAAATTTTCGAACGTCATTATTCCGCACTTAAAATTAGAGCTAAGAATTTTTCTTCCTTCTTTCTTCTTTTTTTTTATCTTAACAGTAAAGACCACCAACTCAAATCATCGCCAGCCTGCCATGTTTCTTACTCCACGCTGCTGGCGACTCCGATGCGTGTGTCGAGAGTAAATTCTTTGAATCCCTTGCTTAAAACCATCATCACGAGGGCCCTTAATTGATGGCTACCATGATGCGGTGATGACCTGAAGCAAGTCCGGACATCCAGGATCAATCATATTACACCGAAAGGAGTATGGAGTATCCTTTTCCCTTTTCAAGGCTTGCCACAAGCGTGGGCTGCGCCAGAGTTACACAGTTCTGTAGGTAAGCTTGCGACGCTTTCTTTATCACATTTCATTTTCGTGCATCTGATGACTATTGAGCCTGGTAACCCGATGGTGTTCAGCCAACAAGATGTATCGTCTATCATAATGGTGGCTTGCATCATGGTTGAACTTGTGGAAAACTGGCAGGACTGAATCTTGAGGCGATAAATATCTCGATGTTAGGAGGATATGGCAAGGATTTAGCTAACACAAGTTAATAGCACCTTCAGTAGACCATCAACTCATGTGCTATGTTCATAAGCAACTGAAAAAGGACATTGTGGTTCTTTAAGTTACGAATACCTATCTACCTGCCTACTAGATAGGCTTTTTGGAATGTGATAGAGTCTATTTATCAAGGTAATCTAATTGGTTAGTTGAGTAATGGGACACGATGAGCACGAGTAGGCACAGAGTAGGTATTTGAGACTTCGACATGCTTGAAATACATGCTTAATCATGGAAGTGCGACAAGAGTCCATTCACAAGTCAAAGCAATATGAAGAGCACCATCCTTATAATTCATAACCAACCTCTATACGCACAAACTCGATAAATTCTATAGTTGCCTAGGGAAACAATTTCTCCGATGGAAAGGAGTTAATACATTCCACCGCAATAGCAAACAAGTCCTTTTCCAACCACCTCGTTACTATCCGTGGATAATTCTGTCGTTCCTCATAAGGGCGTCGCGTATACCCCGACCATGAACTCTTGCTAACGAATGCCATAGTCCTCTCAGTTAAATAATATCTGTTTGCTAGAACATGTGCGAGTTGCTCCTTTGATTCTCCATGCTCGTAGCGGCGACCTCATCAGGTAGATCAGATAGACTACCTAGTAGTTTACTGGTCCTTGCCAAAAGAGTCGGCCTTGGCGCGCAGGCCAGCAGCAGTTGAACCAGATTCGTTGAAGTATCGTCCAAGCGCTGGCTGTAGGAAAGATCGGAAGATGAATTGAGAGCCGCTACACTATCGTCAGCTTGTGATAAAAAACAAAGAGAGAGATTGACCACGTACTTGAACACGGGCAGCGAGAGCCAGAGCAGGAAGATGAACTTGAAGGTGTAGTAAAAGGGGAACCAGTAGACAACGCTTAAGGCGCTCTCAAGAACGCTGCGACATATAATTAGTGACATGGTACCAAGGTGGAAAGCCCGGCGATAGCTTGCTTACGTGAAGAAGGCGAAGACGACCCAGTACTAATAATAGTTAGTTATGGAATGTATCTAGGTAAGGCTGGTGGTGTAAACATACCGTCAACCATTGAGTATCGTCTGACTTCCCAGGACTGAATAAAGCGGCTAGGGAGTAGTAGCCAGGGACCACAAAGCCGGCGAAGTTGGTCAAGAGTTGACCACCAAGGTTGAAGACGATAAAGAAGAAGTAGAGCGTAGCTACACCAATGACGGCATACACCTTGGGCACTGAGGTCTGCTTCTCGATGTTGTTGAGGGCAGGGTATTTAGAAAGCTATATGTTTCTCATTAGTCTTCAGCCTTCGGGAGCATGCGACATATCCGAAGTGGAAATCAACCGGAAGGCTGGGGGACTCTGTATGGTGCAGCATACCTCGCGATCGAGCTGGGCAACATAGTGCTGGACACGATCCTGGGCAGACATCTTGGCTGCTGACTATTGCTAGACTAGATGACGGATGGAGCTGGAAGAGCTGGAAAGGGGATGCGGATTGAATTTTTATTTTCTCGAGATGACGACAAAGACGGTTATGGTTGCGCAGAGGCGGGGGAACGAAGCTGCTGATGTCAAAGCGAAGTAAGCTGTGGTAGTATTTAGGGTTAGTAAAAAGCCACCTTGCTTAATATGTACACGTAGGAATGGAACTTGAACGACCACCTAAGCACATACTGGGTAGTGGATCGGAGTCGGCCGGACTTTACGAGACTGCGAGATTGGGAGAAGAGTCCCAAGTGCCTGGTATTGTTGCTTGGTATGCAGGATGGGAGAAGTTATTTGCGTATTTGAGTATTCGCGCAATGTTTGATATCAAGGACCAAAAATATAACCGGATTAACCAGATTAACCAGATAATAATCTAGGTAAGTATCAAACACGGTAACAAGGTGAAGCTTCTCGAAGCTGAGGAGTTAAGGATTTTTAAAGAGCAAGATTAGCGGATTAGCAATGAGAAATCGGAAATCGGATTGTGGGAAGGGGGAGTTAAATCCAAGCTACGTAGTGGGTAGTAGGAATGACGGAAGGCGGAAGGCGAGCCACGACTACCTAGGTATGAGTTCATCCATTATTCATTGGAGGAATCCTTCGGTGCCTATGTGTTACACCGACCAATTATATACATAATGTACATGTATATGTATATGTATATGCTGGTATACATATAAATATACTTCGAACTATTCCTCGACTACATACATTAGTGGTATCTACATATGTGGTGTCTCATACCAATAATAAATATTCCGAAGTACAATGCATGAAATTACCGCTGACCATTAAGACCGGTATGTTTTTGTTGAAGTTGAAAGCTAACGATTATGGAGCTACAAAGAAAAAGATAACGTTGAAGGCTATCCGTCCTGCCGTGGTATAAAATTTATACCTAGAGGAACATCAGCGAAGTTCACTTCCCTGCTTCCGTGGATGTGTAGATCATTTTTGTACGGACTGGGTACACCTGGTACACGTAGGTACAAATATATATGCAGGTAAAATGGAACATTCATATATTTCAGTATATCGACATTTAATGGAAGATGTGTTGGTATCAAGTACTTGAATATAGTATGCACAATAGTAATGAAATCATGTATATATCTACTTGAACAAAAACCGTAAGTTTCATGTTGGACCAAGGCAAGAAAATATAGTATGTCCCGCCGTATAGTACGGAATACCTAATCAAATGCGTCACATTTATTTTGCCCGCTCAGTAATTATCACGTGACTCTATGTTTTCATTCTGGTCCTCGGTAGCGCGACTCTAGCCACTCAGATCAGCCAGATTGGGGTTAGGTGGAGGGAATAACAAAGTAACCAGCCACACCCGCTACCCTCGACCAAACCTTAGTTAACAAAATTCCGCCCGGTCCATTTTTCCCGCTTCCAACCATCCAACCTGTAAGCAGATCCACGGTTGCCCCGACGAGAACTTTCTTGTTGTTTGGTCTCTCAATTTCAATCTCACAAAACCTCAACCGCCTTAACGCTTTCGTTCATCGGCACATGCAGAGTCAAGCGCCCACTTTCAATGCATGCGCTAATTGAGAGCATACTTCTTACTGTATCTATTTTCCGCATTCTCTATTTCGTCTGCCAGTCGCGCACGCTTTTCCTTCGCTGATTGGCACTCATTCGCTTGTTTATCTGTGGTCGCACACCACATCTTCGGGGGTAAACAAGGCTATTACCCTCAATAATGGAAACAGGTATACCATCCTATCCTTTCACAAATACTCTTAGATGTATCTGGTGTGATATAATCGTAAATCCTTGGACTAGTTCATCGTGATTTACTAATTTCAATGTTATTTTATTTTATTTTATTTTTATTTTTTGAGTTTGTTCCTTTTCCATCCTAATCGCCACTATAGATCAAGGTTTGGAGGTCACCGCAATGGCGCTCCATCAACGCCGTAGGACCCAATCTAGGGCATCGACCGCATCTATCCACAGTATTTCGACACAACCCAATCTCGACACTCAGTCTCATCTAGGCCATCACACTACATATTCCGAGCAATGGATTGCGACCAACCCTGGCCAGTCTGCCGAAAACTCCACCGTACAGCAGATGTCGGCCGGAGACATGATTCTTAGACCTGCATCTCAAATGCAGGCACAATCCTTTCAGGGAAATCCGACCTTACACTCGACCATGGGATCTACCATGACGTATCCCCAACAACAAAGTCTACAAAACGCTGTAGCTGCTGACACGTTTGGCGCGAACGCAAGCTTCACCGATGGAGATAGTCAAATGATGGATCGCGACGAGGGCGATGAAGCGGATGGTGCGGCTGTGCTCCATGCTGGCAATACTGGTACTCGAGCCGGCTCTAGCCGATCAAGTGCCAACAATGAACTTGAAATGCGCCAGCTCTTTCAAGCTAACAAACACCGCACCCTCGGAGATGTTGCCATGGAGCTGCATGGCAATGAGCGTGGCCCCAACTCAGAGCGTGCACGACAGATCTTTGCCATGTTATGGTAAGTTATGCTAGATTTGGTTATGGATAGTTGATGTCAACGGTATGATACTAACTTGCTGTGTCTATAGGATCAGTCAAGTCTGTACGAAGGGTAAAGGCTCTGTGCCCAGAGGCCGAGTCTATGCTCATTATGCCACTCGGTGTGGGACGGAGAGAATAACAATCTTGAATCCTGCTAGCTTCGGCAAGTTGGTTCGTGTTCTGTTCCCAGGACTGAAGACACGCAGACTTGGTGTTCGAGGAGAATCCAAGTACCACTATGTCAACTTCTCATTAGTTGATAGCCAACCTGAACTTGGATCACCGACAGTTCGACCCCAACTGAATTTCCCCGACCCCGCCCTGCTCGCGCAGTCTTTCAATTCTGCTCAGTCTCAGTCTCCAGCACCGAACTCTGCGCAATTAGCTCTTCCATCCCCTACAGCTGCCCACCATACCGATGGCCAGGGCCAGGCAAGCAGACTCACTTTAGCTGGACGCTCCACATCTCACAGCCTATATCATCAACCGGATGTGACTGGGCTTGATCAATTACACACTGCTAATTCTAAGACAAAGCTTCGCTTAGCATTCATATCACCCGCTGACGAACCTTCTGTTGGATCCATCACGCTACCTAAGATCGATAGCTTCCTGCCGCCAGGAACAGACCCGGACGCAGCTCAGTCTCTCACAGCATTGTACCGATCGCACTGCACCTCCCTAATTGAGTGTATGCGTTATTGTAGAGACAAGACCTTCTTTCACTTGTACACATCTTTTCAAGGAACTCTTACAATGCCCGTACAGAAGCTATTTTCCGACCCTAGCATCGCACCGTGGATCGAGGAGTGTGATTTCATGCTGTACCAGCGCATGATACAAATCATCTCTCTCCTCACGCTGCAAGTAATTCCCAAACAAGTCCTCGATGCTCTGAGAAGTATCTCTGAGCGGTTAGTCTCGCATATTCGCAATGCCTATCAAGGACAGCCAATCCACGTGCTTCAAGCCAAGGAGGCGCCTGCGACCATCTTTGCTGCTCTGATCGATCGAGCTCTGAGAGTTAACCTGACTGCGCATGCTGCTGCAAGCATGCTCGCGAATTCCGATAACCGCGACCTAATGTACACTGACTGGATAACAATGGTTAGACTCCGCAAGGTTGCAGAATGTGTGCCCACAAGAGCCATGGACGATCTCGTGAAGCTACTACTCGAAGAAATTCGAGATTTAATCGATCCGGTCAATGTTCAATGGGAGGTAGAGTGTCTCACTCTTTACGGTGATGTCGTAGCACAGAACAAGGGTCAGGGCCAACAAGGATCAGGACCTGCCAAGTCGACTGACAAGGGTGTATTGGATCGATGGGCCAACTTCCTTCATTCGCTCCCCAGCCGGTTCCCGTATGCTACTGCGGCTGACATTGTTTGGTGCGTTCAACGTGTTGGCACAGAGGTCATGCGTGATCTTACCATGGCTCAAGGTAGTAGCTTCGGAGCCTGGTGGGTCACCAAGTGCTGGCTTGATGAGATGATTGCCTTTCTTGCAGAGTATGGTGGCTTTATTACGTCGAAGAACTCAGCGTCGCCCGTATCTGACATCGCCAAACAACCCGCTTACCATAATAGTGCAAATCAACGAGGTTCAGGTATAAGCAACGGTGACAATTTCAACATGTCTCACTCTACACATCCTCAGCCGGATCATGCGCCGTTTCCTCAGCAGTTTGATGTCAATGGTCAAGACTCTCTGCACGAGTCCGCAAATCCTGACGATAGTGGAATTGGGATCAGGACTCCCGAAGAAGACTTCCCTATAGGAAAGTTCGAATTCCCGCATGCCGATAGCCATGGACAACCGTCCCCTGGTCCCGAGCAGGCCTTATAATCGACCACCCTCTCTCGATTCAGTGTACGAGACGGACCATAAAGCGACCATCCACTTTCCCAGTATTCACAAAATACCCATATACTAATAATAAGCGGCGTTTCGGACGGGAGATTTGATCGCTTGGCTCGGGGAACGGCCAAAGCAAATGAGGGGCTAATGATAACGTGATGCACGATTAATATGATCAATAGATCGGATAGGAGATCTCGGACGGCCTGTTTGAGCAGTATAATCTCGGCATGGATGGACAGGTGAATGCATATTGGACGAGGAAAAGGGTGTGAGGGCTGGAGTTTGATCGTTTTGAGGCCATTGTATTGGAGAAATTTGGTATGTGGAGTTGGGTGCTGATACAGCAAAGATTCCCCCAGGGCTCTCCTATCCTACCTTTGAGATAGGTGAGGATTGTGTTACTTTTCCCTCTACCTCATGGCCTGTTTTGCACAGTCAACCATAGTTTCGTGTACATGTAGTTCACTTAAGCTACTGTGTTTGGCTACTGAATAAACAACGATTTACTATAAGTTCCTGTTGATTTATTTTTTTGTAATTATCTTCATATTGATATTCTGGAAAGAAAAGGCGAGTTATGACTGGACCATCTCATATAGGGGCATCTTGACAGATATAAGAACGGATGATATTCACATGCTAGTTCGCTAGCTTGTTAGTTCATCGTGGTTAAAGGCTTAAAGCAACCTTGCGCATCCCTAAAGAGCCGCTACTAAATTTTTATCCACTTTTATATACGATGGAAAGTACTGTCTTTACACTGTCACGTGGAGTTTAAACAACTGCTATTTTACTTGTTGGTACCGTGCGAAATCTTTGTTCGAAAATTTCCATCACTGAATGCGCATAGGCTATGCATCCAGTATGGTGGATTTTTTTTTTCTCAATCGTTACCATACCAAGGTACGGAACCTCCGATTCGGGGCACTCGCTGACGAATGAACGCCAACCTATTCACTTGTCATTTCAACACTCCAAGAATAGAAAGAATTTACCGTGAAGCTTCATATACTTAGAATTATTACCTATTCGTTTATTTTTCACCTGGCGTCTTTCCATTGTTCTGCACCGTCCAATTTGTTTACTTCCAGACGATAGAATCTACTAGTTTACGTTAAAACTGCCCCACCGTTACCAGGATTTTTTTTATCGACTGTGACGTCGTACTAGAGGGGTCTCAACATTCAGGAGCAAGGCGTTTGCTCATTCGCGTCTCATGGCAATGGACGCCATACTCCAAGGAAACACCAGCAGTGAGGGCTGGATTGTGCAAAAGTTCGGAGGTACAAGCGTCGGGAAATTTCCAGATTCGGTTTGTCTCTCACCAACCCTTTATTCATCGATCTTGTATGACTGACCTCACCCGATTTGGGTACAGATCGCAGAAGACATTATTCGGTATGAAGATGCCATTGGGCTTCCCTTCAGCGTTGTACTAACTCCTGGTGATAAGGGCAAGCTTGAAGTCGAATAAGATCGCTGTCGTCTGCTCTGCGAGAAGCTCTGGCAAGAAAGTATCCGGCACCACAAGTCGGTGAGTCACTAAACCCCCTATATCGGTATCTACTCCCAATTGATCTAACGTGATAAATTCATGTAGCTTATTAGAGGTATACAAGCACTTGCGCGCCATATCAGCAGCTACCAGCAATGATATTACACAGACTGAGTTCGTCGACGCAGCCAAGCTTGTTGTCCAAGACATCTGCAATGAACATATCTTGGCAGTACAGGCTTTCCTAAAGAACCCTGACTTACAAAGAGCTCTCGCCTCAGACATCAAAGATGATTGTCAGGAATTGATAGACTACATCATCGCCGCCAAACGATTTAACCTAGAGGTCAACGCTAGATCCAAGGACCGGGTTGTCAGCTTCGGCGAGAAGCTGAGTTGTAGATTCATGGCCTATTTGTTAAAAGACAGGGTTTGTAATTCGCGGAGACGACTTTCACTTACCCAGCTAATAGCTAACGAAAATCTTAGAATGTCGATGCAGAATATGTGGATATGTCCGATGTTATGCATTATGACAGCTCCGACCGATTAACTCCGGCCTTCTACAAAGATGCAGCAGCCATCTTCCGAAAAAGGATACAAGCCTGTAATGATAGGGTACCTGTCGTCACAGGCTTCTTCGGCAATGTCCCAGGTAGCTTGATGGACGGAGACATAGGTCGAGGATACACCGACTTATGCGCGGCATTGGTTGCGGTAGGACTCAAAGCTCAAGAACTGCAGATATGGAAGGAGGTGGATGGTATTTTCACAGCAGATCCCACCAAAGTCCCCACAGCGAGGTTATTGGCTTCTATCACGCCATCTGAAGCAGCAGAACTTACCTTCTATGGCTCCGAAGTCATCCATCACCTGACCATGGATCAGGTCATCAAGGCCGATCCTCCAATACCTATTCGCATCAAGAATGTGAATAATCCTCGCGGCAATGGTACTATTGTGGTTCCAGACCCAGTACATTCCCCCACACAACAGATCAAGAGATCTCGACCGTCCGAAACCTCGTTACAAAAACACGTTAAGAGACCTACCGCCGTGACCATCAAGAACAACATCACCGTCATCAACGTCCACTCAAACAAGCGTTCCATTTCTCATGGATTCTTTGCCAAGGTGTTCTCGATCCTCAACAGCCATAGGATATCGGTCGACTTAATCTCCACGAGTGAGGTCCACGTATCCATGGCTATCCACTCTAGCAGTCCGTCCGTTCGCCACTTCGAAAAAGCCAAGACAGAACTGGAAGAATGCGGTGACGTGAGCATATTGCTGGATATGGCGATTCTCAGCTTGGTGGGTGCGGAAATGAAGAATATGATTGGTATTGCCGGCCGTATGTTCTCCACGCTGGGAGAACATAACGTTAACATTGAGATGATATCCCAGGGTATGTGATTTCGTGATTTAGTCCTAAAAAAGAGGCTCTTTGCTAACTGGTGTACTAGGTGCGAGCGAGATCAATATATCGTGTGTCATCGATGCGAGGGAAGCTACTCGGGCTATGAATATATTACACACGAATCTATTCACCTTCCTGGATTAGTGATGCGATATACCTGCATAGGATCAATTACACCTCTTGCGATGTGCTGGCGACAGTCTAGCAGATGGTTAGTGTATATATCTCGATACGGCCTTGATGTATTAGTGAGCCTATCAAATGGAACCAGAGCTGGATGGGGGGTGTTTGAAAACAAGAGGCTCGATAGATTTCGTTATATAGGCTTGTGAGCTGGGATACAATGCGTATACGATTTGGCCCTCTGCTAGGTATATGATTCCGAAGTCATGGCTTGAAACTATGATTTGCTCTTCTTTTGCGCGATTTTATGAGAATGAAATATATTGAAAGTGTCTTTGGTACGGAAGATAGTGAGTTACGAAGTCGTAATGTGAATGTCTCCAAATAGAGGCAATTCGACGACTCTTTTTACTAATGTTTAGTTGAGTAAATTTGAGTTGAGGAAGCCATCTATCATCGAGTCGATCTTCACTCAGCCATGAAAGGGGATTTATGATAACGCCCCTGCCCCCCGAATAATGATGCGATAAGGCTACCTAGTAGGTACCAGGTATTTACCTACCTGGGCAGGTGTGATGCTTGAATATGGGTGTTGATTCGTTGATTTTCTAAAGGAAGGAATCTCGCATGAGTCAGCTGCTCTCAGCTGGCAGCAACTGATGTAGCTAAGATTGGTTGCGACAAGGGTGGGCTTATCGATAAGCTATTTACATTGATGATTGACCAAGCCTACCGCCACATTATTTCCATCTCTCTTCACTGTCGCAAACTATCACCAACTTGTCGATTTGCCCCCAACTTAAGAACGTACCTAGTAGGATCGCTGCACTCTTTAATAACTTGAACTACAATTATTAAATCTCGAATATCCGAACGACAACGTCAAGATGCCGAAAGCAGAGGTCGGATCAACCAAGTTCGTGAGCAATAAGCTCAAGTCGAAGGGACTGCAGCGACTTCGCTGGTACTGCCAAATATGCGAGAAGCAATGTCGCGATGCCAATGCGTTCAAGATGCACACACAGAGCGAGTCTCATACGAGGAAAATGTTGCTCGTTGGCGAGGACCCGAAAAAGTACATCGAGCAATTCAGCACCGAGTTTAAGAAGGACTTTCTACAACTGCTGCGAACGTCCCATGGAGAGAAGGGGGTTCTCATCAACCACTTCTATCAGAACTACAGTGAGTAGGGATCAGAATAGATTGTGTAGGGTTAGGAGATGCTAACAGGATACTAGTTGCGAATAAGGAGCACATCCATATGAACGCGACCAAATGGCATTCGCTTACCGACTTCGCCAAACACCTAGGAAGAGAGGGTATCTGCAAAGTCGAAGAGACAGACAAGGGAATCCAAGTCGCCTGGATCGACGACTCCCCCGAGGCTCTGCGACGGAAAGAGGCGGTGCGAAGGAAGGAGATGCAGGATAAGGGCGACGAGGAACGCGAACAGATGATGATCAGGGAGCAGATCCGTCGCGCGAGGAAAGCGGCTGGTCAACCCATCGACGATGATAACGAGAACGACAACGACAAAGCGGAAGAAAGCGGAGGGCTGAAGAGGCAGGAAGGGGAGAAAATCAAGCTTTCCTTCGGCGCGAAACCTACTTCTCAACCCGCGCCCGCCGCTTCGCTGGATAAACCCACATCGACCCCCGAACCATCAAACTCCCCAACCGACGAAACCAAAGACTCGGATTCCACATCCCAACAGCCACCTCAAACTACCACAGCAGAGAAACCGGCCGCAGCGCCTATATCCCTGAAAATGACAGCGAAACCGCAAGCGAAGAACGTGTTCGCGGCCGCGAAGAAGAACGCGCTGGCGGGCGCGTCGAAAAAGGCGGTGTTTGAGCAGCCGAAGAAGATGAGTGAGGCGGAGAGGATTATGAGGGAGGAGATTGAACGGAAGAGGGGGAGGGGGTTTGGGAATGGGAATGGGGGGAGGGAGGGGGGGAGTAAGAGGCAGAGGACTTGAGATTGGATTTTGTGAGTGTGTGAGGAGAGGGAGGGAGTTGGTGATTGCATTTGAAATGGCGTTGCGGGATACCTTTGGGAGTCGTAAGTTTGCGACGGCATTGAGCACGGTGTTATGGCATAACTATAGGATGTACGTGTTTAAGGAAGGAGACTAGTATGGAAAGAATAGCTTCCATACTCTGCACATAGGCACGCCGAATAAATCGTTGATTCGCGATCTGACTAATGCAATTCATTCCCCGTCTATATCCCAGGCACGTCATGCTAGGCTGCGATTGTTTCTAGAAGGTAGATGCAAGCTTCTACGTGCGCCGCGTCATCGGATGCGGGTGATGTAATTGAGGCTCCATTCGAACCGCTGTCTGCTGCAACGTCACATATGCGAGTTTCGATTTTGGGATGGCGCGTGGTATAGGGCTGAACAGGCGGTCGGGAATATTGGCGTTTGGGTTGGGGTAGGCAGATTGGTGCTATACTATAAGTCACCGAGTACACGCTTGTCACAATAGGCAGTCATATTCGAAGGCTTGTGGTTGGTGAAAGGGGGGAGTATAGATCTGGAAATTGCATGTGTTACCCGGCTAGGCTGCAGATTTGTATATGAGATTCGCGTCGCTGTTTATCAGCACGGTTCGGAATGGGTTTAGGACTATACTATCGCTGACGAACACTATACACTTTTGTATTGTGAATACTGGCGATTGTGTCCTACCTAGGCAGTTCGCGTACGGGACCGCATACGCCGCCTTGTAGGGTAGCCCGTAGCGGAGCCGTCGGAAATGGGGATGGATATCTGGGCTATACTAACTACACGGTTCTACCGCGCACCCGCTGACGACGGTGGTTGGGATGTCAGGAAGTGACTCATTTTCTCCAATCGAGCGCCGTTCCTGGGGTCGGAGTACTGCCTATTCTATCACACGACATCGTATACATATAAACAAGGCTCCCGGGTTAGAATAACGGGATGGCATGTAGGTATGAATTGGATCAAAACAAACAGACAAGCAAGCGAGAGAGCAATTGCCTGAATTCCTGGTATATGAGACAAAGGTAAGACCTTAATTCCGACACTAATTAATCACTTCATACCTTCGACCAAAAATGGCTAGACCCTACCCCGTCCCGGACGCTACTATCCCGTACTGGCGGACGGAGCTACACGAACTCGACTCGCACCGTAGCACGGCGGAGCTCCCGCAGAAACAGGACATTGTTATCATCGGGGCCGGGTTCGCGGGCGCGGCTTTGGCCCGCTATTTACTCGAGGACTCGCCCTCGGGGAAACCGAGTATTACGATCTTGGAGGCGCGGGAGGCTTGCTCTGGGGCTACGGGTAGGAATGGTGAGTTAATCGTTAGGGGGTGACACTACACTCGTAGCTAAATATTAGGTATTACAGGCGGCCATCTCCGCCCGGACCTGTTCGTAAGCCTCGCGGCGCGGATGCAAGAGCAAGGTCTCAAGACCGCGAACTCCGTCGCCGTATTCGAGGTCGCGAACGAGAAAGCCGTGGCTGCTCTCGTGGCGGAGGAGAATATCGCGTGTGATCTACAGCAGGTGACTACGGCGGACACGTTTGTTGACCAGGCCGAAGCGGCGAAGATTAAGAAATTGTGGGATGTTATGGTGAGGTTGGATTGTCCTACCTTGAAGGGGGTTACGTGCTATGGGCCTGAGGACGCGGAGAGAGTTACTGGTGTTAAGGATGCGAAGATCGCGTTCACGTACCCTGCGCATACGCTCTGGCCGTATAAACTGGTCATGCATATTCTGGCTGGAGCTGTGAGACGGGGCGTTAATTTACAGACGCATACGCCTGTTTACGAGGTTTCTAACACGCCGGATGGGGAGGGATACTGGACGCTTTCGACGTCGAGGGGAGTTATTAAGGCGAGGAAGGTGGTGTTTGCGACGAATGCGTATACGAGCGGTTTGTTGCCCGAGTATGACGACGCTATCTATCCTGCGCGCGGGACGGTGTGTAGGGTTGTGCCGAAGACGCCGGTGGATGTTAAGCTCGGGTCTTGCGCCGTGGAGATTAGGAGCCCGGCTTCGGTTGATTGCTATTATGGCGCGAGACCCGATGGGAGCTTGGTTATTGGCGGCGCGAAGACTATGTTTGAGGACCGCAAGAATTTATGGCATAGGAATTATGACGACTCGACGCTGATCGAACCTGCGGTGCCGTATTTTCCTATCTGGCCCGGCAAGGCGCTGGCTGGGTGGGAAGGGAACACGGTGGAGTTGGATAGGGTGTGGACGGGGATTATGGGGGTGAGTGTTTTTTATCTCCTTTTTTATGCGGATGTTGCTTTGCTTCATATCCATGATCCAAGACTACTTAGGAACTTTAGGATTCGAAGACTTGAACTAATGGCATCGCGCAGTATTCTGCAGACGACACGCCGCACATCGGTCCCGTGTCCTCGAAGCCGGGGCTGTACATCTGCGCCGGATTTAACGGACACGGAATGCCTAACGTGCTCCTGTGCGCCAAGGGGTTGGCGATGATGATTAGAGACGGCTGTCCCTTTTCGCAGACGGGAGTCCCGGCTTGCTACGAGACGGGCGCGGAGAGGCTCAGAAAGATATCTAAGCGTAATGCGGCTCCTGTCATAAACCGTGCGAGGGCGGATATCTTCTTGAAGCATAGCTATGGGTCGTAGTGGGCTTGGATGACTTGCTGGCAGCTGGCCGCAAGGGGTAGATGGGGTTGTTGAGTTGTTAAAGGGGCTGTGGTGATATTTATATAAATTTATGAATTAGGTACGATGATTTATGAAGAGTCTAATGCATAGGGGTCCATTATGTCTTGGAGGTTGGGGTTGGAGGTTGGACGAAGCTTCTCAGGAGTATGTATGCACCTCATACGATCCAAAACCCAATCTGATGCTGCTCGGACAAGTTCAGGGTGATGTGAGATTAGAGGCAGAGAGGATGACAGTCTTTCAATTTGAAGGTACCGCGGTGCCGCGGGTCTGGTACGAAACAGAAATGCCCGGAGTTCGGAGCGAACCTAAAAGGTAACCTAAAAATAATCTGGCAGGGCTTCTAGCTACACTTGGCCATTACGATTGGCCGCCGAAGCTCGGTGAGATCCACTGCAGATGTTATCGTTTTGTCATTCGGATTGGTACAGAGCTGCAGAGTAGAATGCAGAATGGGAAGGAAGAAGCAAGGAGCGAGGAGTATTAATGGAGCACTGGGGCAGCAGGTACCTCGATACCTAGTATGTACCTAGTTAGTATTTTAATGTACCTATTCTATGACATAAACTAGCATAAACATAATTGTCATCTCATAAGCGATAATGACAGATATGCTCTTAGGTTAATATTTAAATCGAATAATAGCCTGTGTTACTGTGTATAATATCGAAATATCTCATTTAATTAGGAGAATATTCGGCATGCGATGAGTTGTCGGTTAATATGGAATATGGGAATCGAATGCAGGATATCTGTCTACTAAAAGACGAAAAGGCTCGAAGATAGGGACAAGCTGTCTTCAAATGTTCCAGATATTCCATCGTGGTTATGTCATTTATTTTGTTCGGCCGCTAAACCTAATACCCACTAGCGTGGCCTGTGCTCGATGCATGATAACATGGGTTACATGGATTGCAGGGATTATAAGGGTAGGAAAGGTCCAGTGTAAGGTCCAGTGTATCAACGGACGATCCTAAAAGAGTTCAAGGTTTCGATGTACTGGATGTACCGGAGAGAGTGGATCTGCCACTTTGCCTCAACTTTCATTTTTCTCTTGCCAATTTCCCAAACCTTCATATCTTCCCCAGAAGCATAGCATGCAATTGCTCTTCTAAAACAATAATGGAGTTTTGCCTGTAGCAAAAAAAGACCAGAGAGTACTACTTTATTACTTGTTCTTGTATAAGTGAGTCAGTTTTACTTTTGAATGCGATTCATTCAAATCCCTTGTTACATGCCTAAGCGCAGGTGCCTAGGTCGTTAAAGAGTTGTTAAGGTCCTTAGAATTGTTAAGGCTGTTAATGCACGCGCGCTGCTGCTCTGCCCCCTATACCACCGATACGAATCCCGATCAGCCAATATCTGGCATGCGATCTCGTCTATAGCTACTCTATGAGACCAAAACATCGTATAACCACCAAACTAACGTGTCCCGATCTTACAGTACCATTTCCTATTTTCTACTTTCGGGTCCTTCCATTTCGATGATTGTCTAATTCGCCATAAATTGTACTCCGAGATGGATACCCAAAGTGCGACGTGGCATCCAGCCAAGATGCCGCTCTCTAATTACGACAGCCACCAAACAACAACAACACAGCTCGACGAGCCGCGGGATCAGCCAGTAAAGGCTATCGAGGAACACACTACGGATCATTCAAATCAAAATATGCCAAATACGGATATAGTAGAAGAAGGATCTCCCGCTCAGCCTATGAAAGATGGCGCATTTCTTGACCAATTCGATAATGATGACGCCGGAGCTGCTGCGTGGGACCTTTCGGACCCGTCGCCCGCTCCAGCGCAACCAGCGCCACAGGGCGATGATACTTTCGAATCCAGTTACCAAGACGACATTGCCCAACCAGAATCGGTACCAACGGGTAACTTGCCCAAACATTCGAGTAGAATCTCGTTTGCGCGTACCGTGTCCCACGAAGTAAGCTTTGGTGATGACGAGGATACGGAGTGGAACCTGCAGCGAACAGATACCGACCCCTTCAAATTCATGCCTCCAAGTGATAGGACGAACTCGTTCCCTGCTGTGCCACATAGAGAAGATGCGACCGAAGACCTTATAGAACAGCCGCCTCCCTCGACTCAGGCTCAAGATATCATCCAAGATTTGGAAAACGACGATTCTCATGCCGATTTGGTCGCACAATCCGATTTTACCAGCACTTTTAACCACGATCACGCCACCGAGGATTTTAGTCCAGCCGAGGGTTCGTTCCCACAATACGTTGGTGGGGATCTCGTAGGCGCCGAAGAGGAGGAATCAGATGCTCGGTTCGAGGAAGGTCTTCCGCTGATCCCGCAAAATGAAGAGCATGCCGAAGTCGCAGAAGGATATAGTGAACCTCATCGCTCGAATCCTGGAGATGCTTTTACGCAAGATGATGCCGCAGAAGGGGACGACTTCTTCAACCAAGTTAGTAAAGGGGATTCTCAACTAGACGGAGACGGCGCTTTTGACCGGACTTTACTTAGGAAGTCTTCGACTATGGCAATGGGCGATGATGTTATAGACTCAGAAGTTTCGACTCCGATCGACGGTCCTGCGCCGAAAGCACCGGTCATATCAGACGCGCATTCTCGGGATATTGTCAACGGTGATTCTAAACCCCAACAAGAGGAAGAAGTTAGTACTCAACCCAGTACTCAACCAGGCGGCGTAGATATCGACGCTAAGTGGGCGGCTGCTTTTGACGACGACGACGACGACTTTTTGGACTCGATAAACGAATCTAGAGAACTCGACCCGGCAGAAATCTTTGGGAGCGATGACGAAGGATTTTTAGAAGAAACGACCGAGGAGACGCCAGCGATACCTGCAATTTCTACATATCAACCTAATAATATGGCTACCCAACCTCATTCGGCAAGTTTAAATGGACGTTACACTCCCGAAAATCTACAATATTCTGCACAACCGCCTGTAAATCCTTACGCACCTACCCCAGCCGTTTCTCAAATACAGCCACAATATCCGTCCTATGCCCCTGCGGCGACAGCTCCTCCCCCAGCAATGGGTGGGTATGGACAGCCTCCCCCGAAGCCTACTATATCTAAAGCTCAGAGTTTCGCCGATAAGTCTAAGGGTGGCTACACTTCTCCATATGACCTCCCGATGGAAGTCGTTAAACCGCCGAAGAAGCGGATTAGCTTGCAACAACTGCCGCGGGCAACTCAGGCGTCTTCGGGGTTAGCACCACCGAGCGGTCCTCCACGAAGCGCGAGTATGAATTATCAACCACCGCCATCTGGCGGTTCGAGCGCAAGTCTTTCACCTCCTAGCTCAAGCCACTCGAGTCAACCTCCGCCTCCGCCATCACAAAAGGCAACTCCTCAGCTGAAGTCGAAGGGTAGCTTCTTTGAGGACTTGCCTATGGCGTCGAAACCGCGGCCTGCTTCACGACACAACAACCCTCTTTCTCCGCCGCAGCAAAGCCCATACGGGCAACTTCAAGGATCTCCAACTATGCATCCTCTACCTCCGCCACATTCCCCTCAACTCCAGGCAACTGGTGTTGCATCGCTAGTTCCCCCAGAGCGTCCTAACCCCTATGCCTCATTGCAGTCCCAGTCGCCCCCCAAGCCAATCCCCCCTCCCGCCGCAAACTCCAGGTACTCTCCAGCGCCAGCTCAGCTATCAGTAAACGGAATACACCCCCCGCCAGCTGCCAGCCGCTACTCGCCCGCCCCATCTAGCGTTCGTTCTTCTAGTGGTGGATATACCGCTGTTCCACCTCCAATCCTAGCACACCAGCCGCGAACTTCTAGCCCCTTAGCCCATTCTCATTTCGAAGTATCGCATGACAAGACGATTCCGAGTCCAAATGGCGAAGTTCCGTCTCTAAGTCGAAATAGCTCATCTCAGTATGAACCTCGTCTTACTAGAGTTCCTTCATTGCCACCAACGCAAGAAGTCGAAGAGGAACCATCTTTGCTAAGGTCTCCGCCCACGGCCCCTAAGCCTTCTTCCGAGTCGAGGTATAGTCCGGGACAGGCTATGCATACTCCGCCTCTTATGAGCTCTCCTGCTTTTAGCGCAATGTCACCTCCTAAACGCTCGGCATCGAGTTACGTTCCTCTTTCGCCTCCGATTGTGCAGCACAAGGAGGTTAATTTCGTGCCACCACCGCGACCACAAACCCAGTCGCCTGGTGCAGTCTATGGTAACCGAACAAGCGGGAAACCAGTCGATTCCGTTCCTCGACCCTCTTCTGTGCAGGGTACAGCCCCACCTCGTGAGATGCCGGGAGTGAACGGAATTGCACCCGTTGTAAGAGCTCGTGGCATGTCTCAGCATTTAAATCTCGTCCCACCGACCGACGGCCGAGAGTTGGATCCGTTGCAAAGGTGGCGAGGAGCACCAGTGGTTAGCTGGGGCGTAGGAGGAACGCTTGTGACTTCATTCCCTACGGACGTTCCTAGGTACGGCATAAGTCAGGCATTGCCAATGATTGTGCGTAGTCCGGGCGAAGTGAAGGTTAAGCATATCAAAGATATCCAACCATTGGAAGAGCGCCTAGCCAAATTCCCAGGCCCTTTGAAGAGCAAATCAAAGAAGAAGGAAACTTTGGCATGGCTGTCCGCTGGCATCGATGGTTTAGAAAGTAACCTTCCGAATGTCTCATTTCATCAGACAGTCTCACACGAAGACAAGAGGGCCATTGAACGAGTACTACTGTGGAAAATTCTACGGGTCTTTGTGGAAAACGACGGTCTTCTCGAAGGGAACCCTACGGTAGATAAGGCTGTTATGGAGGTCATCACCCCTGGCCTTGATACCGACAATCCGGAACTTGCATCTGCGATTTCTACTGGGGTCGATCTAACCGGCATTTCTTCACCAGTCACGGGCATGCAGGCAGACGCAGTCGATTCTACAGTCACCGAGCAGATCAGGCACCACCTGCTATCTGGTGATCGAGAGAAGGCGGTTTGGGCCGCGGTGGATAAGAGACTTTGGGGCCACGCGATGCTTATCTCGAATGCGATGCAGAGTCCTGATCTGTATAAGAAGGTTGCTCAGGAGTTCATCAAGAAGGAGGTGAATCATCCCGGTCGCGGGAACGAATCACTCGCTGCCCTCTATGGTGTTCTATCCGGGAACTTCGAAGAGTCGGTGGACGAACTGGTCCCGGTTCATGCACGAGCAGGTCTTCAGCTAATGTCAACCTCCGCTTCTATTGGGGCGTCGCAGGATGCGCTGGCAGGATTAGACAAATGGCGTGAGACACTCGGTTTAATACTGAGCAATAGAAGCTTTAGTGATGCACAGGCTTTGAAGGCGCTTGGTAATCTTCTCTCTGGATATGGAAGAGCGGAAGCAGCTCATATCTGTTACATATTTGCTAGGAATTGCGCCGTTTTTGGAGGTCTCGATGATCCTAATGCTAACTTTGTCCTCGTTGGAGCCGATCACCGTCGCCAGGCTGACCAATTCGCCAAGGAAACGGAGGCCCTGCAGCTAAGCGAAGTATATGAATACGGACTACTTCTTGCTGGAAGCACAAGCGTTGTTCAGAGCTGCTCGCACTTGGCCGCATACAAGCTGCAACATGCTATGACTTTAGCTGAATACGGGTATAGAGATAAGGCTTTGGCGTACTGCGAAAGCATCTATAACGCCATTGTGGCACAAACGAAGAAATCCCCGTACTTCAACCCTGTTCTTGAGACAGCCGTGGATGATCTTATGCAGAGGCTGAAGCAGGCTCCAAAAGAAGAGTCTTCTTCGTGGATCCCTAAACCCAGGATGGACCAGGTGTCTACTAATATGTGGAGCCGATTCAACAAATTTGTCGCTGGCGACGATGATGATAATGCTGCTAACGGAGCGTCGGGTGATGCCGGTGCCGAATCTGGCCCTTTTGCCCGCCTTGCAGGTGGCACACCGACGATCAGTCGTTCCCCATCCGTCTCTAATTTCGAGGTATACGGAAATGGCGGGCCGTCACCTACCGCGCCAGCCACGAAGGCTGCTTCACGATACGCGCCGATGACACCCCATGATCCCTATAATCCGGCTCCTAGATCTTCGATGGAAAGAACTTCAGGCGAAATGTCCCGAAGCTCGTTAGAATTGCCGCCAAGGCGTGGATCGGACATGCAATCCGCATACGGAAATCCTTATGCCCCTCAAACGAATTCCTCTCCTGCTTCTGCTTATCAGCCTGCAGCGCCAGTGGCGTCCCAAACCTCGCCATATGCGCCAGCTTCTCGGGGGTCGGATTCAGCTCCGCAGCCCACGGGGATCGGTATTTCTTTCCCCGGTTACGATCCATATGGCGCCGCACAGACGTCTCCAAACGTCAATGGCTCTCAGCCACAAAGCCCACCTGCTGCTGAATTGAAGCCGGAAGCTACAGCAAATGTCAGTTTAGGCCAGGGTTATCAACCATCTTCATACGGATATGAGCCGCCATCTATGACCTTTGAAACACCAGTAATGCAAACGGAAGGCTTTTCAGGTGGATACGAGCCACCTTCGTTCCAGCCGTCAAGCTTTGAGCCGCCATCCTACGAGCCTGGCCCTTCTAATGACGACGGCGATGATAATGCTGAATCTAAACCTAAGAAAAAGAGCTTTATGGATGACGATGACGATGATATCCCTAGTATGAAGAGCAAGGCGGACAAGGATCGGGAGAACGAGGAGATGGTCCGAAGAGTTGCAGAGGAAGAAGGTGAGCATTAAACGTTTCTATTACTAATACGATGCTAACAATATACCAGAGAAGCGTGCTGCTGAAGCAAAGGCAGCCAAGAAAGGCTGGGGATTTGGTGGATGGTTTAGCGGTGGCAAGAAAGAGTCTCTCGACCAAGCCAACAAGCCTATCAAAGCTAAACTAGGCGAAGCGAGCAGCTTCGTGTATGATCCAGACCTAAAGCGCTGGGTGAACAAGAAGCCAGGAGCCGAGAATACTCCTGCTAAGGCGGCGACACCGCCACCTCCTAGATCCGCTTCCCGTACGGGCACTCCTCCGCCACCAGGTCCTACATCTGCTCCTCCCCCTCCTGGTGGACTAAGTATTCCTCCTGCCGGCCCTCCTCGACTTACGCCCTCACCCGCCTTAATAAGCAAGGCTTCTACGGAAAGTCTTTTGGTTCCCGGCGCCCCGCCGATGATGATGCGGTCCGTTTCAAACCAGAGCACTAGTAGCGCTCCGGGCGGACCCATCAACGCACCGCCCAGCAGGCCGACTACGAGCCTTAGTAACGCTAGTAGCATCGACGATCTGCTCGGCGCGGCGGGATCGGGATCCGTAAGGAGAGGAGCCAAGAAGGGAAGGAAATCGGGCCGGTACGTCGACGTGATGGCGAAATAAGATGTACGGTAAACTTCCCTCAACGGAGGATGTACGAAGACGAAAAACATGGATATCATAGATAATGATGAAGCCGGTTCGTGTTGTGTGAAGAGAGAAACACACAAAGTGTATTCGAATGGAACGGATTGGAACGAGACCGGACGGCACAACGGCGCAGGCGCATACATACACATACGTTGCTTCTTAAAAGAAGGAAAGAATCCGACGCTCGAGATACATGAGGCGCGCGAACAACTACTTACCTGTATTATATAGACTTAGCGATTTTGTAATAAACTGACCGGCCGCTTGGGCTGGGGTGTTGTGAGACTACGAATACCTGTGTTTGGATCATGTTCTGGTGTTTAATTGGGACGGTCGGTTTTGGGAAACTGTGTTCGACTAGCTAATAAGAAAACGCGCACCTCTCAGCTCTGCTATTCCCGGGCATGTGGAAAGATACTCTTGCTTAGGCTTCTGGATGTGACATCATGGAGACGTGGGAATATGCTCGAGCTGAGTCCTTGCATGGTCGATGACGTATTTGGCGTTTGTGCTACGGAAGCTGCTCTGTTCTGTTTAGTTTGACTCTTTAACGAGTAAGTGTTCCTTCACCTACGATAATACTTACCTACCTAGATACTGTCTAGACATTTCTATTCTATATTGTACATTTTTCACCGTGTATTACTACCTACCAGCCTACCAACCTACCTACCTCTTAAACTTAAAGTACCTACCTACACAACACCAACATGTCAACACAACATCACCCCCAAGCCCGTCCCAACATCCTCAAACACGCGGACCCCAACCCCATCGCCTACGAAAAACAGGTCTTCCAACGCGGGCTCAAATACCAACGGCCACCCTTCACTTTCAAACCCCTAGAATGGGAGCGTTTAGCCGCGGAACGCATGTCCGCTGACGCGAGGGGGTACGTGCTTGGGTGTGCGGGAACGGGGGAGACGGCGAGGCGGAATAGAGAGGCTTTTTCACGGTGGGGGGTTGTGCCGAGGCGGTTGGGGCTGGGGGTTGGACTCGGTGATAGTTCGGATGGGGACGGGAATAAGGAAGGGAAAGTGAAAGGGGATGGGGATGGAGAGAAGAACGTCTTCCCTAACCTGAACACCAAAGTCCTAGGCCGCAACCTCACGTGTCCGATCGCGTGCGCGCCGGTCGGGGTCCAGAAGATCATGAACCCGGACGGGGAAGTCGCTGCTGCGCGGGCGGCGGCGAGGGAGGGGGTGCCGTTTATTATGAGTACGGCTAGTAGCACCAGTATCGAGGAAGTGGCGAAGGCTAGTGATTCGGGGGCGGAGGAGGCGGGGGGAGAGGCGGAGAGGTGGTTTCAGCTGTATTGGCCGGCGAGGGAACATGACGATATTACGGCTTCGATGTTACGGAGGGCGAGGAGGTGTGGGTTTGCGGTGTTGGTTGTTACGCTTGATACGTTTATTCTGGGGTGGAGGCCTTGTGATATGGATAATGGGTAGGTTTCCCCTTTTCACCCCGAGGCTGTAGATACCTGGTTGCTAATGCTAAGTAACAAGCTACAACCCCTTCCTCCGCTCCGACCAAATCGGCATCGCAATCGGGCTCACCGACCCCGTCTTCCAATCCCACTTCCAACGCAAACACCGCTGCCCCATAGACCAAAACCTCAGCGCCGCCGCCGCGGAATGGACCCGCATCGTCTTCCCCGGCGCCGAACACTCCCTCTCCGACATCGCCTTCCTGCGCGAACACTGGGACGGCCCGATTGTGCTGAAAGGGATACAAAGCCCGGATAACGCGCGGCAGATCGCGGAGTCCGGGCTCGTGGATGGAGTTGTGGTGAGTAATCATGGCGGCCGCCAGGCTGATGGGGGGATTAGCTCGCTGGGGGCGTTGCCGGGGGTTGTGGCGGCTGTTGAGGCGGTGAATGCTAGGAAGGGGGGTGAGCGTGGGTATAGGAAGGTAGAGGTTCTGTTTGATTCGGGGATTCGATGTGGAGCGGATATCGCGAAGGCGATGGCGCTGGGGGCGAAGATGTGTCTTGTGGGACGGCCGTATGTGTATGGGCTTGCGCTGGGAGGGGAGGAGGGCGTTGCGCATGTGTTGAGGAGTTTGCTGGGGGATTTGGAACTTACGCTGCATCTTTCGGGGATCAGGGGCGTGGGGGAGGGGGAGTTGGATAGGGGTGTTCTTGTTAAGGAGGATGAGCTGTTTAGGGGGGTGTGATGGGATTGTAGGGGTTGATGGGGGTGGCTTGGTTAAGTTGGGTGGACATATACGTGGAGACACTTCTGAAATCTGAATAGTTATTTTGATTATCTATCTGAATCGGGGTAGGACTTGGGAATTCGTATTTCATTGCGAAGTATCTCAGTTCCTTGCCTACAAAGGCGATGTTACTTACTTATATCGACGGCTTTCTCCATGGAGCCTCGTCCACATTAAAGCCCCAGTCATGTCTGGATATTGCTAGCCCGACGCTTTGCCCGTGCCAAGTGCTGCCTAGTTTCCCGTTTATTAACTAGGTAAGGAATTATTCCACGTGGTTTTCAAATTTACACCACGCAATATATTCCGGGTGTTCTTGGAGAGAACACAATATATGAGCTCCTTTCACTTTTAAATAGAAATAAACCGAACCTGTTATGAAGGCGGTTTCTGTCGGTGAGAAGAAGCCACATCATCCTTCTTCTGTACCACCTCTTGCCAAAATGAGACTTCGCTGGTAGTAGTGTGCTGAGGGTATGACTTTTTTGTGGAAAATGTGCGTATGTATGCCCATGTGTGATCGAGCTTTTATGCTATAAAGAATAAAGAGTTGGTACAGGGAGACGATATTTCGTGGAACCATTGCTCTCGGAATCCGTCCGCTAGGTGTGTTCGAAGGTGCTTCTGCTGTTGCCGTTTTATGGAATCGATTTGATTAATAAGTGTTCCTGAATAGGTATGCAGGCCTAGAAAAGGTCTCTTGAGGCGGCCGCTATCGTCTCTTGGAAGTTGCAGCATAGGTACAGTTCGTGGATTAAAGTGAACCGACTACAGTCGCTACTAAAATGGTAGCTATATGACTGGTTAGAAAGGGTTAGACACCTTTGTTGTATGATGTCTTAAGAATAACATTCTTCTCCTGGATGTCACTTTTATCATCATCTTGCTGGTCTAGTCGACTAGCTCCCCGGACACTTAACCGTGAGAAATCGGGCGATATATCCCTGATTGCATATCGTGTAGTTTATCGCGTTAGGCTTAGAGACTTCGCAAGTAGAACACCACCGCCACGACACCGTGACGGTATGCCTTGGATTAGGATTGTTGGTTTGTACATGACTAGGCGAGGCGTCAGGAAAGAAACAGGGAAGAACCGTGAAAGGTGACAAAATCCACAAGTAATTGATAATGTCAAGGAACGGGTATGGCTTCGGGGTTGGCGCCAAGATCGACCGATCGTCCCGGCTGAGCTACTCATAGTTTAGTAAGTCTCTGTTTGGAGACAGTGACTCTATCATGGGGGAAAGATACTGCAGACAGTGTTGTGAATTGTGTATTCCAAGGACGTAGTATGCTGGTGTCCAAGAGGTTCCCATTACTTTATGTAATGGTGAGAGCACAAATCCATTTCGTGAGTCTCGTTGGAGTATTGGACAGGTTGATGTCGATCGATGTAATGGGTAGATGAGTATATATAAGTCCATATAAAGTATCTGTGCCCTCCCGAGCACAACTTTGGGTCTCTCACGTCCCCCTTTTTCCAATTTGGGAATGGGTGATAGGATTCCTTTGTGGCCGTTAATCTCCGACGCCGAAAGAGATTGGACGTTCGGATGGGTAATGTGGCCATCTGAGATGTTTGCATCAGGATATTCTTCTTTCCTAAAATCGGTAAAAATCATCCTGGTCCAGGTGTGTATTGTTGAAGTCTGTTATTTCCGAAGCATTTGTGGTTCGTTCAGCATGACACGCTTCTGGAGCGGCGTCTTCATGGTTGGGACGAGATGTTCAAAGATGGTGAATCGCAGGTTTTTGATTAGGGCAAAGTCGGCGACTAATTAAAGCAACTTCCATAGAAGATTAGTAGGTGTCCAAGGAAACTAGTAACAAGATATCATCTGAACTCACCAACCAAGAAATACCCTATGACATATTGTAGGTTGACCGCTATGCTACGTTGTCTTGGTCCTTGTTCATTATTTTTGTACGTCGTAGGTAGAATGGTACTCGCTCCTTAGAATAGCTCCCATATTTTATCATTTGTCGAAGAGGCGCAAGAATGGAAGCCTGGCTAGCAAGGGTTTTTCGTAAGAAACACGATAGAATTGGTGATAAGACCGGGTATGTAGATGATTGTCCGGTGTCTCTGACAAGTCCGCATCTCTAAGAGGGATATGGTACAGTAGGAGAAATAACGCAGGTGCTCGCTTGGTGGATATACATGGAGATGCTTGACACCCAACAGGTATGCTCTGAATGTGTCGTCAATGTAGCGCCGAAGAGTAAATGGCCTCCTAATGAGTCCGAAGCATATGAAGAGAATATTTCCCCATCATAAGATCTTTAGGGCCTTTTGTAAGACGAATTTTGTGGAAGGCCTGTCGGATGTCGATTTTCGAGAAGATTTTCCCTGGTGCCACTCTCGCCACTCTCGCCAATGTCTCTTCGGTGAAGAGGGAGAGGGTGATATTCTTTCTTTGTCAAGGAATTTAGCTTTTTGCAATACACGTAGAACCGTAATCTTTCATTTGCCTTTCGTGAGAACAGAATCGAGGCTGGTTAAAGGATAATGACAGGTCTATAAAGGATGTATCATAACAATGTTCCTCGCTAGACCGCTCCGACGGAGTTGGGGTCGGGAGAGACCCCGGGTACTGCACCTGAAGGAAACATTATTTTGCCGTCTTGGAGTTGGTGGCAGTTGTTGCTTATCGCGTGTCGTTGTATTTCGTCGGCACGCGACGATTATGTAAGCTCGAGCCTTGGGAGGGACTTATAGCTGCTGTTGACGGCCGTAAGCTAGAAGCTTCCCAACACTTGTACATGTGTATGTGTGTAAGGTATGGAAAGAAATATGCGTTGCCAGGGGGTTGATTATATATAAGTGATGGTTTATAAAATGAACTAATTCGTGTGAAAGGAGGACTATCAGTAGGGTCTGTTGAATCTATATCTATATAAGCTCTTACATTGAATAATCAAACAGGCTTTACCTTTGATGACTTTAATATGGCAAACGAAAATGTCATCATAGCTTACCACTAGCAACCACCCTTATGTATATACTCATCCACACGCATATATAGTTGATGTGTAAGAAAGGATGGCGCTGCTATAAAGCTTATATCCCACGACGAGCAGGTCAGCCTACACCCAAAGAGTCACAATCGCAATCAACCCTCACATCAAGCAATAACAAAAATATACATACACACTACCAGGAAAAGGACCCAAGTAGGTAAGTATAGCAAGAAGCAAATTATTAAGTCTCCTTTGCCACGTAGAAACTACAGGGTCTAAGTACATAGTGGTGGTGATGCTGTGGTCGACGTGTCCCCGTCTCTCTTCTCTTCGACGAGCCCCCTTTCCACTTTCCACTTTCCACTCATTTTTTCCTGACTTCGCCGTCTGACGTATCCGCCCCTTATTTAGCCCATCCGACATAGAAAAAGGTTCGGACGGCCTGACTCCTGACTGTCTGTCTTACACACTACAACTAGAACCTTGCCAAGAAATGTTTGTTTGCCTTTTTGACTCATCTGGTCTGAAAGGTCCAATGGATTGTGAATCGAATATGACGTAAAGGGATTTCTTTTGCTGGGCCTTATGAGGCGGTAGGTAGCTTCTCGTTGCGAGACATCTGTTTCCTGAAGCTAAATAGTAATGGCCAATGAGAAGGGTTCGTTAACCCTTAAGTGTGTGTGATGGTGAGTCGGGGTCGGATGCATATTATGTATTGATCCCATTGTAGCTCTCCATTCGGAGCAAAGGCAAGTGCCAGTTCGATGACCCAAACCTTGAACCAGCTATTATATAGTATACGAGCCTTTAAATCCTTCAAAGACCCATGAGCTCAAAGTGTTCTACTACAGTTGCGTCGTAGCTCTCGTCCATCGGGGATGATTCGTACACTCTTCCCTCACTCGAGGTGAGTCAATAATATATTGTAGACATTATATATCGTATCGTTTGGGTAGACGGAAGCAACGAGATTCCGGTTCAACTCCATGTCGTGCCGTATTCTGTTATTCCTCCGGAATCGTTGCTGGCTCCTCGGGTATAGGGCTCTTGATTCCTCCATCGTCGTCAGCGGCGCCTGAGCTTGGGCCGGAACCTCCCTTTAGTCGCCGACGCCTAGATCTCCTTTCTTCCGCTGCCGACTTCCTCAAACTATCCCTCTTCTCGGGATTTTCATCCTCTGCACCATCACCGCCCCTCATATCTTGTAATAGCATTGCGGCTCTTTGAGCCAGACCATCGTCTTCTGCCGCCTCTTCGGGAACCTCGGTAGGTGAGACTAGGTCAGGGCTGAGAGGATTGGCGTCAGAATCTGTAGCGCCGTTGGTGCTTTCGGGGTGGACATTGGCTTCTGCCTCGGGTATTTCGTTGAGGTCTGGTATCTTTTGGCCTGAAGCGACGCGAACTTGGTGACGATCCTTTAGACGTGCGCGCCTCCTCCTGTCTCGCTGATCTCTTGTCTGGGGAGCCGCAGCGCGTAGTTTCTCCAGCAGGGAATCCATTGCGCCAGCAGAAGCCGGTGATGGTGGGCCACTCTCCACTGCCCCTTGAACTCTGAGCTGGGCATGTTTCCGTTTCATGCTAGCCTCATTCCTGCGCCGTGTCTCTTCGTATTGGACGTTCTTGTCTCTGCTCTTCTTCCACTCCTGAAGGAACATGGCCAGCTTAGTGAAAAACTCGCGACGGGCGTTATCATCTTTGGGATCTTCGCCGTAGAATACCATAATGTCATCGTATGTACGGATCATCTCCTCTAGGTATAACGCCATTTGTTCTGCCTTCCGACGAGCATCCTTCATACACCGCTGGACGATTTGCGAGACACGGTCCTGAGGGTGAAACTTCTTAGGATCGCTGAGGTTTCCGTTGTCAAGTGACCTCTGTACGTTGCGGACGTTCTCTATATACTTTCTGGCATCCGCCTGGAGTTGCTCGATGTTGATTTTCTGTGCAGCTATGACTGCCTGGATATCATTCGTAAAGCCTTCCCATTCGGGATATTGGTTGCGTACGATACGTTCAACGAGATCCGCAAGTGTCGACTGGTTCTTGTCATCTTTAACCATACCCAAGCGGGCAAGCGAGCTGAGTTTGAAACCTCTCGCCTGTTTGTTTGCGTCGTTCATGTAGTTACCGATATCGAGAATCAATCCGAGGACATTCATCAAGGAAACGGAATCCCTCAGCGACTCTGATACCGAGACGACGTGACGGATCTTCTCATTGATTTCGTCATAATCGGGTTCGTAGCTTCGTGTCAGCGCCAATGCCCGCATTCTGCTCTTCCAATAATGATGTAACTCAAAGGCAGTGTACAAGTAAAGTTGATCTTGCCGAGTTAGTTCGGCCGGATCCTGCTCGCGATTTTCCTTGTTCGCTTCGGGACCAGTCCAATCTTTGCTGTACGGCGCCATGAGTTTCGCGGTATTATCCGAAATGTTGCATAGGTCGTCCTTTTGCAGGAAATCCATGATCACAGGGTTATCGAGAACTTCTTTGTCGCAATGGATGATCGTCTGAACGATCTTCTCTACAGAATACGAAGACATCTTGGCAAAAGCAATTTCTAAAGTAAAGTTAGCATCCAAAAAATTCTCAACATATTCCTAGAGTCGTTCTTACCGTAAGCTTTCCGAAGATCGCTGGAGATGATTTGCTTCTTGTCATCCTTCTTAGAGGCTCCAACCCCAAGCTTCTTGATCTCCTTAGCCATAAACAACTTCTCCACTTCATCGAGAATACCCTTCTTGCTAAGTTCGGCATATTTCTCTTCTCTTTCCTCCACAGAAGGAGCATGCGCCGCCCAATGACTTGTCTCGGGGGTATCGACCTTGTCCCAATGGAGGGCCTTGAGCTTCTTCTTCGGTCTAACAATAGGGAGACCCATTGTCGGGGCCGGGGCAAAGTTATTTTGCTGAGAGAGGAAGTGACCTGACATGGCACCAGGCATTGGCGGAGGCGGAGGTGGTGGGCCAGCACCGGGCATACCGGGCATAGGTGGCGGCGGTGGAGGGGGAGGAGGACCACCCGCAGCGGACGTGGGTGAAAGCATTCCTGGCATCGGAGGAGGGGGAGGCGGTGGTGGAGGAGCGCCCGGAATCTGGCCTGGCATGGGCGGAGGAGGTGGTGGTGGGGGTGCTCCTGGGAGTTGGCCGGGCATCGGTGGTGGTGGAGGAGGGGGCGGAGGCGGAGGAGCGGTTGTGTCGCTAACTTGGATCTTAGGCGGTTCCATCTCGTTTGGAGTAATGGGCGATTGTGACTCAAGACTTGGGTGCGAGGGACCAGTAGTCGTGCCGTCACCCTCTTCAGAATCACTGATCTCGTCCTTCCTGCCCTTCGCGTGAATCTCACTGAGGAAGTTGGCTGCTTGTTTGGGGTCCATGACGGGTCTCCTAATTTCGACGACTCTTGGTTTCTCGTATACAATGTCCTCATCTCCCTCCATGGCGCCCTCGTCGGCATGCTGTCCATTAACGGGTTTTCTTGAAAGTCGAGTGTGGCGGTTGACGGTGCCAAGCATGCCAGTAGCCATACCAGGCGGCGGGAGCCCTGAACCATCTGGTCCATCTGAATAGGTATCTGGATAGCCATCCATTTCTTCACGGAGCGCACGCAAGCGATCCGAAGGGCCAATTGTCTCGCCCCAGACTCTACCTTCAAGTTTATACTGGGTCTTCTGCCGTTCGAGCTGCATCGCAAGTCTGTCCATAAGCCTTTCACGATCCAGGATACCCGGCATCTGCACGGGGTTCTCATCGGCTATCTTGCTTCCAGCGCTGCTCTTGACAGCTTGTGAAGCAGCGACATCTTGAGCATCCCTGAGCATAAGGTAAAGTTCTCTTGTCTCTAGCTCGTTTCGTTGCGCTTCCTTCGCACGAACCGTTTGCATGTTCTCGATTTCAGCCTTTAGACCATCTGCTTGACGTTTTTGCGCCTCGATGAAGCGAGCTTGTTCCTCTAGCTGTCTCTGAAGCTTAGCTACAAGACCATCCGCACCTAATTCTAGCTGTGCTCTCATCTCATCCCGCTCTGCCATAGCAGCATCAGCAATCTGCCGAGCCTCTAAAGACTCATCTAGGGCTTGGCGGGCCTCAGAATCCGTATGCAATTTGTCCAAGAGATTCTGAACAGTAAAATTCAAGCTTTGCTTGAGGTCCATGTTCGGCAAGCGCCGGTCCATGGCCACATAGCTAAGCATCGAATCGACGAGCTGGAACATACGCAACCGTTCCTCTCCATCGTTATCTCGGATTAGAAGCAGGTGTTGCAGTGCCGATATGAAGTAGTCGTGCGTCTTAGAGCCTTGAAGTCGCTGTTGAATAGCGTCGACAATCTGGGCAGGGTCGTTGAGGTCCTTAACCTCACCTTCGATGCTGTCCTTTATGCTGCTATTCTCCCGCTCGAGCATATCCTCATAGTCAATAGCCTCGTTGGTACGGAATCGCTCGATCTGTTTGTCTATCAAGTCGTACTGGAACGCCTCCATCTTCGTTAGGATCCGCTTGATCCCACAAGCGCCAAACTGCGCCCTGATGTGCATGCGAAGCTGGAGGTCATTTTCTGGCGCGTCGATGATCGAATTGACGAGTATGAGCGTCGCGACAGCATATTCCATTAGGAGATTCTCCATGCCGATACCACCGCTGCGGACTTCATCGCTGGCTCCCACGAGACTCCCCATCTTCCCACGCCCGTCTGCCGTGACCTCGACGAGTCGCATCCAAGCATCGAACCGGCCATTCTCGTTCTGCTGACTCTTCACGACATCCATAGCCTGGATGACCTTAAGATGCCCTTCGCCCCCATCCCAATGGCACAAGAAGGACAAAACATCGCTGACGAGTTTTCGGGTTGTGAGCCTCGGCGATATGAGCGAAGTGACGAGAGCTACGACCACTTGCTGATGGGCGAGGGCATCATCGGCGCCGTATTTGTTGTTCAGCAAAGCTTTCAGACACTTCAGAATATCATATTCCTTATCGAGATTTTTATCGTTCGCCTTTGCGTCGGACGGGACTGCGGGCCCTACGGGATTCTTGCGGTTGAGCTTTAATAAGACGTTGGTGAGAGCTACCTGCCCTTGACATTCGATAAAACGCTTCACCCATCCAATTTGCTGAGTTCGTAAGTTGACTTCGAGACTACCGAGGCCCTTCAAATCCAAAGTATTATCCATTACTTTTCGTACATACCACTCAGGAGAGCCCTCCTCGTCGGAGGATGCGGCAATGTTGATGTCCGAATACTGCCCCGATCTCGCTGTCTGCCTCTTCTTCTGCTCACCTTGCCATTCCGTTAGGCGATCTTGGTAAATAAGGGTCCATTTTTTCGACGGCGGGTAGGCCTGCATTTGCCGTCGTGCTTGCTCGGGTAGATTGTGCCATCCTCGCTTGACCATCAACTCGTAAAACATCTGCTCAGTGACCCTGTCGTCTTCCGGTCTGGTGAACGAAGGACCTTCGGCGGCACCGCCGACGCCAGGAGGAAGATGACCCGGGGACCCTGGAAGCTTAGTTAAACGATGGGAATCTCTACTCGAGGGGTGTGATGCAATGGAACTCTGGGATGTTGCACTAGGCAGTGCTGCTTTGGATGAGCGTTTGATTGTGTGATTATTAGGGGATACTCCTTTACCTGAAAATATGCTGGATTGGTCGCTTTGCCTGGAAGTCCTGCCGTAGCCGGCCATTCCATATCCTGGTAGGGAATCCCATCTCTCACCATAAGAAGTGCCCGTCGTCATCGAAGACGCTGTGCTTCCGCGAGGTGCTAGACTTCCCGAATTTGGACCCCATTGTTGGAATTGAGTTTGTCGGCCTGTAGACGCCATGGTTATGTTATTAGCACCAGTGGTTGGGCGCGAGATTGAGAGGTGAGAGCCGGACACGCCAGACATGGTGGAAAGTGTTTTCGCATCAAAGGTAGGATACTGGTGGAAGTCGGCAGTCGCTTTATTCAACTGGTGCGGTAGAGGTTCTCGGCCCACGGGTAACTGCTCGCCTCGAGGGAGATATTCGACAGGTATGGGGCTCCGCTGGTCTGAATGTGTGTTATCGTACGGAATTGCGGTAATGACACCGGCATTGTTGTTAACGCCGGGTTCAGGAGACACCGGTCTATCGACGGATATTATCGACGAGGCCCTAGCATGTCGAGAAGTTCGCGATATAATGGATTCCTGGTCAGAGGCGAGGTAACGTCCTTCCTCGCTGCCTGTATGTCTCTTATCACTCCTATGTTTACTCCTAGAAAAGAAGCCCTTCCCAGCGGACGACATGGCTGCGTCGGTGGAGAGGGCGCGCTAAGACGCAAAGCGCTCTGATCACTCTCTGACAATAATTAATTTTATCTACCAATTTCTCGTACGTTTTAATCTCGAGTTTGGGAATCAGGCGAAAAGAAACAATCGAATTCTTCGAGTCTTTTTTAAGTGGGATATCGGATTCCTGCCGTCAATGTATCGGATGTTGAAGGCGTCGAATGAATTGCATCGTGCTCTCTAGCAGGGAAGATCGATTTCGCAAGGAATATACACACTGAAATTGTAAATCTGGAATCAGGTGAAGACCTGCATAAGCGGGTAGTGGATGATTAGCATGATGTTTGACGATGAAGCAGTTGAAGCAGTATAGACCATGCAAGGATATAAGGGTTAGGTATTTTGTATTTTAGTATTTTTTTGGTCAATTAGACCAATTTTGACCAATCTTGACCAATTTACTCGAAAGGAGTCGGAAGACAAGAATGCGCGACAGAGAAAGGGGGGGACCCAAGAGACATCGGAGACGCTGGCTTTATGGGTATACAGTAGGTAAAATACCTAAGTAAAATAGGTAAAATAAAATAGGTAGGTAGGTATACGTACAACATAGAACTGAAAGACACAAAACACTACATGAAATGCAACAATCAACAATTCTAACCTCAATACTCCCACATCAATGGTTAATCGACGTCGTTGCCGTTGTTGTGTAATGATCGAATATCGAATTTAGAGAAAGTGGTTAGGGTAGAAAGGAAAGTTCCAAGGTTTAGGTTGCTTCTGGCTAATCGAGAAGGTTATCGAGAAATGTGATAATGCTGCTCAAAGGAGGTTTGCCGATTGATGAGACTTTGACAGAAGCAAGGTCGACCAGTTGTGCAATGTCGCGGTAGGTACTGTGCATACCGTACATAGTACCAAGCACGTTGTGGTGGGTGGGATGCGACTTGCTGCAACATGGAGGGTACATATAGTGCATTTAAGATACATTTAAAATACAATTAAAATGTTCTAATGTCGCCGTTTCCCTCCAAGACTCACACCCCCCATCTCCCATTTGCGATAAGCGCGTACCTAGTGGTAGTACTAGCAGGTACCTTACTGTACGAATTTGAATTTAAAGCGAGAGTCAGGTCCAGTTGGGATCAGTCAAGCTCCAATCAGGATGAAGGAATCAGGGGTGTCTTTACACAACGTGGCTACTGTAATTATAATGACAAACGACTAAAGTTCTATTTCTGTCCATAACTCTTTAAGCACGTAATGAAGAATGATCAATCGCATCTCCAGCGCTATCAATCGTATTCATCATATATCCTGTATTCTGTGCTATATTCTGTAACACTAATTAGAAAAGCCCCTCATTGTTTCTTTGTTTCACGTATGACAAAATTTGAAATGGTATACCCTAGCACACATCTCATGTTGTGTAATCGGTGCGGGATATCGCCGATTGCTATCGAAAAATCCCATGATACAACCGTGCCGGTGGGACGTCGAAAGGTGTGGACGATTCTGAAACTTGAAGTGGAACATAAACCCCTGGGAGATCCAACACGACGATGGTGATAATGATGCGATCTAAGGTTGCCTTGGATCCCCAGAGTCCCAGACCCCAAGACTTGCAAGTCAAGTCTTACACGTACGTACCTACATACCAACCTGGGTTAAGTGCGCAGGCTCCAGAGTGTGTACTAATATGATACATTCGTACTTGGTATGAGCCGGTATGAGGTATGAATGAAAACTTGGTTGGCGCAACACGGACATACTCTCATCCTAGCACTATTGCGTCGGTACTCCAGCTGTCCAAGGTTGGTCACTTGGTACGCTGTAGATAGTCACCTCTTGGATTGTGGACGTTTATAAATGTTTGGATGAGTGGTAGGGCGCTACTGTACGAGTGCTCTTAGCTGATGATGATCTTTAGCCGATGCGCAGAATAGGGGTTGCATACAGGTACGCTTTCAGCTCCGTTTTTTTGGTCCTCGGCGCTGTCGAAGAGGGGATCGGGCCTTATTGGACAGTTGGAGACCAATTTGAAGGATTTGGGATGAACATTGGGGGTCCATTGATTCTTCGTAGCTTGTTGATTTGCATACATTTGGGGCCAACTTTCCATAACCAATACACAACCGGTCGATGGGGCCGTAATATGAATATTCTTGTTATTGATAAAAAGCGATTCATGCATTAATACCTGCAATATATTATTCAGTCAAAATAAAGTATGTAATTAAAGTAATATCGTCGTCACGCAACAGCGAACTTCAAATTGCGAACCTTGCAGATTCATGTACCCTTCATGTACCCCATGTGGTCCGTGAGTCAACGGTCCCGGCTCTGGCCGCCAACAACTTTAACCAATGAAGAAGTAGCGAAGGAACCCCGAAATAGACGGGTTTAACTTATGTAAGCACATATATGAAGCAAGATCCATGGATGTTCCGAATTGCAACTGCGCGTACGTAACCATCTCCGTACTCAATGTTCAGCCTTACAAAATACAATTGACAAGAGACAAGCTCTAAGTGAGCTTCTACTTGGCGTTGGAGAGCTATACTTTTCTCTAGCCTTGCAATAACTTGTTCGCGCTCGATTATAGTGTCGTACGATTTGGACCCCTACGGACGGACGAACGAACGAACGAACGAACAATTGTCATCTTGTCGCGCCTCTAGCCTCCACGAGCGATAATTATAGACGGGAGCTTTGGAATCAAACCAGCTTGGTACTTTGCATGGGAGGCTTTGAGATTGCGTTTGTAATTCTGGCCGATACGCCTTGATCGCATTGCTCATTATATCCCTTGGTGTAAAGTATCAACTAGCCTTCTACCATGCTCTTTTAATAGGAGAACATAATATAACACCGCCGACACCATGGGCTCCACACTTTCTGTAGTCAAGGTAGGTGTTCACTTCGGGATTGTATTCAATCGTCAAGAAACTTACGGCTATAGACACTCATAATACCTGCGGTCATCTCCCTAATACTCTTCCTCTTATCCAATTATCTCCTCGTTCCATTATGGCGGCATTACCAAACTCGATATAGCCAATACCTTCCTCTCGACACGATATCAAACCACACCTCGACTTTACGCGGCAGAGTTCAAGACGCAATGGCTCGTTGGCTGGTGCCATCGCGATGGCGATTCAATTCGCGCGATCGTGTCGTAGTAGGAGCCGATGATGCTTCTAACCTAAGTTTCAGCTCCGAAGAAGGCGAAGAATTAGACGACGTGGATGATGATCGCCGACATGCACTATCATTAGACGCACATGTCCCGGTACACACAGATAGTATACGAAGGTTAAGCAGAGAGTAGGTTTAGGACACTTCCTTCTGAATAACCGCAGACTTCATTCTAGGACACAAGGGCTAACTATCAGGAGTATAGTTTAGAAGAAGGCTTCCGAGATGATAGCGACGAGGAGGACGATAATACACGTCGTGTTAGACGGTAGTACGCCTCTCGTCGTTAATTAGTACAGGGGTTAGACTTGGCGGCATGATTTTAGAGCGATTGCATTTTCTTCCTGGGACATAGGACATTGCTGTTCGAATGCTAAAAACATTGGGGAACGGCTGAATCAAAAAGCAGTCATAGTTCGATTGGGTATGGATTATACCAGAGCGAACGTGACTTGGCAGGATCTTGTAACCATATTTAGTGAGTTTGGAGTCTTGAATAGATCCTCATCTTCGAGATGCAGCCTACACGTCTCAATTGAGGCGATACATGGACGTCTTAAGAACGACAACTTGGACTCTATTGAATTTGTTGGATTGATCAATACATCTTAACTAACATACCCGATATCAACAAATATTGTTGCTCAGTCTTCCTCACGGACTATCTAGGGAATAGCTACTGCTTACCTCTTTGGTAATCACGAGCAGATGTTTTGATGCTTAAGCAAACCCGCTAAGTACCAACTCCGCCATGGTATCCAGTGCTATGGTCTGTCTCGACTCGTTTATCGGATGATTTCTGCATGCCAAACAGATAATTTCCGATTTGCTGTCACCAGCATTTTCTTGATGCAACGAGGTTGTAATGGATATTTCGGGATCGGTCTAGACTACTAGAATAGGGGTCATAATTACCTATGTGAGTAGGTAGGTACCTAGGTAAGGAGAAGGCGCCTCTAATATGTATCTAGGTATGTCTTATCTTAAGCGCAGTGTATAGAAGTTTGAATATGTTGGTAATCATCTAAGTAGTTCCTTGTACCGGGTTCCCGATGTTAATTGTTAGGTAGGCACTCTATAGTAGACACGATACCGAGACAAGCATGAACGCTTTCTCTCTTTTCATAGAGCCTCATCTAAACTTATACTCACTAACTTAAACCGGACATTGAATGTAACCGGTATATTGAGCCATGACACCATTTACATAGTATAGCCGCATTCTTAGATACACCCATGTGATTCGAAAGATAACAGAAGCAAGCCGAAATGGAGGCTATGAGAAGACTAACAAAGCTTCAGAACTACTTCGCTAGCTAAAACTTGACGCTATTTCTCTTACATGTAGACTAACAAACTTAGAAGGGACGAAAACGAGAATAAGATAAATGGTTAGCACACGATGTTGTATTTAAAACCCCGCGTCTAATTTTGAATCTAATGGATATTGGGTACTGTTTGAAAACATAACGCCATTCTCATCTTCCGTCTCCGGATTTACGAATAATATCCATCGGTAGGCTACTATATACGGGGAGGCTGGCGCGGAAGGTGGTGGAATTTCAAAAGGGATTGGATCGTCGAGACCGCATGCGGAATGAGCCAAGGTTTACTAGGTGATGTGCCCAGATACCCGCAGTCCGCGTCTAATACCTATCATGATGCATGGACGGTAGGCACTTAGACATACAGCGTACATATGTATGTGCAATATGTACAATATGTGCAATATGTACACATATGTATGTGCTAATGAATCCAATCGTGCCTTGTCTGCACGTGGCCGAAATCACATTCCAAGCCTTATCTTGCATCCCGGCAACCATCACGAATTCGGCCATCTCGAAAAGGGTAAGAAAAGACGCACATGAGTATGCTTATCTGCCTTGCGAGTACTCGCGTAACCCTTACTACGATATAATCCGGTACAATCCAGTGCACATGATGCCATACCTAAGTAAAGGGTGGTGGAGCTAGCTTTTGCTTAATAGCCAGTAGACAGTGGACAGTGGATAGTGGACATTGGTCAGTTTATTGTTCAATGGGCACTTTATACATATACCTACCAAGGTACGGACGGTACTGTGTAGGTATTTTAACTGTTGATGTGAAGTTGTATCTGGTATAAGCCACACTCTCTAGACACTCTCTAGACACTTTCTAGACTCTCGATACCGTGAAGAAGAAACCTTAAGAACGAGAGGAAGATACATACCTTCACACTGTATCTTCTACCCTATAAGATCTGTTCCTGGGCTGGATAAATTATAAAACGATTGGTTCTCTTGACCATCTTCCTTTTTTAAACCTTGGAACTAATTCCAAGAAATTCGAGCCCAAAAAGGTTCCACAACCTCGGAAGTCAGCTCTGATTGCATGAGGAGGATTCCGACTCTCCATTCTGCCTTGGCCTATCCCGATTCACAAATGAGGCTGCGTTTCTGGGACCGCATACCTTGGTAGTCATCGAGCGAGTTGGACACAAAACACAGAACACAACCCCTAACGACCAATCGACTTACGTCCCGCAACCGTATCTGAATCATTTCGATCACATCATTAGGACGTGATTTGGATGGGCTGTGCTAGGGATTTCCCTCCCAACATTTTATCCCTAGCAATTATCGTCCCCGTCTCGTCTCTTACATACTTGATCATTCCTCCGTAATCGAGGTATTTGACGTATCCTACCGATTCGCCGGACCTAAACGTTCCCGGTTCTCGTCAAGGTCAAAACTAAGCCGCGCACGAGGACGTCAGACACAACATTTGAAGCAAACAGGAAAGGGAAAATAAGAAAAATAAACTGAGACCAGTTTTAAAAAAGCAAAGGACGCCTCTTAATCCTACCGTCCCGCTGATTGGGTCGGATTCCCCAGCCAAAAGCCGAAACAGGCTAACAGCTATATCCTCCCCAATTCTGACTGTGTGTCTACTGTGGTTGTGGTTGCAGCTCGCTTGCCATTCTGCCCATTCCAGTGCGTACCTGGGGTAGTTATTCAGACTGTCCCGTCACCCAAAACAACACTTACACAAGTTACCTGGCCGCAATTCTACAGTAACCTCAGGCAGGCTTTGTGGTCACCAGCTGGAGCCTTGTTTCCAATTCAATTCTCCATCATCATCCCGCCTATTCCTCCCGTTCTTATAATCAATTCCCAAAACCAACCTTATTTATTCCACCTACAACACCCATCCCCCGGTCCTCTCCAATCGGCGACCAACCACCATGAGGCCGCTACCCAAGGTCAGCCTGAAGCTTCTCAAGAAGCTGCTCTCGCGGCGAAGCACCAACGACGCTTCTTCCTCCTCTAACACAACAACCATCACCTCAGCCCATCAACAACATCAACACCACCACACAAACCCCCCCACCAACGCCACCACCACCGCCAAGAAGCCCGACATAAAGCAAAAACAGCGCATCCTCGCCCCCGAGCCCCCAGAAGAATGTCCCATATGCCACGACCCCGTCGGCCTCGCCAACCCCGAGGGCATAATCGAGTCCTGGACCTCACTGCACTGCGGCCACCGCTTCGGCACGCACTGCATCCAGACCTGGCTGCAGGAATCCATAAACCGCGACCAAACCGCCAACCCGTCGTGTCCGATCTGCCGCACGACTGCCAAACACCCGTGCGGCCACCTCATCTCACCACCGCCCTTCGCCTCGATGCACCACTACCCCAGCAGTCTCGACTGGACGGCTCCACGGCCCCCTCCTAGCCCGCCGCGCCACCAACAACGCCAGGTCCGCCGCCGCCTCACCCGGCGACCGGGGCATCCGCTTCGTCCGCCGCCCGCGGATCTGAATCGGCGGACTGCGCAGACGGTCGGCGAATGCCGCACCTGTGCCGAGAACGCGGACTTCGACGCGCGCATGCAGCGGATCCGCGAGCGCGGACGCCAGGCTACGGGGGACTCTGGGGTGAGCTCTGGGAGCCGCGGCGCTGCGGCGATCAAGGCTATGATACCCGGGTTGGGGTTGAAGAGATCGGGGGCGAATACGTTCCGTGCTACGGTGGTGCAGGTTGGGCTTGATCCGTTGGAGGGAGGGGGGAGACAGCGGAGTAGTGTTTTCTGTGGCGCGGCGACGAGAGGGAGGAGGGGGACGCCGCCGCCGGGGGGGTTTGGGAGACGGTTGAGTATTTAGGAGATGAGTGCTGGGGGGTACGTTTAGATGGATGTGATGGGGAGAAGCTAAGCAAAGAGAGAACAATGGCATGATGATAGAGTCTGGAGGGATAGATGGATGGACAGACAACCGGGTCGATATGGCCTCTCTTACGAATCTCTTCATGTATGGATGGTCTGGGTCTACAGCTGGCTGGATGGTACAACAGCTCGTTCATGAAGCTATGGAGTTCTTAGGCTAAGGTTCAGGTTCATCTTTAAAGGGGCTCTTTTCACTTTGATGATTATGGATTGTGTGTTATGGATCGCGATTGCATTAAGGGGTTCTAGGTACATGGTCAAGTAGGCAAGGACGGCCATGTCACGAATTTACTAATTTACTACATACGAAGTCTATGATGCTTCTTTCCCGAATTACCGCCTTATTTACGGAAGGCGTGGAAGGCGTGAAGGCATCTACGGCTGAAGCTGAAGCAATGATGATGATGGCGGGGTACTCCCACTCTCACTATTTCGTTAGGGGTTAGGATCCGGCGTAGTGGGGTGATAGTGTCAAGATGGAGGGGTACGATTTCCGTAATCTTTGGGTTTCTGGTCCCTAAACGGAAAGCTGGATGGGCTTCGATGGGGCGCCAGGGATAGCTTCGTTATACTTACCCCGCACTATAGACAAGCTAAGGATTAGGCATCTTGGTCTATTATCTTATCGATTAAGCTAATCCAATCGATGCGGTGACTTGGTGCTGACTTCTGACTTCCATGTGAAATCATTGGTTTAGACTTCTCATAAATCATATTTCAAACGTGCGTTTGCATCTGCATTGTTTGCGCGTCGTTTGTCGCGTGTTCTTATATGATAGAACCCTGTCGGACTCGTGCCGAGGACACGGCGCGTTGTAGCCTGAAAATGCGAAGATGAGGTTCAGATCGGATATCAAGAATATACGCACATTCTCAAGTGAGTTGAGAATAGCGCCATAAGCCCTATAATACGGACGTGCGTCTAATCTGACTAGAACTTGTCGCTGCCCTCTCGTCCCTTGAGAAGATTGCCTGGGTCCGTCTTGACGATGAGACCGTACGCTTCACCGTGATTCCGGATACCGGTTCACAAGTCTGGGCGTTCGTAACCCTTGGCTCTTATGTTAATATACTCCTTTCTAACACTTAAGGGGTAGCTCGTTTTCTATGGACTTCATATTCGACAATTATGCCTTACAATCTGCAGAGCCAAACAACACCATCAACCTTGAGCTTCCTCTAGGCCCTCTCCAGCGTGCCTTAAAGTCCGCTCTTAACGGCGTCTCGGCATCAATTCGCCTCACGAAGAAAGATGGAATTCCCGTATTATCCATGACCATCACCACAACCACCGCACCAAACAAGGAAGCTCAACCGCAAGGCGTAGCTCGTTTTGGCGGCGCCAACGCAAACGTCGCAGGTCTCCAATATAACGATGACGATGACGACGATGGCGTGTTCGCTCACGAGCCACTAGAAACAAACCTGCACCGCGAGCGCGAGAAGATAATCACACAGGACATCCCAGTGCGAGTCCTACACCCCGACACCGTCGAAACCATAATGCAGCCCAAAGTGCGCGAGCCCGACGTACACATCCAGCTCCCTCCTCTCCTGCAGCTCAAAGCAATCTCAGACCGCTTCACCAAACTCGCACTCGCCTCCCGCCCCTCCGGCTCCGCCTCCACCGCCTCGCCTAAACTCGAGCTCAGCGCAAACATGCACGGCGGCCTGCGTCTGCGTCTGAACACCGACACCCTCGACGTCGAGAGCATGTGGGCCGGCCTCGAGAACCCCGAGCTCGACCCCGCGCAGCTGCCTTGTCCGCTCGAAGACCACCCCAGCACGAAGTTCCGTGAGGGCGGCCCGGATAAGTGGGCTACGGTTCGTGTCGACGGCAAGGATTGGAGTAAGGTGCTTAGTGTGGGACGCTTGGAGGGACGCGTTATTGCGTGTTTTGCGGACGATCATGCGTTGATTATGTATGTTTATGTCCCGCAGTATGATGATACCGGCGCGGAGGACTCGGTTGTTACGGTGAGTTTGGTTTGCGTTTCCCCCTTGGTGTTTGCCATGGTGGCGGGGTTGTTTGTGTGTGTGTGTGTGCTAATGGGTTTTAGTATTATGTGTCCTCGTACAGTCTATGAGGATGGATATAAAAAGGGGATTCGGTGGGTGCTTGTCGTTTCGAAATCGGCAATGGTGTCTGGGTTTCCCGGGGTAAAATTGATTCATTCGGCGTATAGGGATGAGATTGTAGATGGGTCGATAAGTTTCATGGGTCTTGTCTGCTTGTAGCTTGCTTAGTTGCTGGATATACCGCTCATAGAGTAGAGGACGCAAGTCACAGCTATATAGGGGTTTAAATGAACCGAAATGAGAAATCATCCTGTTACTCCTGTGAGAGAGATGTTAATTCGAATGGGATTATAACTTGACTGTTTGTTTGAGAAATCTGCGGAGGGATTCGAGCGACTAGATTTAGTTGCGAGTTGAATTCACACGATCTATCTTCTCGAAGAACTCAGTCAAGCACCCCTTATCCATAGAGGAGCAACGCGATTCTATATTTTCCTTGCCTAATTTTACACACACAACGGTATCCTCATCATCACCCATACCCCCTAGCCTCACACCCATAAACCACCTCAAACCGCCCCTATAACTTAAGAACCATCCAATTCTCCCTCTCCCCACCCTCCTCCTTCTTCTCCCGCTCCTCCAAAACCCGCTTCAAAACTCCATCAACAACCCCCTGCATCTCCCCACCCCCAAACCACCTCTTCGGCCCCGCGTACGAGCCCACAAACCCGTCCGGCCCAGACACGAACACCAGGTTCGTACCCGGCTTCGCGGTCGGGTGGGCCGTGGTATAGCTCTTCGGCGCGGCGCGCGCACACGTGCAGTTTATGTTATACCGGCTTGCGTCATTCGCGTCGGGGAGTTTAGTCAGGAGGGTGGGGGAGTGCCATGGGCATGTTGAGGCTGGGGGGAGGAGGGGGGTGGATTCTCTAATAGACCGTGTGGGAGAAAGCGCGGAAGACTCTTCTGATGACTGGGTGCGTGAAGGGGGTGGTGGCGAGAGCGCAGCCTGTAAATCTTCCGCCCCGATAAACCCGCCCTCCTCATCCACAAAATACGCCACCCGGAAACGCTGCGGATGCCGCTCCCGCATCTCCCGCAGCTGTCGTGCCAACGACGCCTCCTCCTGCTCCACGGTCTCCCGCCTCTCCTTCCGGTCCGCGGTGTCCCCTCTCAGACTCTTGACCCACCCTTGCACCGTCCCCTGCGCTCCAGACACTTCCCCCCGCCCCAGCGCGTCTGTGGAACGCCGGTTCGCCCATAGGATCGATACATACGGCTTTTCCTCCTCCGGGACGGGTGTTTCAAGCAACTTTGCCGCGACTTGCAACGCGGGCGCAATACCCGTTCCACCGGCGAGGAACACGACGTTAGAAGCGGAGCCGAGACGTTTCTCTACGTCGAAGCTGGGGTGCGGGCCGCGGAGGTGTACTTGTGAACCGGTGTCTAGTTTGCTGAGGTACGTGGACATCTCGCCGCCGTCCAGTTTCCGGATTAGGAAGCGGAGTTCCGCCTCGTCGTTGCTGGGTTCGCTGGGTAAGGGGGTGTAGTGCCGTGCGATTTGCAACTGTGGCTGCTTGGTTTCGACGGACCAGATGCCGTGGGCCCAGGCGTCTTTAAGTGAGGCTGTGGAACCTGGTTTGTTTTCTCCTGGGGAGGAGTCCCCGGCGCGCACGGTGATGACGAAGGCGGTGGGTGAGACTTGCTCTTTGGAGGTTATGGTGAAGGGGCTGAAGGAGGATGTGTTAATGACGGGGTTCTTTTCCGTGGGCGCGCTTTTGAGGACGATGGCGAGCATGATGACGGCGCTGAGGCCGGCGAGGTTGAAGAGGATCCATGTCTTGTATTGTTGGCCGCGCCCGGGGTGTGGTCCTGGGTGTTGTTGTGGTTGCTGGGCTCCTGGTGGAGGATTCTGGGGTGTGGTGTTTTGGCGGGCTGAGAGGACTGAGAAGGGTTGTGTCCTAGGAGAAAGGATGCGGGATGAGATTTGGTGCTGGTTTCGTATGGGAAGTGAGTGAGGTCTAAGACAGGCTGTTCGTGAGCCGGAGAGAAGACTCGGTCTCGCCCGGCCGGCGCATCTTGCTGCTAATGAGATATTCATAGATGTAAACTCATTATTATATATAAAAGAATTTATTTGACATCAAAAAGCTCGGTTTTGACTTCGTCTGTATGAATTGGCTTGAATTAGTCTTGAAAGTGAATTTTGAGAAACAGAGGATTTAGTTATCAAATGAAAATTAATAGGTTGCCAGCTGGTGACGGCCGCGTTTTAGTCATGCCAGGTGTGGATCACCTATTTATGCCAGCGCCTCTGGAAAGAGGTAGTTTTTTGTTCCTTGGAATATTTGGTTTCTAGTGATAGACGAGGGACTAGAAGCAGTAGGGAATAAGTGGTATCTATGAATACTAGGTAGGTAGTGGGCTTGGTGATTTTTATGTTGTAAATTATGAAGACGACTTCTAAGATAGTCATGGCATCTACAGTGAGGTGCCAGACCAGTGCGGACGCCCCATATTTTCATATATTGCCGATATAACAGCTAAAAAAATATCTCTTATTATCATTACTCAACAACGTCTTAAACTCAAGAGTTGAGTAATTAATATTAATCAATTGCTTAAGGAATTATTTAAATCTTATTCTAGCTGAGATTCTAGTAGAATTGAATGAGGTAGAATAGATAAAATCCTAGTTGCTGTTATGTCAATAACAGAGGTAAATATGGGGCGTCCGCACTGGTCTGGCACCTCACTGTAAATACCCCCTTGAGAGTCGTAATTTTTCTATTCCGTTTCATTCCAAGCAAGTTTCTCATGAGTCGGGGAGTTTGATCGTGAATAATCATACAAGACCGCGAGTCTATCGTATCGTGATAACATCGCAGTGTTCCCACATATATAACATCTATATTCTAAGGATCTCTCCCTTTTGATTGATCCCTCCTCTAAAATGGTCGGCGATAACATTGCCATTTAAAATGGTCTCCTTAATGACCCCCTCTACATGTTTCGGGTCTATCCTACCGTACCAGATTCCATGGCCGGCTAAGGGGTGTTCGTTACCCGCGCTGTTCTTTAACTTTGGCGGTAGGTAGATAATAACATTTCCGGCATACTTGTGACCGCCGATATGGCTGATCTGAGCAATTCTTGCCGTGTTCTGTGTTTGTGTTTCTGATGTAGTGCCAGAGAGTTGCGGTGCAGTGATACCTTCGTCAAGTGCCGGCCCTTGAAGGACGTCTATTCCCGCCCGAGGTAATTGTCTTTCAAATTCCTCTTGCAAGATGGGTCCGTAGATACCACATCTCTTGTCCCGCTCTCCATGCCCGCATATTAGAACGAGAACGTCCTCTACATCGCGCACTCCGTATAGTAATTGCTGATACGTCTCCTTCCGTGTTAATCGGTCCTTATGTATCGGGGATAATCCATCATTCATCGGATGTAACTTCTCCGGCAGTAAGTAGCCCTTTACTAAGGCTTGTACGGAGTCGAATGACACTCTTGGGAGGAACGGGATGTATTTGAAGCTGGGGACAAGGTAGACGGATGACGTCTGTACCTCCGGTCGTCTAGAGATCGCAGAGGGGAAGGAAGCGTTTACGATAGAGACATTATGGAATGGCTATAAAATCACTAGGCGTTAGCACAATATCATATTTGGAACCAAGTCATAGAACTTACGTCGCTGTAAACACCTCCTCGACCGATCAGCTCTTTCAAGTCCGCAGCCAAGTTATCTCCGCTGTTATCCTCCTCTATCCGCGACGACCAATCGTCCTTGCCAGTGCATATCAGAACCTGTTGCGCATATGACGCTATGAGGCCATTTAGATTAGCGCTCGTATCAATACCCTTTCCCCAGGGCATCGATGGCGTATCAGCGCAATCGCAGGTCGGCTCAGGGCATTTCGGGACCGTATTTAAACATCGCCGCGTGGCTATCGGGATTCCGATGTTCGTTCGTCTTCTAGATGCGGCGCGCCTCCACGCTCCTCTGGCTAACGGTCGCAAAGACATTGAAATGATAAAACAGGATCGCGACCTGTCATAGAACAATTATCTCTAGTAATAGCCATGTCAGCTTAAAGGATGATGGAAATTTGGTCGACTCGACTTTTGTAATAGGTGTGCTGCGGTTCGTTTGTTAATTGTCTCCCGAGTTTCCGGTTGTACTGTGTGTAGCTCCGAGCGTCGGAGTTACGGAGTTACGAAATCGGTTTATTAGTAATCGCTCTTGCCCTTGAAAGTGATTGGATACCAGGTATTTTCTCTCAAGTACAATCCATCAAACGCGTACCTGCCCTCGTAGTCGCCTTTGAAAATAAGTTCAATAAAGGTTGTCTGATGTCTGATTGTGGTGGGAAAGAGCTATTCGTTCTTGGAATAATTGGCCGATGTGCTCTTTTCATTTCTCCCATCGGTCCTAGGATTCGTGCTTGGCTTAACAAGTCATGTCCTCTCCTCTCCCCCTTACCCCCTTTTCTACTTAGTTATTCGTTACCACTACTCCAATTACTTTATCAACAATGTCTAGGCGCCCGGCCGAGTCATTTGGATAGAGATGGATCTTATAGAGATGACCGTGGCTATCTTATTCCTCCACCGGATCTGAGCGCCTGATTACAATTGACGAAGTTCGGCGTTGCACTACCTTGAGCAACTGTTGAGATATTCACAATGGCATCTAAAATAGCAATTGGAATCGACTACTCACGCGGAACGGTCGAGGTTCCTACCACGTCCGACTTTGGCCTCTACCAATTAATGTATAGGTAAAGACGTAATGCTAAGTCTGACATTTAATCTAGATAGGCGGCGAGTCTATGACGTCGGAGGTTCGATGGAAATACGTCGGAACAGAGAACTGTTACGTACACCATGGAGTGTCAGAAAAAGTTCCATATGCACGTTACATCGTTAATGCGCATGGCTTTGGCGATAGGCCAGGAGAGGGGTATGGGGAGTATTAACCACCAACGCCATATGCAGTTGGATGATGATTCCTGTGCCCTAAACAGGAAGCTATCTAGTTGATTATAGGTAGTGACTTAAGCATAAAAGGATGCTTCAATCCGGTGGGATTAAAGGGTAATTCTAGAAGGTTACGCAGATTCTGACAAGTTATAATACTGAATACGGGCTTACCTATCTAGTAAGCTATGCAGTCTGGGGAAGAGACTCGTCAAAATGTCGAAGGCGGAATTGAAACTGAGGGACTTACCAATAATCCGTTGACTCACAACGACCTATCTGAGAGAATTGACCCTATCACGGTACTTGAGGCTTCACCCACAGGGCGCATATACAGCTATGGGACGGAAAATGGGCTGGTGCATTTATTTGACTTGCATCAAGACAGACTTTTCAAAACCCTTACATCTCAAGACTCTCTGAGCATCGAGCAGATAAGCTGGAGCTATGATGGAAAGTACCTCTGCTTCTCCGACACTGACCGAATGGTCTTCATCATATCGGTAACTACGGACGACAGGTCTCCAGAGCTGGTTGTGGTAACCAAAGCAGAAGTTTCAGTAAGGAATATAACGAAAGGGCCGATTACGCAATTGCTTTTCCGACCTGATTTGAGTTGTCTATTGGTATCTACCTCAAACACTGTCCATACCATCTCGCTCATATCATTCTCAATAGTTCACTCAGCTGAATTGAGGATTGCTGAATGCAAGTGGATTGTTCACCCTCAGAACCCAGAACTAATCATTGGATTCGGCCCTGAACATACACAGGTTCTGGGCTGGGACTTAATTGAGAAGCAATTCTATATTACATGGCTAGCGGGTTCCTCAGAGCAGCTGAAAGTTGATCAAGTCATCGCCACTCAAGATAAAAGACACATACTAGTCCAAAAGTCGCATCGGGACAACAATGTGACTGAAAAAGGTCACCATTACTTCGAAACGTCTAAGTTATCAACGCCTTCACCGTTGAGAGTTCCAGCCGTATTGCCGCAAGACATATCATCTGAGATCGTTCTTCCATTGTCATTCCAGTCAGACAATCGCCTCATATTCCTTTCTAGAAACTTCTCCATCTGTTCTTGGAAGATTCCTTCAGACTCGGGCAGATTCATCGTTGCCTCAAGACCTAGACCTAACAACAATATAGACACCCCGACTTCATCTGCCTCGAGTGTTACCCCTGAAAAGGAGTTTGAGGAGCTTTTCTCATTGCCATGGGACTCTACTAGCAGAGATAATCTCTCTCTGTGCGCTGTATGGGGAAAGGAGAAGTCTTTTCTCTACCCGAGAAATGGGGAGGTGGTTGTTGTTCGATGTGAAGTTCTGGGTTGATGCCTCTACAATATTAGACTGTGCGCCAAAGTATCCTCTTCCCTGCCTATGTGGGGTAATATACACATATTATGGTAGGTGAAATGCCGGTTGTGGAACATAGGGGATAGTTCTGATTACCTCATTCCGGTCACAGCAGCTTATGTAATCTGATCTAAGGGGGGTGTATGCTTAAGAAGTTGACCAAGTATTGTCCAAGTCTCCTAAATAACAGTTCACAACTCACGTTACCATGTTGAAGTTGATCCTAATAGAATTTCTAGTTAACTCATGAATAGGGGGACTTCAGTTGGAATACCACCACTACCATGACATCTGTTGGTCACAAATTAACAATGATAGAACACTCACCAAATCCTCCGTGTGCCCCCTTAAATAAACAGATAAAGACTTAACAGAATAGAACATATATGGATATTACTCCTGTTGTCATGTTTATCTTTGAGTTATGTTATATGATCATGTGCTTTAAGCATAAAAAGGGGAAACTGGAGTTAAAAGGGGTAAACAAGAACATGATCCTATCAGCTTTAACCAATAGACTGAATTCCCTCTCTGTGACTATCATTCCCCCACCAGAGACAATGACATGCCTATGAATATTTATCCCATAATGTTGTATCCATAACGCAGTCGTCGTCGCCTCAAAGCTGGTCATGACGGCCGCCAGCATACCCCTGAGACGAGTCTAATTAACCAGCTTCATATCGAGCAGACTCTTCAAGTCAGCGCCGTAGTCAACTCTGTATCAGCCGCTTTCTACGAGCCGCGACTCCAGTATAAGCCGCATAGTTTATCTTACTAGGTACTCATCTACCTCCCCACCATCCAGAGAATTCTTCTTGTCCTTTACATCCCACACCTCAAACCCTCTCACAAAACCTTTCCTCCTCATCTCCCAAATTTCCTCACTCACAACAACCAACTTGCAACTCGCGCAATCTTTCATCATGAACGCTTTACAGCGAATCTGCCCCGTTCACGGCGATGGCATCGCCTTCATCCGCGACCCTCCCCGTCCCTTCCTCCCGCGCGGATCCTTCCGCTCGCTCATCCGCTGGATGTATTTCTCGTGGGTCTTCGGTGCCGTCTCTGTGGGCGTCGTGACCTTCTTCCATATTACCGGTTTGGTGTACCCTAACCATGGCGTGTTCTCGATCATCCCTAAGCTTATCGCGGAGTCAGACGAGCCTGTTGTGCGCTTCAAAGCAATTGTTGTTGTGATGCAGGTATTGGTATACCTCCGTTCGGGTAAGTTCTGGTTTATTTCTTTTATTGATACCTATAATTATTGCTGCCTGTGACGTTCTTTTTTAACGTCAATCTCTGTTTCGATGTATGGACGACACCCCACCTCATCGCATGTGGTGTATTAGTTGATGGCTTGATTACTTTCAGATTCCAGCAGAACTTGAGACGATATTCAATGATTCAAATGCTAACTCCGGGATCTAGTCATCGTCACTACTCCTTCGTTCATCGGCTGTCTCAACATCTCACGCCCCCAACCCATCTTCCGAACCTGGGTGGGTGCCTTTCTTCACAGCGCCTCAGCAGTGGCAACGTTCGTTATGTCCATGCAGATTCTGCCTGGCGCGTGGTTCCTGTCGGTCAAGCTAGCCACGCAAGAGCATGATTACATGCTTCAGCTTCAAGGAAAGGCCGTCCCGGTCGCACGCTTCGTTTCGGCAACTGTGATCGCGGTCTTCATGCTGAACCAGATCATCTGCGCCTACCTCATGGCTATCATTTCGTTCGCCCAGATAATGCGCGCTAGAAATGTCACTGGCTTTGAGATAATCGGCGTCGTTGTCTTAGGTTATCTAGTGTTGCCGCGAGCCTATGTAAATCAGTAGATTCCTTACGGGAATGATTCGGCGGACAGTTTACTTCTACGGTTACGGCTCATGGTTCACGGTTTAACGGCTTCACAACACGACCCAATCCATACGTCGACGGTTTCAATCAAGGATGGAATGGCTGATAGAACTTCGTGTTGATTTCAAGGGGTGACGGTCTTTCTCTGTACGCGATGAAAGCATGGCAATGGAATATTCCATCTCGGGAAAGGCATGGGAATGAAAAGGGGCAAAAAGGTCTACTTTTTCTGTTAACGGTTACTTTGCTCAATCAATCAAGTCCGAATGTTGATTTCTCATGAATGGAATGACGTTACATGCGTGATGACCCCTAATAATACTCCATCCAACCAAACATCGTAGCCCTGACTTTACTATTCGGGCAGGTGGCCAAGACCTGGTAGCTTTGACCTATCACATGCGATCCTTCGGTAAGTGATTGGTAAATATAGATCAGTATCGCCGATCGCCTTTCGTCAGTAGATCATTTATTAACATGAACCCCTGGATTAACTAAATATGTTCAAGATGATTGAGAGCTATCCTTCGAATATCTAGTCTTTTTGGGGCAGAACGAGCCATCTTCGCGATGAAGTCCACTAACTTCATAACGGCTATCGCGACCACTCTGGGCATCGCAGCTACCGCTGCCGCAGCAGGGACAGCGGGTTGTGGCAAAAGCCATCCACTCCCTAACATAACACAATACTTCGGCCTCACTAGCAGCGGGCGATACCGAAGCTACTCGGTCCACCTCCCGGCTAACTATAGCGAAACAACGGCATACCCAGTCGTTCTAGGATTCCATGGCTCAAGCAGCGTCGGGCTGTTCTTCGAAGCAGACACCAAGATGAGCGAGGCCCGGTTCAGCGGTGATGTACGTGACATATCTACCCATGATACCCAAATCACGAACCAACTGTTAACACACCTAGAAAATAATGGTCTACCCCAACGGCGTAGACGTAAGTCATCCCCCTCCCATTCTTATAACCCAAGTAACTAAACCCCATAAAGGGCGCCTGGGCCGGAGCGAACTACTCCGAAGTATCAGTGCCGGAGGACCTGCAATTCGTATCAGACCTGCTCGACGCAGTGCGGGACTCGTACTGCGTCGACGACAGCCGGATCTACGCCACGGGGTGAGTCCCCCTTCCATAAAATCCACTGGGCAGTCTAGGTATAGCACTAACAGGTAGGCTCCAGGATATCCATCGGCGGCGGCTTCGTCAACACAATAGCCTGCAGCGCCTTAAGCTCGCACTTCGCCGCCTTCGCGCCTGCCTCCGGGTCTTTCTACACGGACAACGACGCGGCGCACGGAAACTGCACTCCGGCACGCACTCCCATCCCCGTGCTCGAGATCCACGGCGGCGCGGACGCTAGTGTGTTTTATGCCGGGCGCGCGGGCGAGGGAGGCGAGGAACCGGGTATTGAGACGTGGTTGGGGTGGTGGGCTATGCGGAACGGGTGTGCTGATGGGGGGAAGACGGTTGAGGAGAGCTTTGGGGGGGATGTGGTGCATGTGAGTTGGGGGTGTGGCGGTGTGCAGGGGGGGTTGCAGCATTGGAAGGTTGAGGATATGGGTGAGTTCATTTTTTAACTGTCTGTCTCATGGTTGGGGTCTCTCCTTTTGTGGAATTGTCGTTTGCTGATGATGTGTGTTGCGGATAGGACATTGTTGGGCGTCGACTGAGATCAACTTCTCCCAGATTTCGGTGGGGGAGGGACCGACGCATATACAGGCTTCGCAGATTATTATGGAGTTTTTTGATCGGTTTACTAAGCCTTGAAGGAGGTGGGGTATTGGTAATATGGTCTTGCGGGATGGCACTGGATATACAGCTGTGTAATATTCTGTAAATATTGAGACGGGTTGGGAATCGTCGTATGTCTGGCTTAAAGATGCGATGAAGGCTATGATTCCATAGCGTGCACATAAAAACGAGACCTGTGCCCGAAGAACTTGCTTAGAGACCGGTATGAAGGTTAAACGGAGCGGCGAATAAACACAGCTCTGCCATGCCCACTACCCCTAATGAGAACCTCAACGCCGTCGACCTTAGCGTTCTCCGGCTCGTCATCATTTGCGCTCATATCGGGCCAATCTCTCCAGATTTCGATTTCAGCGCTCTCGAACCGAGTCCGCGCCATCTGCACCACGCGAAGTCCTTGCGCCAAGTCGCCAACCTCGAGGGCGATGAATCGCGACCGGAGAGCCTTGGCGACGTCTAGTATTCTAGCGTAGAAGATGTCTTCTGGCTGGCATTCGGGATATAATACGGCGTTTGCTGATGGAGCAGGCACCAAAGCGAGCTTAGGCTCGTACTTGCGCACCGAACGCTCTGTGTCGTGGTTGAATCCCCGGGTAGAAATATACGGCGGATTAGAAACCAGTATATCCACCGCGCCTACTCCTTTCCCGAGTTCATACCGCTCAAGGAGCGACGACAGCCACTCCGCAGAGAAGATATCCGCTCTCTCAAACCCGACACCCTCCCCTACATTCGGCAGTAATCCAAGGCGCGTATTATACGCCAAATTCTCCCTCGAAAGCGCAAGAGCCCTCGTCTCAACATCAACTCCCCGAACACTCAATCCAGGGAACCGCCGTCGCAGAAGCGAGTACATCAACAGCGCAATACACCCGGACCCCGTACACAGATCCAGAACCCTCAACCCCTTCCCCCTTTCAACATCCCCACGCACAATATCCGCAACCCGCAGAACCCAAGCCTCAGTCTCAGGCCGAGGTATCAGCACGCCGGGCCGGCATTTAATCTCCAAATCGCCGAACGGCTGCGTGCCTAGGATATACTGAAGCGGGACACCCGCGCCTCTCTTCCGACACAAGTGTCCTAGCAATAAGTCTTGCTCTAGCGCTCCTGGTTTCCTGCCGACTTGGGTTTTATGGGTTGGGGTAGGTAATGAAAACTTTTTAACCACATACTCGCGAAGCCATCGCAGCTCGTTGCGCGCCGAGCCTAGGTCCCTACACACGGGGAGCAGTGCGGCGAGATGGGGCGAGGTGCGGTGGGCGCGCCGGAGTAGAGACGGCGGCAGGCGGGGCATTCGCCTGGTCCGGATTGGATTACTGGGTTTTAGGTCCCTGAGGAGCGGGGTTGGTGTAATCTGTTCTCTCGCCTGGATGTTGAGCTGGAAAGGTATTTTGGGATTTCGAGGTTTGCGGAAAAGCGCTGCAAATGACCCACTATTTCGGAGAGTGGGCATTTTGGTTGGTTGGAGGAAAATATCATGTCTCCTTTTCGAACCTCTTTCACTCTGAGCATAAGGACTATTGTATAGGGAGCGGTAGACACTATAAGCCTCGAGAATACGCATCTAGTTAAGCACTGAGCCGGGTATCTTCTCGTATCTACCTACGCCCCTATATACCTACCCAACACCCCTTTTATTGTACCTCTCCTCTACCTCCCCTTCACCTTCGGAACCACATAATTCATAACCGCCCCCCCTTTCACCGAGAACACCTTCCGCGCCATCATGATATCATTCTCGCCCACCAACTTCCCCCTCGCCTCCTCGGACTTAAGTATCTCCCCCCTAACCCAGTCGAGAAACTCCTCACTCCCATCCGCCATCCCAGCCGGCTTCATCGGTATCTCAACCACGCACCTCAACTTCCCATTGACCTGAACCGCGCAATTAATCCGGCTCGGACCGAGGTGTCGCAGGGAGTTATCCGGCGCGGGCCAGGAATCGGCGAAGACACTACCACCACCTGGCTGCAGAATACTCCAGCATTCCTCCGCGATCGCGGGTGTGATCGGCGCCATCATGCGTATAAGCAGCAACGCAGCCTCGCGTTTAATCACATCGGAGGTAGAATCTTGGTTTTTAATAATGACGTTGGTGAGTTCCATCAAACTAGAAACGGTAGTGTTCATCGAATACACCTTTTCAATCGCATTAGTCACGGAAATAATCGTGTTCTGTGTCGCGCGCCACACTTCCGCATCTGCAGCCCGTTGTGACACGACATTCTTATCATCTGTTTTTTGCGACCCCGCCTTCACTTCTTTTTGAAAGTACGTTTCACCATTGAATGTGGTGGCGTTTTGTATGTCTGTTGCTTTGGGGACTTTTTGGATGAATTCGAAGACGCGTCGTAGCCACCTGATGACACCTAGGATTTTATCCTCGTCCCAGTTCAGGACTTCGCCGACGGGTGCTTGGAAGAGGATGTGCGCTCTGGTGGCGTCGGATCCGTACTTGGCGATGAATGTAGTTGGGTCCACGCCGTTGTGTTTCGATTTTGACATTTTCTCGAATGAAACCGTCGCGGTCTTTCCTGATGCTGTTACTTTCGGTTTGGAGAGATCTGAGAGATCGACTTCGTCCGGTTTTAAGAAGCGCCCGCTATCGGGGTCTGAGTATGTCTTTCCGTGCACCATACCTTGCGTTATGAGTCGCTTGAATGGTTCTTTTGATGGATCTACAGGTAGCCCGAGAAGGTCTACAACAGCTTTATATATGAATCGAGCGTAGAGGAGGTGAAGAATGGCGTGCTCGACTCCGCCAATGTAAACATCAACAGGGAGATAGCTTTTGGCTAAGGTCTTGGAGATAGGTGCTTCTGAGTTGTGGGGATCCGGAAACCTCATATAATACCAGCTGGAATCTACGAAAGTATCCATCGTGTCGGTGTCCCTCTTAGCGGGGCCGTGACATTTAGGACAAGAGGTGTTGACCCAATCCGTCGCAGTCTCTAACGGGTTTCCGGCACGACCATCTTCCCAATGAGCGTCTACTTTGGGCAGGGTGACCGGCAATTGATCATCTGGAACAGGTTGAGGTCCGCATGTAGAGCAGTGCACGATAGGGATTGGTGTCCCCCAGTACCTTTGTCTACTGATTAACCAGTCTCGGATTCTCCATTTGGTACTGCTCTGTGCGAAATTTGATGCATTCTTGATCTGGTGAATGATTTGCTTCGCAGCATCGCTAGAGAGCATCGTGGAATACGAGCCAGTTAGGGGGGTACAATATCCGGATTCTAGATAAGGGCCGTTTTTGAGGCTTTCGGTAGACCCATCGGGCTCCGGCGAAACGGCATACTTAAGAGGTATCTCGGGGCAGTGTCTTTGCCAGAATGCAAAATCTCTCGCGTCATGGGCAGGAACTCCCATAATTGCCCCGGTCTCGTAGTCTCCTCGGACATAAGGAGCAACGAAGACGGGAAGAGGTGATATGTTCTGTTCTGGGGCTTGTGTCGAAAGGGTGAGTGGGCTGGTCGCCTTTAGCTGCGATATTTGATATCCTTCTGTAGTATCTGGAGGTAGGTCCTTAACGCGTTCTAAAAACTCTTGTAGCTTCGAATCATCTTGCGCCATCTGTTGTACTATGGGTGATTGAGGCGAGAGAGCGATAAATTGGGCGGCATATATAGTTTCCGGCCTTGTAGTGTATATCTTTAGCCAATTCTTATCCGTTTCGTCGTTCTTGCTGCAGGCGAAGTCATAATAAGCGGCCTCAGTACGTCCAAGCCAGTTCTTTTGCATAGTCAAGACTCTCTCGGGCCAAGCCTCGTCTACACTTAGCTTGTTCAGATCTTCCAAAAGCGATTCCTGGAATTTGGTTATGTGGAAGAACCACTGTTCGAGCTCACGCTGGACAATCTTCGCGCCTGATCTCCACGACCGGCCGTCCGCGTCGACTTGCTCGTTTGCCAACACTGTCATGTCTACAGGGTCCCAGTTTACAGTCGCCTTTTTCTGGCTTACGAGTCCATGCTTATGAAGGAGTAGAAATATCTTCTGGGTGTGCTTGTAGAACTCTGGGTCACAGGTTGCGAATTCCTACATGGCAATTAACATGCGGTGCTCTATTATGTAATGGTATATATGAACGAACCCGCGACCAATCGAAACTCCCATTCATACACTCAAGCTGCTCTTTCATACGAGCAATATTGTCCCTTGTCCATACGGCCGGATCAATGCCACGTTCAATTGCTGCATTCTCAGCAGGCAACCCAAAGGCGTCCCAGCCCATTGGTAGTAGCACATCATGACCCTGTAGCCTTCGAAATCGAGCGATAACATCGGCAATGGTATATACTCGAAGATGTCCGAGGTGGAGATTGCCAGAAGGATATGGAAACATGGAGAGGATATACATGCGATCGTTGGAAGATTCATGTCTCAAGTCTTCGACCGGCTTGGAGCTCTCTCCCCGCTTTGGTATTGGCCGACGCCATTTTCGGTCTAAGGCAGGCAAGTCGAGCTTCGTGGTAGCATATGATCGCCGGAGAAGAGAGGCTTGCGGGCTCGCAGACCAAAGGCTCACAAACCTCAATTGCGGTCTCGATTGACCCGCGATCTTCCTTGCGACGGAATGCATCGGGCTACTCGCATCGTCGCTATGAAATGAGCGTACTGGGTCAAATACCGCAAGCGTTGTGAGCTTTGCGAATAGCTTCTCGTAGCAAAGTACGTGGGTATTTTCGGATTTTGGATTCAATTTTCTGGAAATAAACTTGATTGAAAATACGTAGTTATTACATAAACAGATTTATCGATAACGAAAGGGGAATTCTGCTTAGTCATATATCCCCTTTTCCTTACTAATCAATTACTTTCTATTAGATGATAGATCCATACATTCAATAGTTTCTCAGCACATATAATCCTGTCGAACTGGTCCTTTGCTATTCATTACGTACATATGTAGGCGTTTCAGATATATTCTTTGATAATTGGCCAATCACGGCAACAAATCTTTATAAGAGACGGTTGCACTCAAGAGGAAATAGGAAATGCACAAATATAATAGTATCATATTCAATTTACGTCATACTACGATGCGACGGTTTCATCAGGATGGAATACTCACCCCTTTCTTAATCGGTATGGGCGCCTGGCTCTGAAACTTTCTCCTTGCGTTCTAAATAGATACGTCCACCCTCTGTTCTACACTCGTACTCGTCCAAGTTTATATATCCATTATTATCTCTTGGAAAGTCTGTATCGTCTGTGTCGTCTGAATCACTCAAAAAATATCCTTCGTCGCCGGATCCATCGCTGGTGGAAGGTGACGGGGGGCGAGCAGCCCTAAAGATAATATCCGTATTTTGAGCCACACTAGCCAACTCTTCTGCTTCAAGAGGACAGTAATACGTGATCTCTTCTTCAACTCTATCTATAGGTTCGTAGGCCATGAATATCGCCTTGCAAGCATCGTCAATGTCGCGACGTGTCCGATCGGGACGTTCCTCGTCAACATGAACGACGGCTAGCAATTGCAGTGCACGGATCATAGACTCCGTTGTCTTGTAAATCAGGACAGCCCACCGTATTAACATTTCAGGAGAAACACTATGATTGGTCATATCACGAAGTGCGCCATCGATTTTATGTACAATGCAACTGTACTCTTTGAAGAGATGTAAGTATTCCCTAGATAGTCCAGGAGCCTGGGTTGAGTCGGAGTCCTTGGGCTTTTCAAATAGCTCGACGAGTTTACTTTCTATCGCGGATGCCTCGAGGATCATCAATTGGATGTGACGGGGCAGATTTTCGTATATGATTTCGCGACGGAAGATGTGCTTCAGGTTTGCCGTACATTGCGTGGTAGGGTGTTCTTCGTTTGCAGAGCTTGAACTATTAGAAGACATTTTGATTATGTATTAGCATTTGATAATTTTACCATCAAAATCCTTCGGTTGATGGCGCATTTATATATTCGTGGACGGAATAATACTGACCATCTATTTCTCAGAAACTTCGCGTAACAATGCTATTGTTCGCGTACGAACTAAGTCGTTTGAGGAAGATGCCTAGGTACTTATTTTGGAAGTATTAGGAAGAAGTTTCTTTGTCTCGGATAATCTATGGTAGTTATTGTACGTCAAGACAAAGGAAATACCAACAGAATTAACAATGTGAGTGGGATACGACATCAGTGCATTGTTATGTGTCCCGAGACTCTGGTCCCGCGGGCTCCCATACGACAGTAGGAATTCTAGTGTAGGTATGTAAGGGGAATACATTCCTTCGAAGGATTTATTTATTTCCCGTAGGCTGCTGCAGATATACCAACACAACTGACCCAAGATATTGGTACCCAATCGTCACAGTTGAGGCAGATAAATCCCGAAACCCGCTGTAAAAGGTAATTGCTCCCCATACCCGGAGAAAATTGTGTGAGAACGTTATTGTGTAATTTTTTAAGTCGTTCTATCTGCACTAGTAACTGCCCGATGGCTGGCCATTCTATCGAGACTTATCATTGTAAATTTCTGCCTCCCTTCGTACGCGCCCCTTTTCTACTAGTACCCCTTTGCGGTGAAATAATATCACATGCCAACCGACACTTTAAACCTCAAGGTATCTAAGGGGCTAAGTATCAAGAGTAACCAAAATCAAATAATTTGCAAGTATGACAGGCCACAGCTCGTAAGGGGTCAAAATGTCCGGGAATAAGCTTCACGATTAAAGGATACCAACTCCGACATGGATGTCCTTGAAGTCGAATATGACCTGTGTGGCTCAGCATCGTATTTCTGTTTACGAAAGTCTCGATCATTACCATTTAAGCATAGCTTATTCGAGACGATGAAGCTATAGCAAATAGAACGTATCACCTAGTATACTAGTATAATGCGTCTTTATCGCCCGTCCTCCTTTCATTGGTTCTACGACGCGAGAGCTCCGCCGCGGTCAGACACTCTCCACCCGGGCTTGAGTCGGAGCCCTTGTCGCCCACTGAATAACCGGAGAAGCCGCTCCGACTACGAGCAATAGGGAAAAGTGTTGACGGGCTATCCCGAAGTTGACAGGACGCTTGCGGTCAAAATATCAAGGTATTGTTTAGTGTACAGTAGTGCAACTTTCTATCAGTTGGCGGTCTTGAATTTGAAACCGCAATTGAGGGGGTTTACACCTGTATATTTGCCGTAGTTTTCGACTATTTCAAGATCTCCTACTCTGATAGAAATCCTTACAGATTGAAGGAATCCCGAGAAATTAATCGGCCAATAGGGTTTTCTCCGACGCGCTTGGGAAACCCTTTCGGATATGGAGGACCCGCCCAGCCGCCGAGAACTGTCGTGAATCAGGATCTGCATAAATGTAACCCGCATGAATTTTCAGCTTCATTACGCGTCCCCCAGTCGCGGGTCTTCTTTGCCGCTGAGATGGCCCTGCTAGATTATGTACATACTGTACATAGTACTGATGTTTCTACCAAGGATTAGATCATCGTGGTAGGACGTTCGTTATGTACGCATTTGATAAGCCACTCGGATTGGATGTCATACGGACCTGGTGGGTCGACTCTAGCTGCTGGCGCCACATGAGTCTGCTGTCAGGTTCGGACCCGACACCATGGGTTGGCATGCTCCGCTGATATCCTTGATTAAGCGTGTATCAAAGCGATCAAATCGGTTCTTGATTTGAGATATAATTGATCTCGCTGATATGACCCAATCGAGACCATTCATGTTATGATTGAGCCAGTTTTCTGGTTGGGTGGGTATTAAATAATTTGAGGCTATCCCGACCCACTGAAGACCCATTTGGCTTCGTAGTCTGATGTTGAGCCTGGTATGTAAATAATATTTACTAATAACCTAGACTTTTGGATGATCAGTCCCTTGTCACAAATCAGCACAGCCGTTTCCGCGACCTTGTACTAACCCTATGAAGTTTGGTACGGATAAGAACTCAAAAAGATTCAGGGGCAAGCTCGGGGTTTGAGTCCCAATCTATTTTATCAGATGGTCGATCAAGTCAAAGCTTGAAAGTCGTCGAACATGGTACGCAATTATTTCCTTTGATTTGCTAGACAGCTATGTGGAGAGATGCTGAACAGATCACCCACTAGCGTAGTTTATCTACCAGTAACTATCCAACATTATGTACATACCTAAAAAACTTTCAATATCCCCGTCTTCGCGACATGTGGGCCAACAGGAGTCTGACAATAGTCCCTGCAAGACTGAATGTCGTTTGTTATCATATCCCTGGTTGTAGGGGACTAGGGGTTTATGTACGATGCATACCCGCATAGATTCTTTAGTAATTGCTTATTAAATTCGTGTCAAGGTAGTATTGCTAGTGATGAAACTTACACATCGAAAAATCGTCGGTAAGCGAACCGAACCATTGCACGTACTTATTATTGGCTTATACTGAAAGAAGCTAAGCTGCGGCATACTCGACTTGTCAGTGATATAAAAATCCCCTAGTTAGTGAATGGTACAATTACCTTGTGGGGAGAGGTCGCTATTATGAACTAAATGCTTAGTGAATTGTGTGACAGGCGGACTAGGAGAATTTTGTTAACTAGCACGTTAAAAACCTGGAAGACATTGAGTTAATAGAGGCAACTTTTAATGCAGATATCTTATCATACGAGCCAACGTTATATTCAACATAGGTACACTTAGCACCACAATTTTACAACCTAAGTTAAATACCTATAATAATATTCATGTTTGAGATATATGGTTGTTAAATACTAGGTTAGGATTACCTTTTAACAGATAAAAATTGCAATATTATCGCGTGAGAATGAAACATAGGATTATCCCCGGATCTGGGACGAATGTGAACTAAGTAACCTAGATGATGTAGGCTAATTCTGTAAGTAGGTTATATTTACATAGATTTTGTAAGACTTTTACGCTCCTTTGACCAAATATTGTTCCAACACGTAATATACAATACAATCAACGCCAAACTTTTAACATTACTAGAGTCTCGAGACTTGATATCCATAGATGACCACAGTACGGCATGCCCAGCGTCAACGTATAGACAATGCCCATACATGTGAACGCGAAACCGGCGCACCAATCATCTATTTCCAATTTTCGTATTTCGCTAAAGGCGCTTCATTGGTCTTCTCTCCCTCCCCATATAGGATTGTAACTGACTGGGTGCGTACAATGCCGTCTGCCCCTGTCTTTGAGTTATCGCCCTGCAGGATATCGTCTTGACTTCCATCATTTCCGATTTGGATATTCGTTTCTAAATCGTACGGGCCCTTGACCTTGCGCCGACGTGAGTTCATCTCGAGTTCGTCCTTGGTGTTGTTGCTTTTAGATGTTCCGTAGTTCTTATAGCCTTGACGATCCCCCGTACTACCCATGATACGCCGTCCGAATATCATTTCGATTAATGGTCGCAAGATCGGGATGCATGTTGCAATGATAACAGAGGCTCCTTCGACACTACATGAAATTAGGAGAATGGACTACATATATGAAGTGTAAAGAGCTTACCAAGTCCAAATTGTTAAGTCGGATGTGGCGTCTAAACGGATTAGCTAAGCGGCCAATAAAGGGGTTTGGTGTAACCAACATGTGAAATCGGGATCTGCTAGACCAGGGAGTCGCGTCGTCTTGTAGATGGCTACAATGCAGGCACTGGTGAACTATTAGTAAAAACTATCCCATCCTCCCTTTAAGGGCACCCTTCAAGACATACACTGAACCCAATCCAAGGGCAAAACACAGCGCTATCTTCTTTCTTATGTTCATTTGCAATGAAAACAGCACGGTTGCTGGCCACGCAGCTAAGTATAAGTCGACAAATCCGGAAAAGGTTCCCGCAAACTCGGAGTAGTTGACCAAAATCCAGGGGCTGATACAAGTCTTCTCAGTGATGGTCAAGTCCCACTGAGCCCTAGATGGAGTGCACTGCCCAAAGAGGATAGCAACGCAGCCCAGGAGGAAAATTACACACGAAATACCCATCGTCCACAGGAATCGCTTGTGCCATTTCGAAGGTTCCAGTAGTCCCGTTAGAAGATAGATGGCTGCAAGTTTAGGGACGCTGAAAGACAAGACACCCGGAATGAAGCCAACCATCGTCCAGAGAATGGCGCCGGAAACTTGTTGTGGATTTAACGTAGATACGTGGGCTCCATTTCCAGACTGCACGGAGACAATAGAGAAGGCGACGACCATCCATCCGAAAATCTGAGTTGCATCTTGGTAAGTCGAAATATCTAAACAGCACCGGACTTGCTGTTCCAACTTACTAATGAGATCAAAATTAAAGCATCATCGAGTTGAAACTTCTTCATCATCCCCAAACGAACGTATAATCGGGCGAAGACGAAAGTCGTGCTGATAGCAGTGACGATGCAGTTGACGGCGACGATAGTGGGACCCTTCGTTTCGGCCGCAACCTCCGGCGATAAAGGCGCCGTTGCGCTCATGTTGAATTAGACCTGAATGAAAATACCGAAAATTGATCAGGCGATATTCGCAGTGGATTCACACCAGAAGGAAGACGCGAGGAAGCGGGGCTATCTCTTCATTCTTATACACCGCTAAATTTTGAAGAGAAGGAGAAGTTCTCTGTAAGTATCGTATAAGCTTTCTTTGCAGGAGTTTTATGTTTTGCTGCGCCGAGATTCTCCAAAAGGGGAGAGAGTCTGAGGGTACTCTGCGACTAGGTTATGGTGGAGAATATCGTGGTTGTATGATCTTAATCCTAAGAAGCATATGCTTCTCATACGTTGGATCGGCAAGAGTAGATTCAAATCCGCGGATTTGGTGTATTATGCCTACATATGTAGGAGACACGAGATCTCGGGGGCCCTGGTCGTTAGTGACCCAACTTCTATGATACCCAAGCAAGGTACAGATGACGCTACAAATTCCCTTTTTTCCCTCATGGCAACCCTGTACTGAACGCATTGGTCCTTGACAAGGTAAAACAGGCAAAGCTTGAGCGTATCGCACGTAACATTCAACACCTATGTTACTATAGATTTCTCTTAGATGAAGAGTTGGTAATTTCAAATAAAGGGCATGTATCGGAAGTATAGTCCACACAGTCCTCAAGATTCAGAGAAGCACGTTAGTTATTCAAGACGATAATATCCCCTTTACCAATTTTTCGAGATAAAGTATTAGTGGGCTTGGATATGTGTATCCATACTCTTGTGAATCAGGTGGACAAACAGCCATAGTTATGATCAGGGTTGATCTGTCGTGCATGGAATACAGTTTTGGGTAGTGTCCACTTGCAACTAATTTCTAGGGGCTTCTCTAGGTAAGTACCTAACTACTAAATCTATAAGAATATTTACCTACTCAGGTACGCATAGCATGTATGTTTGTTAGCCTCGTCCAGTTATGTTCATGGCCAATGGAACTAGAGTACAGAGATCTAACTATATCTGGGAAACTTGCTGGGAAACTTGTACGGTACGGTACAGATTATGATCAATGATTAGGGATATCATGATATTAAAAAGACGGTTAGACCGTTAGGTAAGTCTTTGTGAGAATGCCAACTTGTTAAAACATGGTACCGAGGAAATTCCCCATACAGATCATCCTAAATAGAGGTGTTGCCGGAAACCCCAATGACCTGTGCCACCCAGGCGCGTGCGGAAATCTTATGAATCATGAGTTTTTAGAGCGGTGGAGCGTATCTACGATTTCTCAAGATGTTATGTACGTACGATACTTACGAGCTACTCTCCACAAAATAATTCTTACACGGTTTTGAAATATGCATGGGTTTAATAGAAATATAATCCCATGGTTTGAAATGAACCCATTTTAAATGCTATAACAACTTATTCAGCCTCAAGGTAATATGCATATAAGGACCACTGATCCTTCAAGGGCTAGTGCAAGTGAAATTACAAAGCTAAAAAAAGAGAGAAAGAAAAAAGTCCCTGTAATGGGCATGGACAGCACGAGCCTCAGTGGTTCATTTCATCGAAGTTTCCTTGTCTTGATATCGTCCCACTCATGTGGCGTTCTGACCCGGCACGGAGCTCACCCCAGATCCTGTCCATGGACGAACGGAAGTATAATATTTCTATAGCGAGGTATTATATAATAAAGTAAACTGTAAGATCGTTGTGGATACCCCTGAATATGTTTGAATCGCATTCGCCTCGTTTTCTGCATCAAGGTGGAATCTCGGTGAGGACATCGCATGCATTAGAAATTTCTGATGCTGTTCATGTAGAAGAGTTTATGAATTGTGGATATATGGTATTTTTCTTATCTTCTTCGTCCCATTCCGTATGCTTGTTGACGATTCGAATTGGTTAGCTAGTACCTTTCTAGAAGCCTAACACGGAATGCGTGGTTCCCGTTTACGTGATCATCGCAACTTCATCTGTTTTATAGAAATAGGCTCATAACTAGTATGTTTCCACGTGCTATGTAGTAGCAAAGACAGCTAACTAACGCTAGCACTAGTGTAGAGCGGCTCCCGGCTTTTAGAGAGGCGGTAAGGGGTGGGTTCCTCTTCAAAGACCAAAATGGCCTTGAACAGTTGAAAGGTACCTACGAAGTATGGAATAGCAACATCAATTGCTCGGCGAAAATTTAACATTACATTGTAAACAGTTCAATGGTGGATCCAACTACGTTGGACAAGAACCGTAAGATCCGCCATCCCGCCAAATCATTTTACTTTATACATATAAAAGTAGTATATTATTTCTATATACATATATATTTATAAATATTTCTCATTAATAAATTAAAAAATTATGTATATTTAAATAAATTTATTTATGTTTATAATATAATTTAATTAAATTTAGTAAACTTATATTTTAAGATAATACGAGTTATAAGTATATTTAATTTTAATTTTTATAATAAAATAATTTTTTAATTATTTTTATTACTTAAGTATTATTAATAATAACATTTTATGCTTTTTATTCCCGTTTTATTTTATTAAATATATTATTTTTTTGTTAATAGTAATACGTTACGAGTAATTTCGAATACTTAGCGTGTAATAAGGGAATTAGTGACTTTTTTTTTTCTTAATAGTAATTTCGTAAATAAAATAAGATAAAATATTTTTACTTATTTATTATTTAAGTTATCGTAATTAAAATAAAATATTAAAGTTTATAACTGTTAATCGTAAACGTATTTAATATAATATTGTTTATTATTTTTATTATATTATTAAAATATTAATTATAAGTAAATTACGTAACGTGTATGGTTTATATATAATTTTATTTATAAAGTTACGTTTATCCCGTTATATATATATTTTTCGAACGTAAAAATAATAATATTAGTTTTTATTTTTATTTAGTTTAATTATTTTAAAGTGTAATATTATTATTATAACTTAGTTAATTTAATATATATCGTAGTTAAGAATATTTAACGAAAAAAAAGTATTAGTAAAGTTCGTATATTTCGAAATAATTTATTAATTAATATTTTATTAATTAATAACTTATTAATTAAATAACTTTTAAGGGTTATTAATAAATATTTAAGCTTTTATTTAAGTTTAATTTATAATAATAACGTTAAATTTATTTAAATATTAAAAAATAATATTTTAATAAATAAAACGTATTATTTTATCGTGTTAAAATATTAAAATAAAGAAAATATATTCGTTAATATTAAACTTTAGTTTTTTTATTTAATAAAGTTTAATAATATATATTTTAATAAATCGATACTTTATTTACTCGAACTTTTTCCACTGGAAATTTTTATCGAAATTGTTAAAATTATAAGAAAATTTTAAAAAGTGGTTTGGATATAGTAACGGTACCGGAAATAATTTATATCGTTATATGAAATCGTATCGTTTTACCGGTTAAAAACGAAGCATATAATTTCGAGGATTAATAAAAATTAAATGAGATTAAAAAATATGAAAAGGTTTATTATTATAATTAATAATATTTTTTTTTATAAGTTAAACTTTTATAACATTACGTTTATATTAAAATAAATTCGCCATATATTTAATAAAAGTGTAATAATTTCATTTTTTAAAATAATAAGTTTTTTTAATTATTTTATTATATTTTAAAATCGAACGGGAAAAGCGTTTTAGCGATTATTTAAATAATAACATAATATTATAATGTATAATATATTTTAATATATGTCGTTTTTCGTAAGTTTATTTTTACTTTTTTCGTTTAATTTTTTTTTTAGTTAAACATTTTTTTATTTAAACGCGTTAGATTTTTTTTATTTTTTTAATATTACGTAAAGATAAGTAATAATAATTTATATTATTTTAATTTTAATAAATAAAAGGTAAAAAGTAAAAAATAAAATGTTAAATGTTAAAAATTGTTTTTAATTATAAAAAAGCGGTTTTTAAAAAAAAAACATATTTTCGTTTATAAAAAAGAAAAAGAAAAAATCGAGGTTTTTTAAAAACTTCGTATAAATAAGGTTAAATCGAATATATTTTAAGATAATAGAAATAATCGTATAATTTTTAATAACGATTTTTTTAATAATAATATAAATAACTTTAATAAAAAGTTAAATTAAAACATTTTTTTCGAGTAAATAAATAACGATTAAAGGTTTTCGGGTAATAACGAAAATATTAATCTTTATAGTTATAATTAATTAAAAAACCGATAATAATTTAAGCCGTAACCGTTTAATTATAAAATATAAACATGGTTTAATAAATCGTAATAATGGTATTTTAAGTTTTTTTTCGTTTTATATTAATTTTAGGCTTTTTTTTAGATAGTTCGGTTAAGATTATTTAATTAATTATTAAAATAAATATAATAATAACGAAAAATATTCTTAGTTTAATTCGAATATACGGGTAATAATATTTTTTTATATTAAGGTATATTTATAAATTAATTAATAAATATAATTAATATATAATTATAAATTTAATTTATTTATTTTATTATAAAGCTTAAAAACTTTTTTAATAAAGTTTATTTTATTTTTCGAATGTTATAAAATATTCCCACTTTTTTTATATATAAATTAATATTATACTTAAGTATATATTTTTTATATATTCTTTATATATTTAATTAACTTTTATACGAATAGTTAACTTTTTTAGCTTTATTATATTATTATACGTGGCGGGATAAACGTTTTTTATACTTTTTTTATATAAAGTAGTAATTATTTTTAAACTTAATTAAATTTAAACTCGAAATAATTATATTATAAATGTTATAAATAAGTATTTAAGTTAGGACGTTATTAAATAATAAATAATAATTACGTTTATATTTATTTTTATTTAATACGATAATATTTAAAGTTTAAATTAATTATATTAATTTAATTAAAAAAATATATTAAGTAAATTTATTTTTATTTATTAAATCTTTTCGTAGAATAGGTTATAAATTTATAATATATATTAAAAGTTTTTAATGAACGTTAATTAATTAATATATATTTAAATATTAAA